AATTAAAAAAGCTTATTTCGAGGTGCTGTGCAATGGTCACACAACATCAAAATAACCAACAGGACGGAATAGTATACAGTTTCAGGCGATGGGGATGATAAAAATGGACTTGCAAGAATAAGGAAAGGGCATGACCAACGGTGTGATGAGATCCATAATTGTGATTGGTCAAATATAGAGTGTAGCAAGAAAGGATTGGGAAGGTGGAGAAGTAAGCAGCAAATATATCATATCCTAAATTCGAGGATATAAAGTGCACTTGCTGGAGATAACCCTAACAGATCCTAGGCAGACATTGAAGATTCAAGAAACGATGGATCAGGTACAAGGTAGATAGGAAGGTACTTGTGATGATGCTGGATGAGCTGGCAGATTCTGGGGTACTGTATTGTGCGAACTATTTCAAGATACTTGGCTTGTTCTCTCCCGTGTATGTGAATGACAGAAAAGTGGCTGAAATGGAGAACTTCCTTTCATAGATGCAGCAAGTGTATAGTATACACAGTAGGTGAAGTCGAGCCACTTCCACGTACATATATGTAAGATGCTCCACGTTGGGTAAAAGAATATCTGGGGTACAAGATAAGAGAACCGGAATATGTATTTGAATAAGGAAAGGATAGCGAACTGTTTGTAGACACATTGCAAAGTATGGAGTGGTGACTGAGGAGGTGACTAGCATGCATGATATTTCTGGAGTAAAGAATGGGGTAATGAGCGCATGCAATGATAATAACCTTACCAAGGTTGGGATTTGACGTTGAGGTTGCTGTTGACATCGATATTTGTACTACAAATCAAGGTGATTTGACGGTTGCATTCCGGAGAAGGAAGCTTGAGTAAATAAGCAGTTTGACAGTTTGACAGTTTGAACAGTTTGAACAGTTGTTTTGTGGAGGAGTGAAGAGTAAACATTTGGATTACCCCGCTGTTTGATTGATGTAGCAGTGGTAGAGGGTTGGTCATAAATGTGACCAGTTTCTTAATATAAACACACCGCACACATGAAAAGTGACCTCGCACATGACTTTAACCTCATCCCTCCAAGCTAATAAACAAACCCCGTACTTTTCTGGTGCAATGTGTGATCAAGAACCTCGGATCAAATTTCATCTTCATATAGGGCTGAATCGGAGAAAGAAGCTTGGGGATGATTTGCTCACCGAAGCTTATGCGAATACTGAGAAGGAGAGAAAGAGGATTCGTCTTCCAGATTATTGGTTGGAATGACAGCAATGTCTGAACACATAGGCAACGATCGGTTTAGAGATCCAGAGATCTAGAGATCTAGGCAAAGGCCAAACAAGATTTATTTCTTCGGGGGTTTCTGGAGACCATTCATGTTGGCGGTGATTGTTGGTAATTTTCCTTTGTTGTAGGTCTAGTAAATGCCCACCCAGGTGGTTCTTGATTGTTGATTGTTTCATGAAGCAAGCGAAGGACGGCGAACCAGAAGAGGCCCCGCGCCAAGCAGCCATAGGGATTCAAAGAGGGCCAAGGGAAGGTTGGGTGATGAAGTAATGATAAAGTAATGGTTAAGAATCATACCAAACTCTTGTATGTACTGTTGGGACTGGTGCACCTGTACGACCAGAATAAGGAGAAAAGGTAGACCGGCCGATGCTCCGAGGGACTTCGCGATACGACAGCAATACGAAATTCAACTCTATCAGTCTGTTGCCTTATTCCGTAGCAATTTGTCGAAAGAATTAAGACTCCATAACTTGCACAGCCATTCACGCTATGTCAAATTCATCTCCATTGTTACATCATTTTCTTTGAAGGGAGCACCTACGTACTTGCTTACTGCTTATTGAGACTATATTACTATACGTACTCTACATTACATATACATCCATCCCTCATTTAACCGATGTGGCGAGGGGCTGTGGTAACAATGTAGGTACTCTCGGTACTCTAGTCATATAAATCTTCTCTGTTCTCTCTTCTCTCTGTTGGTTTGTTAGAGTTTGAAGTGTGCTTACCAATCCTCATCTCCATAAATGCTGGAAACAAGTGATTTCTCAAGACAGCAGTTGATGGAAAAGAACAGATTTTGATGGCAAGAGAAACTTATGACAGCGAATGAATTTCTTTTCTTTTTCTTCATTTTTTGGGGAGATCTTCCACATTTCATCAGTCAGGCGTGCTTGTCCTGGGACTTTTCCGAGTCTCGGGATCTTTCAGGTGGAGTTGGAATCTTTGAGTTAGCTAACCTTGGCAAGATGACTTGTATGAGACAAATTACCATTGGTTTGATACTCATACATCAAGTAAGTCTAAATCGCTCAATTTCGTTTGAGGCTATCAAGTTATGTTATCAACACATTTGCCTTTTCCTAAGAGGGAGGTTTCATGAACCATTGCGCTGTCGAAAGATATGATAGGGGCAGTCATTATCTTACCGACTTCGATGACCCTCCATCGTGCTGATCTCATTGCAACTCAATCTCCCCGATATGCCTGGTACGATAATGCTGTATTGCCGTGAGACTTGTATGTCGCTGGGAGTGAATGCAACCAATTCTAGATGTTAATATATTAAATCCGTATCGAGAAAGACATGTATCAGCACGACGAATCCAACCAATTCTACGAGTCAATGAAATCTATACAGAGAAAGACATGAATGATACATGTATCAGGGCGATGTATTTTGTACTCTCTTGCTCAACCAACAGCGAGGAAAGGTCGGTCAAACTCACCCGGTCAAAGGTTTGTTAGTTTTCATGGACCCTGGCTAAGGATCTTTCCATAATTCCAGATACCGAGCAACGAGCGGTACATGCAATAATGAGTACGTCGTATGGGCTAACGTATGTACGTCTAACACAAAAGAGGACCTGCAATTATTTCTTTTGAAGGATGTGAAGTGTGAAAGATCCGAACCTTGGATTGCCAGAGTTCCTTCCCCCTTTCCCTCATTTCCCCTAGTCTTCTTTTCTTCCCTCCCAACGTTCAACGTCAGCATCATGCAACTATCATTATATACATGATACAGCTCTGAATCCGGGAGGTTGTTGACTAGCGGACTAGGATTAAATGACTCTGTTCTCAGCACCGAATGCAATCTTTCCTTTTGATTGCACGTAGGTAGGGAGGGATGATGTACAAAGGGTGTACTTTAAGCATACCAAGGCGTAGACATGTATATACGTTAACCGTATGTGTGTGTGTGTGTGTATATATATAAGTGTGTGTATGTACGGGCGTGAATTGTACACAGGTCTATCGTAGCTATTGAAATTTCAACTAGGGGGGTTAGCTTCATATTAATCCCTCATAGAAAAAAAAAGACCGTTTAGATAGAAAGAAAAATTTGATTTTTTTCTGAAAGAATTTCTTTCTTTAGACCGAGGAGTCTTTCGATGAAAGTTTTTGATATAGCTAGTACCTAGGTAGGTATTTTCATGACATTCTATTTTACAAGCGATACTTTACTATGAAGAGAAATATACAATGAACATCATTCACTTCTGCTGACTCCTATGCCACGAATTGCCTAGTCGAGGAGAAGATAGATAGCTAGGTAGCTAATATAGTACTGAAAGCGGACCGGCCTCTTCTTGACAAGCTTGAGAAATGGTCAAAAAGTGGCTAGGTAGTTAGTTAGCAGGTAGGTATGTAGGTCGATAGACATGTATGTATGTAGGTATGTATATATGTAGGTCGATAGTTATGTATGTATGTCGGTCGATAGACATGTATGTAATATATGTAATGTGTGTAAATAGACAGATGGATCGATCGATAGATAGAGATACCTAGATGTAGATAAATAAGTACAAGTGTATATATGTATGCTGTATAGAGGGAGATGCCTAGGTATAATAGATAATGCCTCTCTCTTCCTTTCTCACCCTCTCCAAATTGATAACAAAGGTTCGAAATAATAAAAGAGGCAAAAGAATTCCACTCCTCTGTCTTATTTCTTATTTATCATATGAATTCTTTAAAGTCTCCCTAGTTATCCTTCTGTCCAATCCAATCCTATCTATCCTATCTATCCAATCCTATCCTATCCTACTCTATTATTATTAATTACAAGTTGTTTCCAAGCAAGGCTGTGTGTGCTTTCTTGCTTTAACTTGTACTCAATCCGCAACCATCGAAACCCCAAGTACTCGTATTATTATATCATACATTCAGAGGTGGTAGTACTCAGTTACAACCACTTCAATTACAACTTCAACTACCAATACCACTACCACTACCACTACCGCTACCGCTACCTCACCTCCTGCTACCGCATTCAACTTATCTTGCTTCTTCTTCTTACCTCTTCTTACCAACCGACATTAGAAGCACCACAGCACCACAGCACCACCGACAATACACGCAAGACCTGCTCTCAAAAAGGAATTCGGATACTCATACGACTGACTGGGTGCCGATACAACAAATACTCACTAGTCTAGATATTTCCTAGACTCTCTAGTACGATATTACCAAGTTAGGAAGATCCGCTCTCGATCCGGGAAACTCACATAAGCTTTTTGGGTGTGTGGCAGAGAAATCAAAGGGAAAAGCCAAATAATTTCAAATTTCAATTTCCATATCCATCTCCATTTCTTATAATTGGAGATTGCGACTTTCCTTCCTCGACCTCAGGATCACTCACTTCTTTCTTCCAACTTCTTCTGATATTCGCCTCCCAAAGAGATCGTACTAAAAGAAGTTTCAATCATACCTTCGATTCCCTCCAAAGACAGCCAGCCAACAAGCAACACAAGAAAGTTCAACTACATTCACTTCCATAATTGATACGCCGCTTCATTTCGATTTATAATTCACAAAAAAAAAAACCCGGAATTCCCACTGTTCAATCTTATTCCGCATACGTCCCACACCCACACAACCCACACGCCCACAGAATAAAAACACAAATTTCCAACAAAGCACGGGCATTGCCCGCGACCTCCGCCTTTGGCGGATATCTTTTTACTGATTGCAACCGATACGAAAGCGCATCTCAAATTCTTCAAGAAAGCAAAATCACCATGGCGTCGGTCGCAGTCCCAAGAGATTTTGCTGAGAAGGCACAACCCTCTCCTACGCCTTCTTTACCTTCGTCCTCACATGGTTCTCCCCAATCTCGACCTACAACCTCGAATGTGAGCGCCATCACAAGCACCGAAAATCTAAGCGTGAATGGAACTATGAATGGAACGATTACACCTCCCCCTCCGGCCGTTCTCAAGGCAGCACCTATGCCAACGACGGCCGAGAAACCTTCCATGACGAAACGCTTAACTCGGATGTTTTCTACAAAGGAATCGATACGATCAGAACATAATTTCACATCCAGTGCCGCCTCTGGTTCCTCGACGCCAAAGGTTGTGGATGGCACAACATCTCCTAAATCATCTTCGAGGCCTGGGTCTCTGTCCCGAAAGACATCATCACAAGAGAAGAAGAGTCCATCCGACAAATCGAGTGTTACACCGAGTACAAAGGATAAAAATGGTTCAACCAAAGACAAAAAGGCACCGACAAACCATCAGCGATTTCTCACCGTGCCTGATGTGCAAGGGGGTCACGAGCATCATCTGAAGAGTGCCAAGAGACAAGAGAAACTGGGGGAAATGCTGCGAGGCTTAATTAGTGGGAAGGCGAAACAATCCGAAACCCATGAAGGCGAACAACAACTTTCACTCATGTCAAACTGGGTGGATCAACTGAAGCGTGAGAAAGAATCACTGGCTACAGAAAAGAAGGGTGGGCCCAATGCGACGGCAACATTGGTAGATAAATACGGGAAATGTAATGAAGTTATTGGTCGGGGTGCTTTCGGAATTGTCAGGATATCCCACAAGAGGTCCGAACAGGGAACCGAGCAACTTTACGCTGTGAAGGAATTCCGAAGAAGACCCGAAGAGAACGAACGGAAATACAGCAAGAGACTCACTTCCGAATTCTGTATATCTTCCTCATTACGACACCCTAATGTCATTCACACCCTTGACCTCCTTCAAGACTCGAAGGGGGACTATTGTGAGGTCATGGAATTCTGTGCAGGTGGTGATCTTTACACCTTGGTACTCGCCGCCGGAAAGCTTGAAGTTGTGGAAGCGGACTGTTATTTCAAGCAAATGATGCGTGGAGTCGAATACATGCATGAGATGGGAGTTGCGCATCGAGATTTGAAACCAGAAAATCTTCTTTTGACCACACACGGTTCTTTGAAGATAACAGATTTTGGGAACGGTGAATGCTTTCGAATGGCTTGGGAGAAGGACGCACACATGGTAACTGGATTGTGTGGTTCCGCTCCTTATATCGCTCCAGAAGAGTACATTGACAAAGAATTCGACGCAAGAGCTGTCGACGTTTGGGCTACAGGTGTCATTTACATGGCAATGCGCACAGGACGTCACCTTTGGCGAGTCGCGAAGAGAGATGAAGATGAGTTTTATGAGAAGTATTTAGAAGGTCGAAGAGACGAAGAGGGATATGCTCCCATCGAGTCATTACATCGAGTATGTCTTCCTCTTGCAATTCTTATGCTTGTATGAACTAACATAAATAAAGGCACGTTGTCGTAATGTCATCTACTCGATATTGGATCCAAATCCTCACCGTCGTATCACTGCTTCACAAGTTCTCAAGTCCGAATGGGGTCGTGAGATAAAACTTTGTCAAGCAGGTGAGGAAGGCCTCTGACATTATGTGCTGGATAGTGGAATTACATGCAGAAAAAGCATGTTCAAGACCATGATCGAACAGGCAAATCTTCAAAAAGACCTCAAGCCGTGTAGAATTGAACATAAATTCCGCTCGACCAGCAGCTTCAATTGTCAAGAATGTGGTTTCGTTTGTTATTACGACCCTACTGGTATGGGAGCATTTAAAGAATTGAAAGACGACACTGGTGTCTCTTCAACATGAGCATTGCGCAGTGAAGGGTGGCATATTTCACATGAGCATTGCATTACATTACAGCAACAGTATGGCGTTTGGGGTGTTCTTTTTAATAAGCAGCACAGCAAACTTCCTTCTTCTTCTTCACAACCCTGGTTGCTTTGCTTTTTTTATTTAATTTAAAGTCTTGATGCACAATTTTTACTCATTTTGAGCCATGGGCCTTTTTTTCTTCGACTTCTTATGAATGGCGAATTGGGGGAGCAGACGATACAGAAAGGGATCTTTCTTTTATGAGCATCCATGATATAATCAAGACTATACATTTCACAGTCGTTGTTCATCTTCTCCTTCTCCTTCTTTGACCCTTTTTTGGACAATTACAACCTTTTATTCTTAGAGAGAAAGAGAGAGCTATGGGCTGGGAGTATTTGCTTTTGGTTTGGCCTGGCTCTGATTCATGAGTAGTCTTCGTTGCTTTTCATGGATCGGAGATGGAGGTATGCGTGAGTAAAATTAGCTTGCGATTCTTGGCTGTGGCTTTTTGATACTTATATGGTTGTGTGTGGCTTTGTTTTTTGGTAGAGGATGGGATGGATAATTGGTTGAAAAGAAAGGTGGTACTTTGTGTTTTGAAGGTTCGGAATGATGAAGGGGGTTATTATATGATGGATACGTAGATAGGAAGAGGGAAGGTGATAGTGGGAGATTGTAGATAAGCGATGGATGGATAGGTGAAACGGATCTTGTTTGTGTAGGAATCGAATCGAATCGATTGGAGAGGAAGATGGAGAATGTGAATAAAGAAAGAGAGAAGCAAAGAAAGAAAGATTAAATGAGTTTATGCGTAACTTTATTTATGTTCGTGATGTATGTGATGTGATATAATGTATACTCAAACCTAAACATTCAAAATATGAACATGGAAACCCCTATAAATATCGCGTAATTCACTCTATCCCCTTTTCTCTCCTCTCTATATCTTTATTCTTTCTTTCTTCCCTTTTCATTTCCCCTCCTTTCCATTTCCTCCCCTTCTTATTTCCCTCCCTTGACTCCCCTTTTCCCAAGCGAGAGTGTGTGCTTAGGTACCTAGAGAGGTAGATATAGTCAATCAATGATGAAGATAAGGGATATTTCCTACTTTGATACTTCAATACTTTAATACAACACAGCATAGCACAGCACAGCATAACACAAACAATATCAATATATATAAAACAATATCATTATATATACCTGTATAACTAGGAACCTTCCATCCTCTCCTCCAGTCCCTCTCTTCCCTCTCTTCCCTCTCTTCCCTCTCTTCCCTCTCTTCCCTCTCTTCCCTCTCTTCCCATACTCCATCTCGAAACCCCAAATCTCCATCCCTAACTACCTAGGTACTCATCAACCAACCACCCCCATAGCCAACCACACACACACATCTTAAAATAATCCACACCATTTTTCCAACAGCCGACAAGTAGCCCCTCAAACCCCACCCCGTACACTCTGAAATCTCCATTCCCTCTCATCCCATCCAATAGCGAGCCCCTCAAGCTCTCAAATCCCAATCCCAATTCCATCCCGCACCCCTATCACAATTCACTAATCATTCAACTCACAATACCCTTTTATCCTCTAATCTCTCATTCTCATCTGATAATCACAAATTCAATACTTATTTTTACTCTCTATTTCACCAGCAAGATACACACTTTTCAACATGCTTTGCTGTACTACAATACATTGCACTATACTGTACTAGGTATACTTCAATCACTCCCACCAAAAAAAAAACACAGAACACGAAAGAGAAAAAACACACCACTCAAGTAGTAGCACGAAGCGAAGGAATTGAAATATTACAGAGTTATTTCATTGAATTGAATATAGAACAGAATCCATTCATTTTCTAAAATATCTCCTCCTATCCTTATTTCCCTTCCTTTCCATTCCCATTCCCATTCCCATACCCCATCCACCTTCAAAGATTGCCGAAAACTCATGGAAAATCATTGTATACCATTCCCTTTTCCCTAACCACCCATTCCGTTCACCCACAAAGCCCTTCACTGCACAACACCCCTGTTCACCCTAGCGAATTAAATATAATTGTGTCCATTATAACCATGAATCAACGCATCAATCATATGAAGCAGTAAAAAGAAATCATTCGGTCGATCATAATGGCTCAAGAAAGTATACTGACAGGCACGTACAACATGCCCTGTCATCATAAAACGCAAAAAGAGTATTGCCTTTCCCAGAAGTAAAAGTGAAGCTCCGGTTATAGCATTATTTGTTTGATAGACAAAAGGAAAGAAGAAAAAGAGACATGACGACAAACAGCTAGGAATGGAAAAGATCCCAAGCCCGATTACACAGGCGCATGAACTCTTCCTTCTTCTGTTGTGAAGTCATTGGACTATCTCGTCCCTCTCCGAATGGTCCAGTTCGTCTTGATGTTGGGGGACCTTGTCCAAGTGGTGGACTGGCTCCCTCTTCATACTCTGCTCTAGGTCTTCTTCTACCACTGCTTCGACCAGCTTCTGAAGGTCTAGCGTTGACATTTGTAGGCGATGGAGGAGTCGGGGGTTGGTGACCTCCGTAATGTACGAGCTTAGGTAGAAGTTCAGCACGACCACCAGCCAGATCAGCCTGTGCTTCCTCAGCAGAACGGTATTCGCGAGGGCGCTGATGGCCCGCAGACGCCGGTGGTTGTGAAGTATGTCCTGGGGATGGGAAACCTGGCCTAGAGTTGGAATGCGATGAATTAGAATTCGAGTTGCTTTGGTACACGTTTCCTCTTGGCGATTCACGATGTGCACCTAGATTTTCAGCTGCGAAGACATCCGAGATTGGTGGTAGTCTGTTAGTGGTTTGAGTAGCAGGTACGTGATGGATGTGAGATGTATTAGAGAGATTTGACGGCTGATTCGCGACGTGACGGGTTAGAGGTTGTGGTTGATGCCTGCCAGGAAAGCTATGATGCATTGGAGCAGATTGAATCACTCTCTCATTCGCAAATTGCTCGTGGGATGGTGCGACAATGCTGAGTCCTGGCGGCGCCTTTCTTCTAGATGTACCGGGGGTTTTTGCTGGTAATCCACTCAACTCTCTTTCTTTAGCACTTTCCATTGGCGCATCGCCAGGCTTAGCCGTTTGTTGTAACCGCGATTCGATAATATGCCTCTGTTGTTCACGGACAGATAAACTTCGCTGCAATTGTTCTCGCATCGTCGGATCTTGTGTGACAAACCCTGGCGAGAGACATGCCAATCCGACGTCCTGAATACCCAATCCACCACTCTCCGCACCCCTACCTGTCAATTGACTGGCCGAGGGTCTTCCAGTACCTGGATTGACGCTCGACGTGTTTTTGGTGAGATCAAGCTTTCGAGGTCTATGACGCGAAGTGGCAGTTATTTCAGGTGAGGATGGTTCCTTCTTAACGATAATCTTAGGTGGTGCACCGTTTCGAGATCTGTTAAAATTACAACATCAGTATTATTGATTTAATTTATCGATAATTCAATTCAAGGAATAATACATACGCAGTAGGTGAAGGTTTTGCTGGAGTTGATTTGGGACTTCCGCTCCCTGTACGCTGTGCCGCCATTGTTACGCTCGGCGTGGCCGACGTAGAAGGCATTCTTTGCGCCGGAGGAGAATTCGAGGGTTTCGAAGGAGCGATATCAACATACGATGATCTATCGTGGGGTACCGGTGAAGGGGCCATTGCGATAGCCGTACTCATTTTGATTGAGGTATACAAAGTGTATGATTGAAGAGGAGAGAAAAAAAGAAGGTGCAGTGTGGGAGATGGTGAAACTTGCTGATGTTTGAAAATGAGGGAGCTTTCTCGCTTGCTGGTCTCCAATCAATCCGCCTGTAAGCAAAAGTCTTGAATGACTCTGTACTCTTCGCAATGTGCAGAGTGAAGATTCAAAAATTAATGCACACTTTACTTGTTTATATGATGTGGTGCAGTCGTGAATGGCTTTTCTTTCCCTTTTCCCTCTTCCCTTCCGATTCTTGTACTCTCCCTCTTTCCGTATCTTTCAAGATTCGGATTCGTGCGTCCGTCGGTCGGCGTATTTCCACAAATTCAGCGTGGAATTTGATTATGATACTTCTCGCCGATGTACCCAAGTAGACAGTCGACAAACTGCAGGATAAAGAGCAGGATGAGATGTTGTGTTTACTTAATGGTGAGTGTTGAGAATGCTGAGCCGAATGGTGGTTTGACTCGAGTTTTGACCTTTTCCCAAGTACGTACGTAGTAAATAATGGATGAAAGGCAATGCGTAGTTTCCAGGTATCCCTAGTGCTTTTCTTGCGGTGGCTTTGATAATAGTTATGCGTTTAAATAGAAAAAAAGAGGATTTGAGGCTTAGATTCCGTTTCGTTTTCGAATGGATCAACCTGTAACTGACGGGACACGACCGGTATGTTATTGCGAAGCAGATGTTGCTTGGTACTTCTCGCGTCGTGGTTGAGAATGGGGATGGGAGGAAAGCTTATCAGATGATAGTGGTAATTGATTGATTGATAGATAGATAGCTATACTGGTGAGATAGAAACAGTACTTTTGTAGTTGTTATAGATAAACCAAGAACATAAACTACACAATACTCTGGGACGTATGCTGAAGTGGTCAAAAGGAAGAAGAGAAGAAGGAGGAGGAGAAGAAGAAGTAATAACAGATCCGACCAGAGAGGGGTTCACCTTCATAAAGAGACGAGAGAGGTCGCAGTCGCAGCAGTCGGTTTGAGAAGGGTCAGAATCAGTCTTTATGGGTGGCGGTGAGGTTTTATGAATTTAATTGAAATCGAGGCTTTTGCCAGGCGTTCGAGGCAATCGAGGTTTTGTTAGGTGGGTGTGTTTCAGGTTATTTCGTATACAGGATAAGTAGGTCAGTTAAGAACTCTTGAGACTCTTAGCGGGATCCTATACCGGTATGATTATTACTGCCCAGGTGCGTCGAGTATTATACTTATTATTATACATACTAAGGTATATCATCGGTAGTACTAAGTAGACTAAGACTGATATTGATATAATCTCATGTAACTCTCTCTTATCACTTGTATCAATTATCATCATCATCATCATCATCATCATCATCCATCCATACTGGTGTAATAATATTCATTCCATGTATAAAATAGAAACACTCTGGATTCTTCCCCCTCTCGTAAGTCTTCGATTCTGAAATGAATCCGTTTAATTGGATTCGATCATGGAGGAGACGAAAAGAGTATTTACTACCTCCACCCTCAAAAAGTGGTCAAGTAGGTCGATCACAAAAAAGAAAAGAAAAGAAAGAAAGAGCTTCAAACACCGGGTGCTAGTGCTAAGCAATGAGTGATGGTGGGTGCACTGGTGTTCTAATACCACTTGGGTTAAAAGAGCAGGGTGGGAATGGATTCATTGGCTATCAAGGCTGTTTATTCAAGGTTCTTCGGCTGTATGGCTGTTTGATTGTTTGACATGGCTGTTGGTAATGGATTCAATGGTGCTCGACAATGCGTGGGTGATACGAGCGAGTTACATACACATCTGAGGAGCTGATTTATATGGGCATGGAAAAGGTTGACAGAAACAAGGAGCTCGGTATTCAAGATGAGATCTTGGACACAGTACAGAGTACAGTAGAGAGATGGATGGGAAACGTATACATGTTGATGCCGGCCATGAAGATTACTGCAAACCCTTTTCCCGGTACAATAGAGTTACATTCCGTCCAGCAGTATAAAGTATCACTGAAGGATCCCCGGTCAAGTGTCAATGCGTTACTTCCAACTCGTGTCGATTTTAATTATATACCCCGTAGTCCGACACTGGAAGTTTGCGCTTCTCACAAGGAAAAGGAGGGTAGGAGAGGGGTGGAAATCTTGATAGATGCACGGAGATGAAGGAAAATCGTCGGATGAAATGGAGGGGAAATTATATGTTCCAGTCAAGTCACCAATCGCATGTATTTTGGAATGCAAATGGGTTCTTCGTACGTATTCGAAGACGTAAACATGGGAAACTAGGATACTCTGTTGATTTGAAGAGTAAGTGGACTGGAAAATCAGTATGAAGGAATCTCCAAGGAATACAAAATTGGGGTTGTATAAAGTTTCATTATGGAGTGAGGGATTGGGCATTTGATGAAGATCCAAATTATATCTCTATTCAGCAACACAACTTCTGACGCCTTTGTTTCTACTGGTATGCTTGCCGTGGTTTGTTTGATCTGATATATAAGGATTTTATTTAATTTGAATATCAATGCTTGAGAGCGGAGGTCATTGAGGTCATAATCTAGGATGGGATGAAGGATGGATTCGTATACATTACGATATGCGATTGTCAATATATGGGTAACTAGGTGATATTGGGACTTTTCAGATATAACGATGGCGATGACTTACATATTGCCATAGGAGCTTTTCCTCCATAGTCAAACATGCAATTTTTCACATCATTTACCCACGAAGTTCAATGTATTTTCAGGAAATGAAGCTCAAGAGAAGCTTGGACTTTATGACAATCAACTATTGTTTTAGATTCAACTCAAGGCAGAGTGTGCGGAACCTAGTACCTGGCGGGAGTCGGATAAATAGGGAAGTTGAAAAACAGGTTAGATCTGGCAGCTGGTGTCTGACTGGTGGATGTGGTTGGCTATCAAACATGAATCAAATCCCAAATATCTTGGCTATCAGTTTCTCTGCCAATGAATATAAGACATTATTGATGTATGAATTGCCGTTGGAAAGTTTCAGCTCAATCTTGAAGGGCGAAGGCAAAGTAGAAGAAGTTGCGTTATTCTCGTCTTCTAAATCGCCCAATCTTCCCCAAAGATTTTTCATCGCAGAGATCGTTTTCCATGCTTTTGGGTTTTAACCCTTGTAGTCCTCTGATCTGCAGGATCTGTAAATTCAATATTTCATACTGCCCTAGTGAAACTCTTGCTAGTCCTGCATCAATTTTATCCAAATTGCACACACTTATCATTAGCTTATCGGTCGTCCCTTTCGTTTCAATGATAATTTTGTGAAATGAAGCATAGTCCTGATCTGGCCAAAATTTAATATATATCACACGAGTTTGAAATAATCGTTAGATCTTGCATGTGAATATTGCTTGTAAATTGTAATGCCCCTCTCTATCACATTCATACGGATGATTGCATGAAAAAAATCTGATTTGTAAGATGTTTTCTATGTTCAATATTTCTCGCTTGCGGCCCTGACGATCAATCGTGTGTTGTGAGGATAAGCATGGTCTGTGAACACAAACCCCTCTTCTTTCGGACAACACAATATATATGATTATTTTGATGGACGGTGAGCTTCGGCGACTGGAAGGTCAGTCCAAGTTGGGATACAGTGATGAGAATTGGTTAATTTTCGGATTGCCCGCTCTTTAGTAGACTCGTATTCCTCCTAAGCACGTATATAGGTAACTGAATACCTAGGAGCCACAAAAGGTGTACGTGACACGAGAAAGCTGACTTGGCTTCTGCAACTCCCAATCGGAGATCCATAAGATGCACATCAACATAGACAGCTTTCAGGTTTGACAGCTCCCGAGTCTATGATTATTCGTCGAACAACGAACTTCTAAAGCTAGTTAAAGCAAGTAAGGACCGAAGCCAGCTTTGGAAAAGCCAGCGAGCCCCTCCTCCTGGAGTCCAGAGTCCCACCTACCATCGAAGGTGGTCCATGCGGGCATGGTCCGAAGAATCCCTGTTAGAACTGCGACGGTTGTGTTTGACAAATTGATACCCTAGTCACAAAAAACTAACCAACCAAATGGCTCCATGAATGATCTTCCTTGAAACGCGGCTTAGCATCTCCCTCCAATCAAACTTCCCCACATCAAGGAGACGCGTTGGAAGGATTAAAGAGGAGAGAAGGAATCTTTGCGAACGAGGGCTCACGCCACGTCGTGGAGAAGAAACAATAAGTAAAAGTAAGATTCAATCAAGAGAAAAGAAGAGATCGCTGGTATGATCATACGCGATCGATTCGTGTCTCATCTTCTAAAAAAAATAGAGGGATGTTTCCAACTCAACAGATCAAAAATGGGGCATGGGACATGGGACATGGGACATCTGCATCTATTCGTGGCAAGGCTGTGTGCGACTTTACCAGAAGATGAGGCAACCTTGGAATCGTGAGAAATCCATTCGTTAATCCTGCGCCACAATACTGTTTCGTACTCATAACAGGTGACTTTGTTATGTGCTGTATGTAGTGGAACATGCGCCAAGTTCCCAACGGCGTCTTGGAACACATTCGATTGTCGAATTTGTACAATTCTCTGAATGGTAAAATCTGTATTGTATCGTTTCCGGCACATTGCAGAGATACCCCAGATTTGGCACCATCGATTTTTTCCTCTTCTAAAGACACTTGAGCCTTGACCAACCTACCAACGGGCGACCAATGATTTCCTAATCTTTCTTTGCCGCGCGCGAGTGTAACAGCCTGGAGTAACATCCCCCTTAAGCTAAGACCATAAGATATATGACGTTCCCACAGCTGGCATAACGTTTGCCGTTATCGAGATAACCCCTATTCTATAGCTTAACCTTTTCCTCGGGTCATACATAAGCCCGAGGCCTTAAAAGGTTGAAGCTCATTTGCCGCCACTGAGCGTCAAGGCTGGCTCTTTTAGCCTATCAGGAGTTGCATAAGTGAAGCAAATCATCAAAAACAAACAATCTATTGGACTTTCAAACATTACTTGGCCAAATTGGGAATTCCGAAAAGGAGAAAGGTAGGATGAAAATCATCTAGGTTGACCACAGAAGTTCTGGAAAATTGCGAAAACTTTATGGAAAGTGGTAGGGGAAAATAGATGGGGGAATTGGATTTCACGCGAAGTCCCAAGTGACATGGAAAATGGCCTCAGGCACTCAATAAAACATCAAATCTCTTATCTACACGTGACCATTGATAAAATTTATCAAAATTATCAATCTTGCGGTTCTTCACTAACTAGACATTTCTTTGCGCCCATCCATCTCACGATATCACTCCCTCAAACAAATTGATTATGGCACCACGAAAGAAGGAAGCAGAGGCATCTGCACCAACGCCGGCAGAAGATGTATCAATGGAGGAAGTGCCAGCAGAAACTGAAGGCGAGACCCTCATGCGCGAAGATCCGCACAACCCCGCTGCGATGATGTTCCAGGAACAGAGACTTCGCATTGTATGAGCCCACAGAACTCTTGAGGGGAATTGCAGTAGTATAGATTGAGTATGTGCTGACTTCGTGGGATTTAGCTTCCTGGATCGAGTGATAAGGCTGCATCTTTTGAGTTCAAGAAGGAAGATCACACATTAGGCAATGCGTTGAGATACATCATCATGAAGAAGTATGTCAGATTCCTGTTAGCCTGCGAATTTCTTGGCTCAATTATGCTAATCCTTTCTTTTCAGTCCTGATGTTGAGTTCTGCGGTTATTCGATACCACATCCTTCGGAAGAGTTAATGAACATTCGAATTCAAACATATGGTCAGCATTGCCCGTTCTAGGTTGTTTAGAGACAATTTACTGATAGTGCAAATAGATAATTCTGCTGAAGATGCTTTAAGAAAGGGGTTAGATGATTTGATAGATCTTTGTGATGTGGTTGCCGATAAATTCACAGCAGCACGGGAGCAGCATGCCTCTCAGATGGAGTCGTAAATAACGTAATGTATTGGGGCCAATAACTGGAATATCACGGCAATGGCAAGGCGTATAAAAGGGAAGGATCTCATGGAGTTCAATTGAGGTTCATTGGGATATTTACAAAGCGACAAAATAAAGATACCAACTTCTAATTGCGTCCCTTTGATTGAGGTCAGAAATGGGTTGAAGATGGGAGCAGCATTGTAGACATACCTCTAAGAAACCGGTCATGAAATTCTGTGGTAATCTCGCAGTTGGGTCTTCTTCTGCTCGGAAATACTTCAAGATGTGAGGAAGTTGCTTCCAGTAGTTCAAAGTCTCCTACAAAACACGAAGTTAGTAAATAGGCTTCATGTGTAACCCATCGCTTCCCACGCCCCCTAAATGTGACCCATACTGCTGCCGATGCCAATCATTCTTTCTCACATGCCGAGTCTTCCTCTACAGCGTAAACTATGCTTCGTGCAACCCCTCTTTCATCTTGTCTCCTCGCATCCCGGAGGCATAGTTTCCCCAACGTCTTTAACGTACCTGAAATTCTGCATGGCTCTCATACAGTAGCTTGTCTACCGTTCCAATATGGTTCACATATCTGTGCCTCTCAAACTCCGACCGCATCTTCGTCCTCAATTGTGAAACTGGCATGCCGAGAGAGTACATTGTTTGGATTTCCGGAGCCTACATGAACACCCATCAGTTTCCATGCTCCCTACACGTCCGCGGTTCCCTCTAGCCCTTCCCACGGATAAAGAACAAACATACAGCACGGATCCATTCTCTGTAGCTCTTCAACACTCTTGATTTCGCATCAGTCCAGTTAACGGCTGCCGCATTAATTAGCTTTCCTTCTATATCAAACACAAAGCACTATGGCCCATGGGGCACAAGAAGGTTAACTTACACTGGCGCGTTCGCTGCGCAAGATAAGTAGGATTAATAACCATTGTCGCTGATTCGTTGTGATCAGATCTCCATTCAGTCCCCAGAAGTTGAGGTTCCTTGATAGAAGCGACCGATCAAAATGTGTCACGTGGACGCGGTAAGCCTTAAATTTCTAGCTAGGAGCTCGAGGCTGACGAATTAATTTTTGAATGAGAGCTTCCTTGCTTGCTTCACCCCGCTACGAATCAGAATCATATTTCATTGACGTTCGCACAACTACGAACTCCTCACTTTCTACACCTGGATACACCACAACACTTCACGATAATTTACCACCACTGTTGCCAACCTCATAACCACTAAAATTACAACATAAACACCGCAACCATGCCCGCCATCCGCCACTCCTCCAAGCGCAAAGCTCCCCCAAATGGCTACAGCGATATTGAAGATTCTCTCCTCGTCTACAGCAACAAAATGAAGGATGCCATTGCAGCCCCACCATCCACTGGTCCCCGTCATCAAGCCACTTGGGAAATCACACAAATAAATCATCAGCGAAGTAGATACGTTTGGGATATGTACTGTGAAGAGAAGATCAGCAAGGAATTATATGATTGGTGTGTGAAGAACGGTCAATGTGATGCGACGCTCGTGGCGAAATGGAAGAAGGAGGGATACGAAAAGGTATGTTTATTCTTAGTGAAGGGGGTGATGCATGCATGTTTGAGTGATTTGCTAATGGGCAATTGGATATAGTTATGCTGTCTTAAATGCGTCCAAACGAAAGAGACAAACTTTAACTCTACCTGTATATGCCGGGTCCCGAAGGCAGATCTGAAGGAGGATCAGGAGATTCAATGTGTTAGTTGCGGATGCAGAGGTTGTGCATCGAGTGATTAGGCAAGCCGCCTTCTTACAGCTTGTTCGCGGATGTACTCATTACATTTGCTTTTTGGGGTGAAATGCAGGAATTCTAGAGCAGTGTTGGCTTCATTCAAGGAAGCGATGCGTGCCACTTCGGTAATTATGGCCAGAGAACCATCGCCTTTCTAGAATTGTTATGGGAAGATTTGAGGAGACCACCTAGGTGAGACGACAGAGGAGGAGTAAAACAATTGGGCGAGCGTCATTTGCTTTGTATACTTTAATGATACCAATATTTAGCATTTGGCGTTCATGGCATTTGGGTAGGGCAGAAGGGAAATGGAACATTCAGAGTGGTATTGGTCAAAGACCAGGTGTATTGAACGCGAAGCTTTAGAGATGGACAGTATGGAAGAAAAATGCAAGAATGTTACGGCTTTCATTCAATGAATATATCATCAAGGAAGAGGGGTAATGGATCCTCAAGGGGTCCCGGAGCTCAGGACTACCTATTTTGCAGTCTCTTGGCAAAAAAAAGCCGGAGAAGCTTAGGTCGCCTTTTTAGAGAGTGAAGCTGCTGGCCTTTTGCCCATCAATAGGAATGGGAATGGCATCTAGGATTTATGGCGGGAATCTAAACAATCCGCATTTCTGTGGGAGATTCGCACCTGTTGCATCTATTTTGAGAGAAGAATAGTCTCGATAGTAATAAAGAAAGGAAAATTAGTATCAGAATTACTCAACCAAATTGAATTGAGGATTGGAGAAAACCTCCAAGCATGGGCAGTGAAATTTCAGATATACTAGTAGACGCGACAAGACAGTAATACCCGTTTAGTTCTGAGAGCGCACATTAGACCCAGATCCCTGAGACAAATTCCACACAATAATGTCCAAATTACCTAGGTAGCTAGCAACAAGGGCGCTTCTCCCCCTATTCTAGCGCCCGATTCGCTTTGGGTAAAACTGGGCATAAGCGCGGACTGGCAGAATGGACGCAGTAAAACAATTGATCAGGATGCAGAGGCGGCGACGCTGGGAATGAACCGTTGAAATGTGTAATGTACATAGTGAAATACTCGATAAACAGAAAGCAGGCGCATATGATAACATCTAGAAGAACCCTATAAATCTAATACTCATAGATTTTCGTCGTAGCTATAATAAAAACAGATGTCTTGTATTGCAAAATTATGGTATTCAAGAATCGTATCAAACCATCTGCCAACTCACTACTAACGTACGTTAAACGCCTGCTAGATCAATAACTTCACTTGACCACCTATGTCATAACATTTCCCCTTCCTCGACCTTTCCTTTCGTTTCCACACAGCCGTGTGCACTACTTCTCAGACGTAGCCCCTTCCCTCCCACCGACATCTCTTCCCAAGTTCCTCGTATTCTCCACCGCCTTAGATACCAACTCGGAGAAAACCTGATGACCTTCTGTAAGTTTATCGTGCAGTGAACGTTCATCTTTATTGTCCTGAGCGCGATCTACCAGGCCCTTCCATCCTTCTTGAATTCTACCCTTCATCTCCGTATGATTTGGGAGATTTTTCATGTGACGATCGGCTTTATATTCCCTTTTATGATCTACTCTTCGCGTCAAATACACAGTGGCAGCGTGGCCTTGGACAGCACGAATTCGATCGACCTCCTGTTGGTAGGCAGTATCGTATATATTGAAATCGGCTGCTGTAGGGGATTCAGCTATCAATTCTTGTACGGGTCCATCTAGAGAATCGCCGTCTTCCCCAACTCCGGCACCAATTCCTAGGTACAGAGGCTGTTCATCCAAAGGATCGTGAGCGTGCCCCTTGTCACCAGATTGCTGTTCCCGAAACTCTGGGCGGTTTTCTATAGAATTAGATGAATCAGTCCTCGAGATAATACGTGATTGGACTTTCTTGACTATAGGCTCCTCGTCCGCTACAATTGTACTAGAAGAGTCCATTCGGCTCGCCATAGTCCTGGGACCATCAGCCGATGGATATGTTCCATCATGGTGTACACCTTCAGCAGCAAGGGCTGCTTCAACTAGACGTCTGTCCTCGAGATCCGAACTTTTGGACCTATGAAGCGCGGATTCTTTTTGCTCGGTCATCCCCATCGATGGGTGCAGAACACGAATACCTTTGCCTAATGTCTCAGAGATAGCGTTAGGTCTCCTCTGCTCCACTTTAGACTTGAATTTCTTCACAGCCTTCATGACCGCGAGAAGACCCCTCATTTTAGCGGTTATTGCATGATTGACCTCGATTTCACTCGGCGGCTCAACCAGATTCGCAATGTTCTCTTCCTTTGGTAGTAATGGGTCAGTTCCATTATTGGTCACCCAAGAATGTTCCTGCTGAACGTTAGCCGTATTCGGTAAAACTTATAGGGGAAGCATACGCGAATTTCATCCATAGTAATTCTTTTTCTTGGATCTTTTTCTAGGACTCTTTTCATTAAATCGACAAACTGAGGGTCGGTACTCGGCTCATAGTCAAGCTCATCATTTTTGATTGCTTCATACAATTCAAGAACTCCGGTCCGTTCGAAAGGTATGTGACCGAAGCGCAGACAATACAATGAGATTCCCATGGACCATATGTCAGCTGCCCTTCCGGAAACATCGCCGTGCTTCGTTACGCACAATTCTGGAGGCAGAAATGCCGGTGACCCTGTGGATTTGGCTGTCATCATATCTGAAGCCTTTTCGAACATCTCAGAAACTCCGAAATCCACAACCTTCAGCACGTCGTCTTCGGTCAAAAGTAGATTATCCGGCTTGATGTCCCGGTGCACAACGCCTTGAGCATGAACTTCGTGATGTAAGCCATTATATCAATACAGAAGATTACCGTAGGTACTTACGATATTCAATGCCAAGTATTAGATCTCTGAACCAGCATCTACAACTTTCAACGTCATATGGATCTGCTTTCTCTCCAAGCCCAACCTTCATGACAACGCCTTTCTTGCACATTTCCAAAACCATATAAAGAGAATCTTCCTCTGGATCATCCAAAACTTCTATCAAACTAACAAGATTGGGATGGTTCAATTTTTTCATGATAGCGATCTCCTCTTTGATCAGATACAAAGGATTTCCTTGTTGCTCATTGATATGGATGTCGGATGCCGAATGGCGATGAAGAGGAGAATTGAAACCGCTCCCTGCTGCGAGATGTCCGGGTCGTCTGACATAATGTGGTCTTCGAAGGATATTCGATTGTGCTCTTTTCCGTAACCTTGATTTGGAGAACTCTTTAACTGCCTATGTACCCAATATTAAACCAATAGTCAATGGCTTAGGACAGAAGTCCTTACAAATTCCGTTCCGTACTGATCCACCGCTAGATGAACAGCTCCAAAAGAGCCCCTGCCAATTTCATCCTTGATAATATATTGATTAATGTGATGTTCGGCTCTCCCATCCTCTTCATTATTCATGTATTCGGATCTTGCATCAAGCGTTTCCTTTTGCAATTAGCATATTTCTACATACGAATATCCAGATAGTGAGACTCGGGCCTAACCTTTACTTGCCGGTGTGCAGAGGCACTGCGACGGTGATGTCGAAGAGGACTTTGATATGCGGGGGTGGAACTTGACGATCCATTAGCGGGAGATAAAGATAAGGAGGGGTCTTTTGGAGGCGATTTACAGGTATTGTACCAAAGGTGGGCGACCATCAACTAGTTCACCGGGTATATTGAGAGAAATGCCTATAAAGGAGGTAAGTTAGTTTACATTATAGAGAGTATTGGTACTTATGGTCGCGAGATTGAAACCCTTCACTTACCATGAGAAGGAAGAATGCCCGCATCAGCCTCTGTCTGGGTAATATCACCCGGATGACCTGGTTTTTCACAATCGCCAGCGAATGAAGACATTTTTTTTTGTAAAAGTTAGATATCTCCCTTCACATCTCAAAGGCCAGCTATGTTGAAGGTCGAGTAGAGAAAAGACAAAGAGAGAAATATTTGGAGGGAAGGGGGGGTAGGGGGGGAAAGAAAGGTAAGATTGAACAGTGAGGCTACCAAAAATTAATTTGGCGAATGAGGAGCTTTGGTCAAGGGGTCGGCCGATCTCTGGGATTAGAGGCATTAGGCTTGCTTAGCTTGATAAAAGCTTAATTTGATAGCGTGCGTTAAGCCTGTACTTATCATTTTAATTTCGAACTTGGTACCATATTAAAGCCTATTATTCAACGTTGAACCACCCTTACCGTACGTATATAACACATAATACATAATACATAATACATACAGAGGAGTACATACCGACGAAGCCTTGTCAATAATAATAAGTTACGAGGCCAAAAGTGTCCCAAGGGAATATCAACCCTCAGCAATACTTCAGAATACAACTATATTGTCACCATGGTTGTTTATTCCTTCTACATATTCGATAGGCATAGTGAGTCAATACACGTCTTGGAATTTGCAATTGACACTAAACCATATCCCTCAGCCGAATGCATCTATTCCAAACTCTGGCACCGCAATAATGACCGACCCCTCTCCACCACCGGCGCAACTGCGCGACCCATTTCCGGCTCCAGTAACTCCAGCGCCGCACCTCCTCTCAAGGTTCCAGAACTTGCCGTGCCGAGGAGTCGCCCCGGGAAGTTGAGCGCGCAAGATGATGCGAAATTGATATTTGGTACTATATTCTCGCTGCGGAACATGGTGAGAAAGTTAGGAGGACCGGATGATAGCTTCATATCCTTTCGAACGGGACAGTATAAGTTACATTACTATGAGACGCCAACGAACATCAAGTTCGTGATGCTTACCGACACACAAACTCCAACGATGAGGCAGGTACTACATCAGATATATGTCAATCTTTATGTGGAATTTGGTATGGACCTTCCATTATCATTCTTACAAAGTGCTGATACTTCATAGTTGTCAAGAACCCGCTATCTCCCGTCGAGCACCCTGGAGGCGAAGGAGTTGCAAACGAGCTCTTCGAGCTGGCCCTCAACCAATTCGTTAAAGGCGTTCTTTGATGTCTAATGCGCCTTACGAACTTGATAATTTACACGCAGTGGATATTCAATGTCGCACATCACTTAATTTAAACTGCAATACAATAAAGCATAGTTGCAGGTCAAGGCGTTTGGAGGATATCGGAGTTGAGGTTAAAGGGGGCAAATTGGTAGAATAGAGAGTCGAGAAAGGAGTCGGCCTGAGAAATTGAGGAAGTCAAAACGCCAGAACTTCTAGTTTTGGGTTGGCCAGATAACATCGTTGAAGCCGACTAGCTTTAGATTTGATAATCAAATGGTTTCCACGATGATATGTCTCATTTTACTCTGCATCGTCTAGGGTGGATTCGACAAATCAAACAATCTTCTATTCTTAGCTACTTCGTATCCTAGACTTTGAAGATCAAATCATAGCATGTATATCAAAGTGGCCAAGCCGAATAGAACAGACGATACAGCTCTCAAAGGTCTAAAGGATGATACAATTATGCCATTATTTTGGTATCTTTTACATAACTCGTTTCTTCTTTCGCCTCAATGAAGTTCCCGCAACCTTGCCCAGTAATGATTCCCATATTCCAAAAATTCCCTCGACTTTGTATAATACTCGCCCATATCCAATCTAATAAGATGTTACTTTGTCCGCGGGGTCTACCGCTTTGCCCCATGCACTCTCAAATCTGCTAGCAGTTCCCACGTCTATGAGACTATCTTGGCCATTCGAAGCCACAGAGCTCATTTCAGATTCGCCCAAGCCATTCTTTGGCACTAACATGGCACTCCCAAAGTCATCGATCGGATTAATCTCATTCTCGTGACTAGAGTAAACCACGGCGGCAAAAGCCTCTAGTTCCCTAACCTGCTCCATGGCCTGAAGGTATTCATTAGGCACACCATTTCCAATGGAGTGAGCCTGTCTGGTAAGCACAGCTAAAATCAATGGAAGCTTTACCGCGTTTGGCTCAACGATTTCAGTAATACGAGCATCTTCAGGTTGAGAGGGAATCTTGAAGCTTTGTTGAGCGATCTTTTGTTCAACAAGAGTTGAGAAACCGGCATCAAGAAGCATAGTCAGAACGTGGGAGAATGGTGGAGAGTCAATGAGATCCGAGGTTTCATCAAGGAGTCGTCTTAATGGTGACACAGGGGATGATGAAGGTGTCTCAAGCTCCATAGTTTTCATACCGGATTCTTTGATGACAAAGTCCTCTTGGTCACGAGGGGGCAAGAGGTATTGTAGCCAGCGAGTAGCCTGTCTGTCTTCGGGAGTGGCTCCTTCTACCTTTTTACGGACCTCGAGCGTCAATTCAGAGAACTTAGCCATGGTGAGCTCCTCTCTGATAGAAGTATCCTTGAACACTTCTTTTACCGCAGCTTCAACCTTGAACATAACATCTCTCCACCCTCTATGAAGCAACCACCAACTGAATGTCAGGTATCGTCTATTCGTCTCGAAGTCGTTTCCATAAGCTTGATCTGAATTATCATCGTCATTGTTTTCCAAGCTTATTGTTGACTGCTCTACGCCACCAGTAGCTAGCGAGACTACACTCGAAAGATAACTGCGACGTCCTAGGAGATTAAGTTGAATCCGTGTGAGTAGTGTGAGAAGAGAGAGTGTGTATATCAAAGTGAATGATCGCGTGATAGCTAGCAGATATTAGTAACGAATATAAAATCGAACTTCAATTAACTTACAGCTAATCTTAAGATCATTCCATAATTGCATCTTCGACCTTTTGATCTTTTGTGCTTGCTGTTCTCCTTGTTGCCCTCCATCTTGTGCTCCATCAACCCCTAACTCTAATCCTGAAGGTATTCCGAGTTGACTTATATGCATTCCACTATCACTAAAACTCACCATGCTTCTACCATCGTCATCGGTAATGCTCGGAGGACTGGAACCCCAATCTGATCGACGATCAGCTCCATTTCGTGCCTGCTTCGCAGCTTTCTGTTGTTGCAACTCGTCGGTGATTCTCTCCGTTTTCAATTCTGCAAGAATGTTCTCGGTGGCGGTGGGCAGGAGGGCCAAGACGGTGTAAGTACAGTCCTCTTGATTTTGTTCAAACCGACGTCGAAGACTAAGAATAAGTGGATAAGCATAAGTCACTATCTCGGTGGGTATCAAACTTTACTTCTCTCGAGCTATACGATCACTACTCATACGTTGTCGAGCATCAGAAATCTTTCCTAGCACGTACTGAGTAGCTACATAGCCTACACCAATCACTCCGAAACCAATCGCAAGGGGAGTTCTATTCCTCCTTGCCCATTTGCGAAGGGAATTCATGATTTTGTTCTTTTAAAGAAAAAGAATAAAACAACAATCACATAACGTTGAAGGATGATTGTGTAAAAGCTTGAAAATGTGAAGAAAACAATATAATATTGAATGCTGAAATGAGAAGATTTAATTATAGAGTTTCCCTCAGGAACTTTGAAATGTGAGGAAAGCTCCCTTTGTTGTCTCTGAAGACCGAGGATGGTAATTTGCCAGCCGTGCCAGCCACAACTCGGCTGACAGACCCATTGATATTCATGTACCGATAAGCATTCGAGTTTACTCCGTACACTATTGAATCTATTGCATAATAACTCCTTACCCCTCCATGTAAATGCACAAAGGCCAAAACGACCAAAACGATCAAAGCTTATTAAAGTGCAAAGCTTTTATAAAGTGCACGATCGAACTCTAGAAACAACAAACACAAACACAAATGAGAAGATTGAATAGTGGCAATGGACCAGCGTAGACCGCCAGAATACATTATTGAGGTGTTTGCGGACCCTACCTCCGTGAAAGAGGTCATTAGAGGCAAGTAGAAACGGTGTTTTCTTACCTTCATCAACATGACTTATTACTATTATGCGCCCGCTAACCCGACTCCTATACAGGCATTCTACATACCATTTTCTTCCAACGTTTCTTCCCCTCTATTAGACCAAAGTCTCGCGATGTTCTCGACATGACTCTGCCATACATTGAGAATGTTGAAATCGAAACACTTATCGATCAAAGGACCGCTGCTCTGGTGCGGCAACTAGATACCACCTCGGAAACTGGCGCGAGAAACACTGGTGTTAGAGGACAAATGGCTGTTCAATTTTTCGAGAAGAAGAGAAGAAAGGCTTGGTTTACGAAGGGCGTATGTTGATTCTGGAATTCAATTCCGATCATCCGGGTCGCATTCTTTCTGCCCAAAATATCTCCTTGGCTAACTTGGATAATACAGGAGGAAGAGGTATGTTGGGAACAGTGGACTTTGGATGTCACCTTAGCTACTCCGCGAACAGAAAGTGGTAAGGACACTTGAATACTCTATCATATGGTTACGGCTGGCTCACACATCACGCTCTACAGAACGAGCAAAGGTCAGAAACGCGATGGAGGCTATGTTACTGAAAGCGGCAATGAAGATCGTAACAACAGTCAATACGGAGAAAGATCATATACCACCTATTACCACGAGCGAGGCAAATCCGTTCCCTTATCAGATTACTATAAACCCCAGAGCAGATAGCTGGGGGGCTCGTATGAGTTTGTTTTAACACCACAAGATGATACGGGCATTGTAAATATTGACGTTGGCGTTTCGGAGCTAGATAGAGGATATTTTGGATACAGATACCCAATATGAATTGATTTTTATTCAACGAGATCCTATGTATCTCCTTAACATACAAGTAGTAAGTGATGTGAGGCACATGATGACGTATTCTACCCACTCTTTCCATACATTTATCTCCTGATAACCAAATGCTGTATGTATTTCTGCGGATCCAGATATTCAACACCCTTTACGAATCAACTTCATTGAAATAGTTATCATTGTTACTATTACCATACCTAGGTATGGTCTACAATGCCCGTATATTGAAGGTATACTCAGTGTGTAGGTCACGAGTACAATCACATAAATCAGGTGCTCGTGCCAATATAAACTTTCTTGGTTGTCATAGTGTTCAATGCTTTATAGAGATACTCAGCCATGAGTTGCAAATCGGTATGAAAGTCATAAGTTCAATCATGTAATAAGTAGGTGCTCGTGCCACTGACTTTCTAAATTCTCATAATATCATAAGATCGTAAATCCATATCACATCAGGCTTTGCTGAATCCCCTTCCCCTTCCACGTCCCCTGCCGAATCTAACACTACTCGGAACAAATCTCAGTGATGACATGGCCTTTTCTAACCCTTTCATCTGATCGTCTTCTGGTTCAAGAACTGGTGCAGCCGTCTCAGATACTTCCATGTCATCATCTTCTGTCTGCGATGGGGGGACACCTGGTCCACAAGTAAATTCTTGGTCGATGCCTTGATTGTTCAAAGTTGGCTCAGTAGTGGCGGCATGTTGTCTAACTTCTTCGACTTTCATTTTTGCTGCCGAGCTGTATCTTCGATGTCCATGGCGTCCTGATCTAAGCATGGAGCTTTTATGATCAATACCATCATTCACAACGAAGAAGTCATACTGCTGAGGGAACATATGTTTATCAATGAGATGCATACGTCTCTTCTGAGGAGTTGAGCATTTCCTATCACAGTCCTCAACAAAACAAGAATACTATTCGAGAATCAGTAGCTACAGACTATACACACTTAGGGATTATCTTACAATCTTTTCTCCTCGGTCCTTCCTAACACTAACCAATGCATCATGATTTTCCTCAATATGAAGATTGAGAAAATGTTCCGAAGGAAGGTTCTTACGACATTCCAAGCATCTGTTCATGTGAGACTTTGTATAGTGTACTTCGTAGTCATCGAATGAAGGGAAGGATAATGTTCGCTGATGACCTGGCAAAGAGCACCGCATTACTGTAGGAGCTTCACCGGTCTCCTCACCAAGGTGAACAAATTTGGAGGAGGCTTGAGGTGTAGAATTTGAGGTGACTTTGGTTTCCTGTATGTCGGATGAATTGGGAGTCTCTATAATCTCTGAACCTGGTGAAGAAGGATCATCAAACTCTTCATCTCGTAAACGTTTTGTCATTGTGTACCAAGATGAAAGAAAATGAAAAGAATGTTATAAGATGCGGGGGAAATTACTCTATTATTCGAAAGTAGTTTTCCTCTGCTTCGGATTCCCCTTCTTTACCTGCAATGATTTGATATGTCCTTCTCACCCACCTACAGTCAAGATATCGAAGTAAATCGCTGACAATAAGTGAGTGTAGACAGTTGAAAATTGAGACTTGGAAGTTGGAAAAGGTTGCAGCTATTTCTGAGTGATGGATAGTGTAACAATGTCCTTCCTGATCTGATGTTAGACTATACTTGAGTATTATTTCTTTTTTTTTGCTCCGGTGACAACAGATTGTCTGACATACTCCAGTGGCAGGTAGTATTTATTATTATTGTCAAAGATTACAATTATGTTGCGAGGTTGACTTGGCATAAATATAAGGCGGTGTATAGAATGTAATACGGCAGAAAATAAAGGGAAATCGTACTAAACTTACCAGTAGGGAACTGAAGCATCACTTCAATCATAACTCATCATCGAACTCTTCCCCTCGTTCTCCTCATGTATTCTCATAAGCATAAGGCTCAGAAAGACCATAAAGTCTTTTTGTCATTTCAATCTTGCTTAATTCCTTGAAACCATAATCGAATAGTGAATTATATTTCATCGAATTTGTATTCACCTTGATTTTTTGCCAAATTCCCCCCAAACTTCAATTTTGTGATCTTCCCTCACATTTATTTTCCCACCAGACTCCATGGCCAACTCCTACAACTATTATTCTGGTGCAGGAAGACAAAATTCAACCTAACAATAAGTCGACCTTGGGATTCTTCATAATCTCCCGAGGAACTTTCGCTATGGATAAATCTTCTATTCAAGAAAACTGGCTGTAAGTGCCTATTGTCGCAGTCGCAGCTATTATGCCGCCGATTCATGCTAACTTTTGTCTCCTCAGCGTTGCACAAAAGGTTGAAAAGGAGCTACAATCGCAGCTGAATAAAGATTCCCCTACATTCGAAGATATTCAACATCTTCTCACACAGTCCGTTATTGTATCCTTGTCTTATCGCACGACTCTAATGATACCAGGTTGCGCATTGCTTGTGAAGCAGTTATCTTTGGCGACTTCGAATATGCTACTAAGCAGCGTGTACAATACCGTCTCTGGGACTCGCATAGTCTGATTAATTCCCGATATCGAAAGCTCGTCGCTCATTACCGTTCCGCCGATCAGAGACGCCGTGCTGTGGAGCGCCGAAAGCTTGAGAAGCACTATGTCGATTTCCTCAAAGAGAGCCAGTATTTCTACAAGGGATACATTCAGCGTGTTGCTTCTCACTATGGTCCTCTTCCTGCATTGCAACGCATCGCAAACCGTCTTTCATTGAGCCCGCTGTCTGTGGACAAGCCTATCAAAGCTGGCAGAACCCTTGAATATCTGCTTAAGCTTTCCTGTCACTTCACCCTACTTCGTCTCGGAGACTTGAGTAGATATCGAAATGACTTAAGAACTAAAGACCGTAGCTGGGACCCGGCTCTAGGATACTATTCTCTAGCTGAAGCTCTTTATCCTGATTCTGGTAATGCTCACAACCAGATGGCGGTCATTGCGCTCGCTGATGGCAATCATCTCGATGCATTATACCATTTGCTACGTGCAGTTGCTGTCAAAGAACCCCATACATTGGCTCGTGGAAACTTGGCTATTGAGTACAAAAAAATATCTACCAGTTGGGAGAAGGAAAGGCAGAGTAGACGTCGCCCAGCACCCGTCGAGTCCGCTCTTGTCATTTGGTTCGTGAGACTACATGCAAGATTTTATAAGGGTGTGGAATTTTCTACGCAAGGTGAATTAGAGAATGAAGTTTTGGGTCAATTGGTCTCGGCCTTGAAAGATCACTCGTTTGAGGAAACTCTAAACAAGCTGGTGCTAATCAATATGGCTGCAAATTATCTGGCAACCCAGAGGCTTACAGGTAAGTTGAATCCCCCTTATCTTGATTTTAGTTTTCCTTGTAGAGATTCTGACATGCTATGTAGAAGCGGAGGGTGGTGTAACCGATGACCTCAAAAAGTCTTTTTATTTCCTTCTTGGCTTCAACCTTCAAGTATTCTGCGTCCTGCTGCGAGCACTTATCTCAGAGCTTGCCGATGCAGCTGAAGCGGAGAACTTGGAGTCTTTGACTGCCACAGATTCATCCGGCGATTCCTTCGAAAAGCTCAGCCCAGTCGCAATTAGAGTTCTCCCCACTATTCGACAATACTTTGCCTGGATTATCTCTCAACGTCTCCTCCTTGTCGGTCTCGGAGATGGAGTTGACCGGGAGTCTACAGGTCCATTAATTGGTCATATTCAGAGAATGTGGAAGACAGCTGCAGATGCACTTTCCGCCCTCGTCGGTTTCTTTCCTGTCGCAACGCTTCCTTATCTTTCGTATTTATTGCCTGAAGACGAACAGACACTTGGATTTAAGCCTCTCCGGGATTTGCCAGATGGTTTGGAAGAATACAGTCTCTACAATAAAGATGATGGCTTTTTGAAAGCTCGTATCTCCGACGGTATCATTCGGCAATCCCATAACGAGAATTATGCTCGTATCCGGGATATCCTACGAGCTGGCATGGCTCTCCATTTTGAAAAACCATGTCCAATTATGATGACTGATGATAGTAGATTTGTCTATGGTACTGAAAGCGCTGTTGTACCCCCTTCAAATGGCTCTGCAATACCAAGTCAGCCAGCGAAATCCACTTACGCTGTCCAGAACGATGCGAACACCAGCAGCGAGGTCCCTGTAGTATCGGACTCCCTGGGCATTATGGATAATGAAATGAATCGCATGGTGGACGATTTACTTGAGCCTGCAAGTCTTGCTCCTAGCGAAGATACATCTTATGGTTTGAGCAGCTCTACTGCAAATGCTGTATTTGCGCCTATTGGCTCTGAAAGAGCACGTCCATTGGCAAATAACCATATTACACCCACCAAAGGCTTTCCAGGTCTACCTGGAATCTGGGGCTCGCCTTTTACACCCAAGCCTAATGAGCTTCGACCCATCAGTCCCGAAAAGTCATCAAGCTCTTGTGGATTTTCATCAATGAATTACTCAACTAGTAAAGACCAGCTTGCTGCCGTTGCGGCCCTCGACAACATGACAGGAATGCAACAAAGAGGCACAAATGGTGGTGCCAATAATGCAAAGAACCAATTCTCATCTTTTGATGCCTCCACGCCTGTCAACCAAATGTTGCAGGAGTCATTGACGAAGCAATTTGGACCCATGTCAATCTCATCGTCGGGGTTTTCAACAAACAGCAGCATCTACGCGAACAACTCACCACCAAAGGCATACTACGGCAAGACTTTGGGTGGCCCATCCTATAATGGACATGATAGTAGTACCTATACAGGTGCTAGCGAGTTTGATCGAAGTGCAATGTTACAAAGCTCAATTTGGAACAGTCAGACAGAGGATGGCTATTACAACCGTACACCCCCCGCTGGGCAAGGTCACAGAGGCTGAGTTCAATTCATTGTCATGAATCATTGAAGGTTCATTACAACCCACCAATCTAATATCGTCGTTATTCACACCCGCATCTTCATCCGACAGTGGTCTTGCGTCTGTCGTCATTAACCAGTAAGATGTTTTTACTCTTACATAGTCCAGGTTATTATCAGGGATTCATCAGCAATCATCAGCAGGCAGATGTCATCAGCACATTGTAAGAAAATCACAGTCAGAAGCTGTAACTGAGAGTTATCAAAGCAAATATCAGTAAATAACGTTTTATTGGGTTTCAAAAAAAAACACGCTAGCTCTATGAATTGATCGTGGAGGATCGTAAGGTCAATGCATCATGCACTACATCATTTCGATTGTAGACGCTCCTGTTGTTGAAACCATCACCCGAACGCCGTCTAGAATCAGAATGGGAAATAGCTTATAGGTATCTATTGGCTGGTAGGCTTGTAAGTCTGCTTAGGGAAGGGGAATCTGCAAATATCGTTAGTTTGTAATTTAAACAATTTGATGAAATTGTACACCGATTTATCACAATGAAATGTGCATGTATGAAATGATTGAAAGACTTACGAAGGGCCCAACTCCTGTATGCTCAACTTAGCCAACCATTGTCCTTGATCAACGCACTGATTGAGGGATTCTCCAGCAACCAAACCAGCAGTAAAGCCAGCAGCGAAAGCATCTCCTGCACCCGTGGTGTCGTTGATCAAGTTCTTGTCGATGGCATGAACTGGATATTCCTTAACATCTTGTCCGTTAACAGCTACAATAGTAGGAAGAGTTCCTTGTGTAATAATGGCAACTCTCTGTCTCTTCGTGTTCGCTTTTGGCAAAGCAGCCAATGCCTTAGCAATCTCCTTGATATCCTTAGACTCAACACCATGGCTTTCAGCCCAGGCCAAAGCCTCAGTCTCATTACCAATGACATAATCCCAGTAAGGAGCAGTAGCATCAAGAGGCTCCTTGAAGAATTGAGAAATGAATGGTGCAGAGAGGGAAAAGACAAATGTCTTGTTGTTCTTGGCAGCCTCTTCAGCAAGAGCTTGGATAGCTGGTGGGCAGACGGTCAAATGATATCCACCAACAAAGTAGTGTGTAGCATTTTCAACCAACTTCCAGACCTCGGGCGACTTCAAATGTTCCAAATCGTAGTGGTTGGCAGCGCCCAAATCAGTACACATAGATCGGTTGTGGTCGGTGATCACTACACCACAGCGTCCAGTGGGTTGGGTTTTGTCAACACGGTATTCGACACGGAGACCGGCGGTCTTGACAGCATCGTGCAAGATGGCGGCATATTTGTCGTCGCCGACTCCACCGAGGAATACAACGCTGTTGGGAGGGAGAATGTATTGGGCTCCACGAGCAGTGTTCTGGGCTCCACCTCCGGCAATCAATTTGGCGGAGTAGTTGTTGAGGAGATCTTCGTAGATGCCGGCGTGTTTCTCTTCAGCGAGGATGGCATCGTTGGGCTTGAGGCCGTACTTGTCGAGAAGGGCTTGGTTACCTTGAGCTTGAATATCTGTATGATAAAGTTAGTGTCAGTTGAATTGTTATGTTGGCAGAATATAGGTTGAAAGCCTGGACGGAGATAGCTCTTTCCCTTGAGAATGATGGACTCGAATCTCGAATTTTGCTACTTTGAAGCTGTTGAGAGCTCTACATATTGATTGTGCGTCGAAGGGTGACACATTAAGAAATGGTTCAGATTATAACCTTTACTTACCAAGCAATGGGTTCTCCAAGCAAAGGAGGGCGTATTCTTTAGTTCCAGACATGGTTACTATAGCTTTGATGGTATATTTTAAGTTGTTGTATTTTAATGGCGGGGTTGCGGCGTGGTGAAGAAAGATATGGTGGGGCTGAAATTGGGCTCAGCTTCCGAGAAACAGAGGCCCACTGCGAGGAACCAATTCTTAAGAGGTCATAATGGGACCCAAGAAATATTGTTCCCACGGTTCATAAAATAACAAAATAAATAAGAGTGCTTGTGAAATCACAGAATAACACATGTATGTTCTTGTGAAACGAGAATCGAGTCATTGGAGATTACGAGGGTCAAATTTCGGATCCAGGTTGGTAGAAAAGCCATCAATTCATTTTGTTTAGTGCCTGTTAACATGCCATCACGATCTCCTGATCACTACTAAATCATGCCAGAGCACACAAGATTGTTTGGTAGAATTCTTTTCTGTCATCCTCATTGAGATCCATCCCAAATTACAAAGATGCAGGCCCAACATATCCGAAGCAATGAAAATCCCCTCAACTCGCTCAATCCTTGACCTTTTGGGTACCACGTAACAGACCAGTTCTTCTCGCAGCGATAAGACCAGCCTTTTGACCTTGTGCGGCGTATCTTGAGATTGTGGATGCTTTACCAATATGTTGATGGTTACCACCCTATTTTTCATTAGCATATGATTCTGGCACGGTTGGAAAATTATACATACTCCGTGAGGATGGTCAACAGGGTTCATGGCAACACCACGAGTCTTTGGCCATGAGTTACGCTTGACGGCGAACTTATGCTTAGCACGGGATGCCTCTGTATAAATTGTCAGTATATCCGACTTTCCATATCCTTTTCATGTCGATTGGGCCTTTCAAAACGTACTCAAGAGAGGTTTGTCGGTTCTTCCACCACCAGCAACAATACCGATCATTCCACGGGCACTGCTCTTAATGACCTTCTTGGCACCGGATGGGAGCTTAACACGGGTCTTTCCCTCATCAGGGTTGTGTCCGATGACGGTAACATAGTTACCAGAGGTACGTCCCAACGCACCACGGTCGCCTGCCTTCTCCTCAACATTTGAGATAACGGTACCTTCTGGAACAGATCCGAGAGGGAGAACGTTTCCGACTGTGAGGTTGGCGTTCTTTCCAGCGTAGATGAACTGTCCGGTGTACATTCCTTCGTTGGCGATGAAGGTCTCGGTGTGGAGCTTGAATCTGTATGGATCGCGGAAGACAACCTTGGCGAGGGGAGCACCACGTCCTGGGTCGTGGATGATGTCCTTTACGACACCACGGACGTAACCGTGTCTCTCAGCATAGTCGAGAGTTCTGAACTGAGCAGGTGCCTTGTTCAATCTTGTGTTGGCTGTAAAGATCGAGCCACGGCCCTTTCTTTGGTTCCTAATCACTCTGCCCACTGTTTACGAGAGGTTAGCAGACTTCCAAAGCATGTTGTCGAAGATTGAAGCTATTCTGAGTTCAAATGAGAGAGTGCAAGGTGGAAAAAAGCGCGATCAATCCCATTTTAGGGTGAATAGTGATCTTGGAAAATTGAGTCTATAGTTTTTTGGAGTAGTAAAACAGAAATTGAAGACTTAACTTACTCTTTGCAGTTGTCGCGACGATTTGGGAAAATTGTGTCGGGGAAGAGATTCAAAAGTTAATCGACTAAGATTTGGCCATGCTCAATGTGTTGTGTGCGCTAATAGATTAAGCGACGCACGTGATTTGAAAAATTGACTTTCGCTGGTTATGACTTCTCCAGCCCATGCTGATTACATGATTCAAGCTTGAAGCCTTGCTTTCGAGGTATGAATCTTCCGAAGGTTTACCGTATAATCTGAAATAATTTAATTCTGATTTCAATGTAAATAACAACGAGTCAATCTTTTCATAATTAATTATTTAATACTTATAGTATTTTAATTCTTCTTAATTATAAAAGCTAATGAATTTTAAAAATTTAAATTTTAAAACCTGTAGATAAATATTTTCATATTTATAAAAGATTGATAATATAATTATATAATATATATTATTAAGTTCTAAGATATTATAGATTATAAGCTAATAATAAAATTTAAAATATAAGAAAATAAGACTAATATCTAATCTATTTTAAAAAGCAGGTTTCGATTAATAATCAATACTGATTATATGAGTGATATAATATATAAATCTAATAATTATTAATTTTCTTATTTTATATTAACCCTTGTGAACTTTCTTGTTCGACTACTCATTAATTAGACTCACGGAGCCCGACATATTCCACCGAACAACCTCAGAGCTATCTATCAGTACCAAGAAATTAAAGTTCATATACCGATATCAACACCAATAAACTCCATTATTTTGCGATGTCTTCCTCGGACCCTCTCGAGATAGCATCTACAATACAAAGTGCCTCGATAAAGCGCAATCCGTCTCCCAACCATGACATAAACCCCACCACCGCCGCCTCCAGCAAAGAGCCCGTAACTGTTCATCCAGACTACGCATTCGATGATAAAGATAGTATCGATGGCGAGGAAGAGATAGAGGATATTCCCTACGATGTTATAAGACCACTTCCACGACGTGCGAGTTTCCCACCAATACCCGATTTACGATTTGAGCAGAGTTATTTGGCTAGTATTGCACATGCGGATTCATATTGGAAGGTTGCTTTCATAACGGTTAGAGATCAAGTATGTTTCTTGTTTCCCAATAGTTATCTATTCCTCATTTGAAAACTGCGGGACACGCAGGCTAATTCTTGTTCCTAGTTATGCATGCCACTCATTCAAGGCATTGCCGTAACTCTCCTCTGGGCTGGCTGGAAGCACTGGAACAAGAATGCCAAACTGAGTGGCAACAGTGCCGGCGCCCGAGTCCGTCGATGGTGGTACACGGTCAACAACTGGCCGATCAAGGAGAAGATAGCGGAGATTGGAAAGAATGCGAAATTGGCGGCGGAATTGGGGGATGTAAGTCCCCTTGCGATGCTGTATTGAGTTTTTTATTGCTGATGGATTTGGGCAGTTTTATAAGACTCAAGCTTCTGCCGGAGATTGAGCTGATGAATGACGAATGTGGTGTTTTGTGAAATGGAATTGGCGTTTGCATGGACGGCGTTTGGGACAATTCATTGAAAAAAATACTGGTTTAAATATCGAGGTCTTCGAGTAGATGGAACTACACACTGTGCGGATGCATGTGATATATTGGGATAGCAAAAAGCTCTAGACCAACTCGATACATTATCTCACCACAACACGAATTCTGTCAACCTACGAGTAGCAGACTCTTCTGGGATGGTCGTGATAGGGTGGAGAAGATATATGTGGGCATATACAATTATAGTGCAGTAGCCACGAGATTTTCTCAATTCTGTCATGAGCTAAGACTAGCATAAATACTTACGTTAATATGCCTCCAAAGATGATTATGTATATCGAAGAACATAAGTATACCCAATGATCAGCTTTAGTAGCTCCCACCCAAGCAAATCACCATCCCTTTATCTTTACGCCTTTTGTCAACAATAACACCTTTTTCCATACCCGCTATCATGAATAAATATTATAACATTAAGAACCACCACAGCCGACATTGATTGATGGTGGTAGGGCGGAAGCTTTTTCGGGGCTACCACGGAAAGTGAGAGTAGGCGAGAGTTGAGTTTGAATCGGTTTCGTCGTAATGAAAATCGGCTTGATTTTCTTATCTGCTTCAGCTAAAATAGCCTTCCCTTCACTGGTGACTTCCATAGATGTATGTGGGCTTGGATCCTGTCGAGGAGCCACGCTGTCCGAATTTGATTTAGACTGTGGGCTTAGATGAAGTTTGATCGTAGTCTTCTGCTCCGGGGTTGGAGTTTTGACTGGAAGCTTGACAATTAAGCTTTTCTTCTCCTCTTCGTCATCCTCCATTTGTTCAATTTCATCGGTCTCCTCTGCAGGCTCCTCTTCGAGTTCCTCAACATCGCTTGCTATAGATACTTGATCGTCGTCTTCCTCGTCATCACCATAATCTTGCTCACTAGCATCATCTTCCTCGTCGTCGTCCATTTCGTCTACTGAATTGTAACCCTCAATGTGCTTTCCCTTAGAAGCCCAATCGCGACCGCGACTGGTAGCACCAGCACGGCGTGGCCTAGAAGTCACCTCTTCTGACTCTTCACCCAGTTTGACATCTCCACGACTCTCTGTAGCAGCGTGTATTCCGCCGATAATACTTTCACCATAAACTCCACCAACACGAGATCTGACCTGACGGCCACTTAATGTAACAGTAGGCCCCGCTGGCTCAGCTGGGGTGTGGCTGCCAGTGTTTCGAGTAGAACGACGTGATCCGGTAGTGTCAGAAAACCCCTCATCGTCATCGTCCGAATACGTGTATTTCATGCGCTTTCCTCTGGTACGACCTTCATACATCGAGAAGTTTGGTTCTGGACGTTTAAATTGCTCTTTACGAGCTTGTCGATATTCTCTTCTCTTTCGTTTCTGTGAAATTGTTAGTCAATCTGAAAATAAGAGAAAGTATTGAGACTAGGAACATTATACCTCTTCAGTCGCCTCGAAACGTGGAACTGCCGCAAGCATTTTACCACTTAGCGTTCGGGCTTTTTGACCACCATCGTCCTTGACTAGTTTCTCTGCTAACAATTTCAACTCATCAATATCACTTGCAACGCTCCACCAAGTTCTCTTCAAGCCAGTATGGTTGCTCTCCCTGTAGACTCTGAAGTGTGTGTCGCCCAAACCTTCTACTAAATAGTAACGACGTCTATCGGCATCCGATCCCCAAGGCTGTACAGAAAGTGGCTGGTTCAAATCATCTTCATGGCGAGTTTGCTTGTATGAAGCTGTAATCATACCCTTAACCACGTCGGAGGAGGCTAGGGACCAGAGTATGAGGGTTCGTAATAGAGTAAGCTATAATTCAAAATCAGCAAGGTTCATTCCTTCGCAGACAGTGTATGAGTGACCTACTCGCTCTGTAGGAGACATAGAAGTGAACGTTGCCCCTCCAGAAAGAGGGTTCTTGCTCTCCCAATCCTTCGCCCATTGCAGTTTATGTGTCTGAACAGCTTCCTCGAGGGCGCGGTTATAATGTCCAGCTCTGTATTCGATAAGTGATTAGCCATTGATTCTGCAGAAACTTCGAAGTAATGCGAGCCACAGCACACATGTCGCAAATTTGACCTACTTCACATCCTGCTTTCTATTTAAGAGAAGTCCCAATAATGCGCAAAGAAATTGTTCTGCATGCTCTCCAGGCGTAGTACCAACAATAGCGTGTTCCAATTCTTGGGGTCCAAAGTTGGGTAGAGATTTCGGAAATACTTCACTGAACCGGGCACGGAACATGACGATAAACTGCATAGAATCTGTGTTAGCGACCATTGAACACCACGACCACGCGATTTGTACGCGTAAAATCCTCTAGTACGCGACGATAAGAGTTATACGTACGGCAATGTCTAGATTATCTGCTAAGACATATTCATGAGGTGGTGATGGTTCTCTCTTTGGTCGTGGTGGAGAAGCCTCAATTTTACGTTCAGTAGTTGGTTTTGGGGCTTTTGAGAAGAATTTTAGAATGCCATCTTTTTTTGTTAATTGTAAACTTTCATCCTCAGATGGGACAGAGGAGAGATCCGAAGAGTCGTCAGAAGATGTCATGTTGTGGTTGAGTCGTGGTGTTCTGAGATTCTGAGATCCTAAGATTCTGAGGTTGTTTGATAAGAAGCTTTTTAGATGATGAAGTCAGAGAAGCTCAAAGATATTGCCGACAAGCGCGACTTGGAGATTTATTGGTCTAAGCATTCTGTCACGCACGTACAACACAAAGGGACATCAGGCAAGCGGTGAATAAGGTACCAGCAGTCTTTCCATTAGTCCTATAGTACGATTCGATATTTCTGAGCATTCTTTGATACCACCTAACCCCATATCGTATACCACGTTTGTCTCTCCCCCACAAAGTTCATTCCTTTTCCAACTTCCACCAACAATAACTGCTCAAATCGAAACTCAAGTTTTGGTCTTTTTGCCCCGCTCAACCATCGCAATTATTTGACGTATTATGGTCGGTAGGTAGGTAGTATCCTCTTAGGTGAAGCACGAAATTTCGCAGTCCAAAGAAACCTACAGCAACATCCATTCCTTTTACCTTGTGTATTTGCCAATGTTTCATATCCAAGAAGACATTGGATTGTTCGACGCCTGGGATGGAAATTCGGCAACGCCATGTAAGGGAAAACCACCCACACTCGCTTACCAAGATACTCAATGGAAACAATTTTGGACTCACCTGGCTCGAAATTTTGAAGATATAAAAATAGAGAAATTTGTTAAACATACTAGTTACCATACGGAGCTCGTGTACGATCGGGTAACCTCTCCTTCACAGATGGTAATTTTACTTTCGTATAAATATGAAAATATATACATAAAGAGAAAATAATTCGCATCTAACGAAGAATTGTTGGAATTGTTGGATTGAAACAGTAGCGATAAAGACGTCGAAAGCTAAGTCGTGATTGATCTTGCGCCCGGGGTTTAAATGGTGACGAACGTACCTAGACGGCCGAATGTACAACTGCCCACAACTGAAATCCTGCCACGTCATGTCTCTTTAGCTAAAGTCAAAGTCTGATTGAATGAAGGCCACTTGATTGTTGAAATGATTCCAGACATTGGAATGACTCCAGATATTGAAATGAGTTCAAACATTGAAATGATTTCAGATAATGAAACGATTCCAGATATTGAAATGATTCCAGATATTCAAATGGTTCCAGATGTTGAAGTGATTCCAGATATTGAAGTATTCCAGACACTGAAATGATTTCAGAGATTGCAAGCATGCCTGTGGTTGAAACGTGAACTTGGAGGAAAAGACATAAAATGTCGACACCAGTCATAGTGCATTAATCCCACGTATCTTGCACGCATAAAGCCCGGCTTCAAATTTAGGAAGAAACCCGACTTCGCAACTGTTCAAATAACTTGGGACATTGAAAATGTGTCCACGGTAGTAGCTCGGAACTCGGAATGGCGAGGGAGACAATAAATCTCCCGCGAAACTCCAAGAATCGTAAATCCAACCAATTCGTGAAATTCAAGCCGTAAAACAGTACAATGGGTAGAAGTGATTCCTGATAGTTGAGATAATCTTGGACATTGAGAAGCCTGATATCTGGTCGCGATTTGCGAACCCCGCAATTCCTCGCTGCGTAGGGCATATGGCTCCCATGGCTTAACTCTGCACCACCCTTGCAATTCATCAGCTTCGAAAATCCACAAAGTCATGAGGTACTACACAATCACAACAAAAAGTGGTAATAATGAAGACATTTTGATAGAACGCTGCAGAGTTTGAAGATCGCCTCAGAACACTATCCAAAGGCCCGGAAAATCCCCAATGAATCCACAACCTTGTAGATACCACCGACTACAACGTGTGCAGAGCTGAATCGATTAATACAAAATGAGTCTTAGATAATATGTGATGCAGAACACGAGATGAAGTGATGAAGGAAGAAAGTCAAAGGTTGACACCAATATAGTCCTAACCCAACTCAAACTACAATACCAGTCCTTAGCGAATAATTTTCATTGGTACATTGCACCGCCTTTCATTGTCGGGCCACGATTCATGACATTGGAATTTGTATGTTGAGGTAGAATTTGGGTCAGTATCGACAGTCGTCTGTAGAAATATCCACTAGCGTATCCTTGTAATAGTGGCCTTAAATTACTCATTCAGAACTTCAGGCCATAACGTTCATTTCTTTTCAGGACTAGTGCAATCGCTTAAATTTTGAACTTGAAGCGAAGGAACGCACTTTGAGAATTGTTCGATGCTTTTATTTATTTTTTTATATAGTAGTCTAGTGTTTATATAGACCTACTTCTAATCCTTTCGCTCTTCTAATTAGCTAATATAAGTAAGAGCCTCTCAGAGAATTTAATTAGTCGTTTTCTAAATAATATAATATTTATATATTATGTTCTAACTTTTGAAATAAAATAACTAAACAAAATCTATTTGTTTTTTATAAATAATTTAATAATTTTAAAAAAAAAAGTATTTTGAATAATAAATCAAACTATTATTTAATTAGTATATAATTATAAACTAATTAATAGAACGAAAAAGTAATGATTAGATAAAAGCAATTAAGAACTTTCTAATAATATAGTTGCTTTCAGAATAAACCCTATAATAGTAATAAAAAGAATTGATTAAATTGAAAACATTACCTTTCCCATGTCTCAGTATTTATACTCAAGCCATCAACTCCTTGTACTAGTATGGTAGCAGTTGAAGCCTGAGGTCTGGATGATCAGAAATCAATTCATCTTGCTCTACAGCGCATAAGTCCATCGTCTTCTGCATCCAACGTTCCGGATCCGTAGGTAGGGTGTATTGATGGCAGAGGTTCCCAGGCTTTGACGTTGACGAAAAAAACTGATTCCTGGTCTTCATCTGGTACTTCGACTGTCAGAAAATCTTTTATATACTTCTTTAAGATGATACCATTTCGTCCCAAACTATGCTCATAGTCGTAGCCTGGTCCTGAACACCGGCCGCAGACAACGATCGACCTAGGTGTTTCGTGTGTACTGGTTGTTGCATCATTGGTAAACTTTTCAAGGACTTTCTTCGTCTTCTCATTCCGTTTACGTGCCCTCCAAGCAGCAGTATTTTTTTTTACCTCTGGCCTTCAATACTTCATGCCCCGCTTTGGTTTTTTTGGCGTCGTGATAGTACCTTCTGTCCCTTCTGTCTTGGATCAATTTTCTTCTTTTTGCTCTGGCACGGAAGTCTTCCGGTTCATCACCTGCTAATAAATATCAGTCTCAATGTCATTAGAATGAATGTATGGTAGTACAATTACGTAGTCCTCTGACACCAAGTAGCTCCCAGTCAGCTTCTTCTGTTTCCCAGCCTTCGTCATCTTCTTCTCCTAGCAATTCTCTCTCCAGTGCTGTCAAATGATCGACATTCCATAGTTCAGCAGTGCGGCCTATATCCTCGTGGTTGTACACCTCCCCTCTCACAATAAATCGTCCCAATCTCGGGCCTGTCCCAGCGGTCCCGGACCGTTGAGGGGGTTTGCTTGAAATGACGTGGATGTTATTTTCTGGTTGAACGTACGTAGATACATATTCTGGGAGTGGTGCCCTCATCTTTCCTCGTTTCCGTCCATTAGATTTGTACATGCCGGTCCAGTCAACGGTGGTTCCTTTGCTTGTCCAGTTTTTCTTCCCGCTTATTGCCCCCCCCCTTTAGATACTCCACCGCCCAAGGCACCACCTTTCTTCTTTTTCACAACCTCCACATCTTCATCGGTAGTATAAATGATATCATCTTCATCATCTCCTCCTCGATTGGCTATTGATACTTCCATATCCTCCTTCTCCATATCCATATCATCTTCTTCGGTAATATCCTCCTCACTCTCAGCACATGAAAACTCATCCGAATTTTCATCAGAAACAAATTTTCCTTCATCGTCGTCATCATTTGAGAAATTTTCGATGCTAACGTTCGACTTAAGTTCTCTATATCTCACTCCATTGAGTTGACGATGTAGAATCAAGGCTTGAGCCCGACCAGCATCGAGCGTAACCACCAACGATTTTGACACACCCTTTCCTTTTCCTTCCTCTATTATTTCTCCTCCCTCCACAACGGTCCTGGACCGCTGATATCTTGAATATACTACAAAATAACAAAAGAAAACATTACTCAAATATATATCATTTCATCAAAACGAATGACATTTTGGTAGAATTTGATGTTGGAAGGTGAAATATGAATGTTGAGTAATGTGAATGGAACTCGACGACCAATATTCACTTTAACTCAGTTTCAAAAATTTCACCTTTAACATTCATTTCCTTAACACACCCAATATTCATATCATTACTTCCTTCTTTTCTTCACTTAATTCCCATTTACAACCTTCTCCTTACCTACAACTTTCTTCTAACCTACAACCTCCTCTCCCCCTACAGATTTTCTTCCCACTTACAACCCTCTCCTTATATACAACTATCTATTCTACTTTCTTATCATTTTTATTTATTTACAATCCAGCTTATCTCTCCAAGATATCTATCACTTCTCTTTTGAATTCCTAATAACTTTATTTGCCTACTTTTCCAAAGGAAACCGAAGCTCAACTTTCCTCCCTGCAAAGCTATAATTACACCCAGCATACACACACCTGCAAGCCTCAAGGTAAGATTCAGCGGTCCGGGACCGTAAAAGGATAACAACTAACCTATAATCTCAGGATCAAACAATATAGCGCCCTCTCAGAAGAAAGTCAAAGGAAAGGCTAAGGTCAAGGTTGAGCCCGGTCAGTCTGTCGCTGCCGGTTCGAAAATTTCGAAACCCCTTCTCAAGGATCAGAGTTATCAAACCAAGAAAGATTTGAAACGAGTGGAAGAATTGAGTAGGGAATATGCTGAATTGGCGAAATCTCTACCCGAAGAGGCTCTGCCATTGATCATTGACCGACCATCTTTTGTCGAAATGCTTGAACCCCTCGCAGGACCTTCAACAGTGGGTGCATTAGCAGCTGGTGTTATGGAAGCAGGAAGATACGCGGAAAACCAAGACAAGATCAAAAATGGTACGGCCAGAAAGAGATCTGCAAGATCATACAGTGACAAGTTCCTCACTGCTATTAACGCTCAATTCGCATCTATTCCAGCTTCCAACCAAACTTCTGGACAACGGTTCCGATCCGTAAACGCGGTTATGATCGAATATAAACTTAGTGAAGCCGAGCAAGAAGAAAGAGATGCTAAAGCCTACGACGAGTTCCGTGGGTTTGTCCAAGACCGCTTGAATGAAGAAGGCCCCGGCGGAGAAATTAGAGGAGACTATGCAGATTACATCTGGGAGAACTTTAAACATGCAAAGATTTCCGCAATTACAGAAAAAGTTCTGGAGTTCTTGAGAGAATTAGTTCATATTCAAGAAAGTCAACCACTTCTCGATCTTTCCAACGTTAACATGAAAGACATGGATGTAGTCGTTCAGTCAATCCGATCGATCGAGTCGAATTTTACCATTCAGATCTTGCAAAAAGCCTTTCTCCAAATGAATTTGGCTCAGTTGATGGATACGGCTTTTGAAGAGCATCAAAGATCTGGTGGTGATTTAAATCGAATCCGCCACTCAGAACAGTTATACAACAACTGGGATGAAAAATCTAAAGCTGCTGGCCACACCCCGGTCGAATGGACCGAAGAAGTGAGACTTGGTCATCGCTGGATCCGCTGGACACAGGTATTTGTCTACAGTCCCGATCCTTAGCAAATTGTACCAACACAAAACATAGATTTTGTCTGAAAATAACAAGGATTCGCGCAACGGACTGGGCCAGTTACTCGCCCTATCAGGCTTCAAGATGCCATCTGGTCGATCTGCCGTCTCATTTTTATGCAGAAAAATCAGCAATGCTGAGATGGTATATGCAGAGGTGTACATCGACAAGTACTTACCCGACATGCGAACCCTCTCCACATTACTTCATGACATAGCTCAAAAGCTTATTTCAGGTCGCACTGTTACAAAGCTAGAAATCAAGCAATTGCAAAATGTTATCAAGGATCGTATTACATTCTCTCAACATATCGAGGACAAGCCAGACAAAGGTGATAATTCAAGCATGCCTCCCCCCCCCAGAAACTTGGTGAGATGTATTCTAGAGAAGGTTCTACGAAAGGTGCTCAAAAAGGAAAAGAGATTGCTGTCGAGGATGGCGTTGAGGATAAGACTCAGGAAGAAGCGCCAGCTGATAATAATGCATGAACTATACCGCTACGGTCTGGGACCTTAGCTTGGCTTTTCTGGGGGGAGATTTTTATCAGGAATGCAAGTTTATTTATTGGGTTGCTTTGGTTTTCTCTGGGGAAAGGTTGCTATTAGGAGTCTACGTTTATCTATGGGGTTGCTTTGGGTTTTTATAAGGAAGGGAATACTTCACAGGGATTGCTTGTTATAAATAAGATAACGTAGTTCATCAGCATGTAGGCCATATTACATATGGACTACTTCATTTTATATACAAAATTCGTTTGTGCGTAACCATATACCTTCTTTATTAGCCAATAGAATTTGCTAAAAACTTCTTATTTAAAACCTAATTCTTCAACTATTTTAAAAATCTAATTCTTTTTTCAAAATTCTAATTATTATTAAAGTTATTAAAGAAAAAGAGTTTTTATAATACAAAGTGTAATAATTTCGAGCTAAAATGAATTTTTTTTTTTTAAAAAAACCTAAATATTATAGTTATTTCATTTTTATTATGATTTTTTATAAATTTTTCTTTTAAAAATAATGATTAATTATTAAAATATAAATATAAAAAAAACCCTTAATTTTAGTATATTTCGAAGTGGCCTACATGCTGATGAACCACGTTAAGCTTTATTATAAATTTCAATCAATAATTGAAATCAGTTACATTTTAGAAGTGCTCCCTTGAAATAATTTCAAAAGTCGTTCGAGAGATGAAACATTGACAAACGGTTGAATCCGTTGAATTTATAGCCTAGTCACCGCCACAGCCACACTTTAAAATATGCTTAAAGCCACTTCAGATTTGTCGAATTGTCTCAATGGTCCACCATAGTATCGTTGTCGGCACGCGCTTCAAACACACATGTTGTCTAGTGGAATGATATCCCAATGAGTCTTCAAGTGGAGTCTCTGGAAATAGAGAATGAATCTTGGGATGTAGAGGATGAGATTCAGGAACTGGAAAAGAAACTAGCAGCTGCAAAAGCCCGATTGGGCGATCGAGCTGCATCCTTTCCATCATCAAAAGATAAACATCCTATTGCTCTCAACAATGGTGAGAACATACTCATCTCTTTGGATGAAAAGCTTTCTAACCAAACCTTAGTTCTCTCTCCCCAGCCTAACCATTTCCTTCTCCTCCTCTCCGATTCCGCCCTTCCACTCGGTTCATTCGCCTTCAGTAGCGGTTTGGAATCCTACCTCGCGCACACAAAACCCAAATCATCATTCCCAGATTTCCTAGCCTTCTCACTATCTTCCTATGCATCTACCACTCTCCCATTCGTACTCGCTGCGCATCGAAACCCAAGAGATTTGGTTGATCTAGATGATGCTCAAGATGCATCGATCATGTGTACCGTAGGAAGACGTGCTTCGATTGCGCAAGGAAGAGCCTTATTGTCTATCTGGGATCGATCATTTTCCGCTGCTTTGTCTACAGGGTTGACTACTTCTGCTCCGGTCGATGGAATTGAGACATTGAAGGAATTTTCCATGCTGCTAAAATTTATATCTTCCGCACCCAAAACTACATCTGGAGAAATACCGCCTGTATCAGCTCATCTTGCTCCTTTGTTTGGCGCCATTACATCGATCGTGGGAATGAGTCTGGAACAGACAGCGTATGTATTTATGTTAAGTCATGTGAAAGCACTACTTTCGGCTGGGGTGAGAGCCAGTATGTTTGGGCCCTATCATGCCCAGAAGGTTTTGGCGAGTGAGGAGGTGCAAATAGGAATCAAAGAAGCTATTGGGAGGGAGTGGAATACCAAGATTGAGGATGCGGGTCAAAGTGTACCGGTTATGGACCTATGGATCGGAAGGCATGAAATGTTGTATTCGAGAATTTTCAATAGCTGATGGTTGTATAATGACATCATGAGAACAAAACCAATCACGGAACACTAGTATATTGTTTTCATTTTATTCCCTTATGGCTTCTGCGTTCGACGCTGAGGCAACCTTTGCTCCTATGATTTTGGCTCGTCTAAGCGAACCGAATATTATACAGTATACATGATCATACTACGATAGTTGGCCGACTCCTAAACTCCATTAATCCCCCATTTAATCACTATCACTATCATAAGCTACTAATGGCCCTACGGATGCTGTGGGTTTTGGTTTCGTCGCAATTGACCCCTTTGCACTTTCTAGTGCCGCCAAAGTACTACTGGAGAATATACCTCCACTCTCCTCTTTCTGTTCCGTCTGTTCGTAGGCATCCGCTTCAAGGATGAGTCTTTGCTCCTCTTCTAACTCGAGTCCCTGTCTACCCGCCGGGTTTACCGCATTGGCACCTCTAGCAAAATAGACGTCATCAGGCGCCTCATAACCTGCTAATCCAAAACCTCCTTCTATCCTCTTACGTTTTCGTGCTTCCGGGTCGCGGCCCTCTATTTCAGCCACAAACTCTGCAGGTAATGCCCTTCGGACAGCCTCCGCAGCTTGCTCCTCTATTCTCCGTACCTCTCGTGCTTGCGCCATCGGATTCGGATCGGCCGTCGCCCAACGTACGTTAAGGATTTCATTATGGTCTAAGGATTGATGTGCCATTGCCTCTTTCGCAAACTGTGCATTGGCCTCATTCGAATATGTGATAAAAGCGACACCTCTCGTATTCAGAACTCGGACTAAGTGATACAGATTAGCATATATTCACTACCTCATTGAGAGAGGAGGAAAAGAACTTACTTCTCTCAACCTGGCCCCATTCGGCAAAATGTCGCGCAACAATCTCTTCAATATCATCACTGGCATGTATCCTTCCTACATAAATCGTCCTATTTTGCCTCATGAAACTTCCTGTGCCTCCCATATCATCTCTATAATCCGAGTGTTTATCACGACCAAATACATCAACGTTCGGATTGAACATATCATGAATTCCTGGTAATCGATGTAGATATTCACATTCCTGACCCTTTGGACAGATCCCCCTTGCAAAAAATAAACAGAAGTAACTGCCCGTCACTTTGTCGGCTTTAGTGTATCCAGTATCATTCGCAATGTTGCAACGTCCCGCAGCAGCTGTCTTAGATAGATATTTATCCTCCCGATCACCTCCTGACCATTTGTTATACCAGATATTAAAAATAGTACCTGTTTGTGGAGGAGGCTCGCTCTTAATCGTCGAGGGATCGACTTGGGGACGCGCTGGACGCTTTTTTCGACGGATGATTTTCTTAACTTTGCGCTCGGCGGGTACACTTGCTTCATTATTTGTGGTGGTAACGGCTGTAGAGGTTTCTTCCGGAGCTTCGGCGACCGGCACCATGGCTGGGGGACTTGTGATCTCGACTTCAGCCATTTTGATGATGGATGTGGTTGTTATGGATCTGAGATAGAACTGAGAGCTTCGAAAAGTTTAAGGCTGAGGTCAATGCACCGCCACAATAGTTTACTTTACGCCACACATCTCTAGGCTAGCAAAGCTAGGACGCAGGCAGATCAACTACTCGGCAAAATAATCGAAGATATATAATATATATTGGAATTAGCTATAACTTCTACAAATTCTAATCAAATTATATAAAACTCAATACAGTAATTCTTTCATATACTATATATACAGAGAAATTTTTATCAAGTTTAGGTTGAAATTGAAAGAGAAATAATATATCAAAGTTGTTTAATTAATGAAAATAAATATAATTTGATAACATTTTTTAGATTCTATATATTTTTATTAGTCTTCAATTATATGTTATGAAACTTTTAAAGTCTATCTAAAAATTAAGTAAAGTTTAATTCAAAGAAAAGCGTTATTTATTATTTCTTATTTTTCAAAAATTATTTAAGATTCAAATTAAAAAAGAGATTTAAATTTTCGAATTTTTATGTTTAGAATTCCTAAAACACGTAAATTTATTTTTTTCAAAAGTGATAAATCTAATACTTTTTTATTCCAAATATATATAAATCTTTATAAAAAATATACATTTATCTAAAAGTAGAGCTTTTATTTAATAATATATTTAAGTTTTAATATTATAGTTATCAAATTGATTAAATTACTAAAGATCAAAGAGATATTAAAAAATAAGTATTTTTCGAATCTGTAACGAATAATAATTACGTATATCTTAGTTTAAGATTAGCTTGAACTAAGCGATTATTATTATATAAGAGATAAAGAGATTCCTTAAGAATCTCTTCTCTCTTTAGCTTTCTTATTTTAATTATTTGACCTCTATTAATATCCTCTAGTATGTAATCGTAATATTATATTGTATCATTCTGCCTTGCGTAGAGCATCTGGGTGATTCGCTGTGTTCGTGTAAATATGCACAGTGCCGCATCCTCACATCACTACATCACCTCACTCGGTAATTGTTTTAAGGCTTCCCTTATAACATACCTATATCAGACTTCCCAACATTCGAGCTGCGAGGCTTAAGCTTTGGAATCTGCGGGATCCGTTCAATCTCATGACTTATTTCGAGTCGAAACATTCAAATCATTCAATACACCAAAATACACCAGTAATTGTCATGAACTCACGTTCAAAAGAAAATCCACAGCTTTTTGAATGTTAATACCTTTCAACCTTGACTTGTATTGATTATTGGCAGAACAAAAATCCTGTCCGATTGATTACTCATCCCTACAGACTGCTCATTATGGCATTTAAGAAGATATCCTCTGTTCTCTCCTATGCTCAACACATCCTGCTAGGAGTCATCTGTTCCCGATTACCTGCCTTATTATCTGCACGGGTGGCTTCCAGCCATGTGATAACCATCAAATTCGGGAAGCACGAAGAAAAGAAACGGCCAAAGCTTGTAAAAAGAAAATCAGAGATAAACCCAGGCCCTTGGAAGGGAGGAGAAAAGAGAATTGTCTCTTGAACCCACCGAACGAAGGAGGAATTTGACGAATGTATTTCCGACTTGGAAGAGAGATAGAAAAACACCGGCACCCCTCCTTCAACTACCAGCCGAGATTTTGGAGAAGATTCTACTGGAAGTTCTAGGCGGGAACACATTTCATCTGATCCAATGTCGTCGAAGACTAGGGCACATTCGCTGCAAGGAGCCTCATGGTATCGACCTTGCAGCCAATTCTCAATACGTTGTTGCGCGCTCCTGCATTCCTAGTGTCCAAAAACGATACTACATGGCATGTGAGTGGATACCCTACTATAATAAAAGGCCCTCCCCATTCTACACACGTTCTGATACTTGCCTCGCTATCCTTCTCACGTGTCGCCAGGTATACAACCAAGGAATTTCCATTTTGTATTCCTGCAACACGTTTGATATCAATAATCCCGAGACGGTACTTTATCTTTCACAGACTGTTATCCCCTCAAGATTCAAATCAATAAAATCTCTACAATTAGATGTTAATGCATCGATGGGCTCAAGTACCGAGTGTTCGACCCTACCTGGCCCAAGACTAGAGTTTTTAAATTGGAAAAAGTGTTTAGAGATATTGGAATGGTTGGAAGGATTACAGAACTTGAGGTTGAGGATGTACTTCGATCTACTGCGACGTTTCCCTGATTCTCCTTACAGCGATGAGCTGGTTCAGAAGCCCTTGGAAAATTCTCTGGAGGGCACCAAGCTTAGTTCTCTGAGAGGACAGGACTGAGGAGATTTGATCTCGAGACTAATAGCTGGGATACCAAAGGTGTTGAACAGATGGTTAAGAGTGCGCGTGATATTATCTGTACTTCGGTAGAGGATTCATGCGTCATGTGAGGTACCTCATATCATTATTCCTAAGTTTAGGATACAGTCTTGGGGGAAATGCAGCAAGTATAATTATAGAAAATGTTGTTCATTTCACTTTCACTATTACTCATGTTTAATCTAGCTAGTTTTCTTGTAGGGCCTAGGAGAGGAAGGAGCAGCAATAGATTTGCGCATCCAACGTTTGAACTGGATTCGATGTTCATGATAGATGAAGTTTTCCATTCCATACAATAGAAACAGTCCAATGGAATTTACGAATTGACGGCCTTGGACCCTTGGGGCTGCAGTCCGCACTACTCCAAACCTTGATAAAAGCACCACTGATTCCTCTACCATCATAGCTACGAGGTACCCAAGGAATCCCGGAACGAATCTCGGATCTGTTGTGCTCACAGATATTGATCAAGCAGTTGGAATCCACGGTAAATGTTGGTACCTACCTACCGGTACTTGTATCCGTAATTTCTAATAATCAGGGCAATTCCTATCCTCATTTCCCCCAAAACACAGAATCATCTTCTAATGTCTCATCAATCATCTAAACAAACATCCTTTCTTCACAGCTTACATCACCATGGCGCAAACCCCCATCGAAACACCACCCTCCCTCCCCTCGGTCCTAGCCCAAAACATCAAATTCATCAAAAAAGAATACGAACTCGATCCACCCAGCTCATTGAGTTTCGGTCCGCGTAAGTGCCAAGTTCTCTAATCCCCATCCTCTATCCCATAACCCAAATCCCAATCCCAATCCTGACTCCCACCCCCCTCCCCCAGGAATCTTCGGCGGCCTCGCAACGTCTGTCCATGGCGCACCAAGCAGTCCAAAACTATTTCACGGAAACACACCACGAATACAATCAACCTGATGTATTAAGCATGCAATGGCAATTTTTCTGTTTGCTATTTCCTTCCATCGCAATACTGAGAATTAGGGATATTCATCTGGGGAAATCATCTTCGACTGTTCTCGTGACGGTTAGTCAGAAAGGGATGGATTGTATGATGGGTTTTATGAAGTAAATACTCTTCCCCTTGCACCCCAAATCCTCATTCTTCATTCTCTATTCCCTCATTTAAATTAAACTAACCCCTCCCCCCTCCCTCCAGCCTCACAAACCTCACCCCACCCAAGGCAGCTACTCCTTTCCCGTTCCCGTTCCCCTCCACCCCGTCCCCCCCCAACATCCCTCCCCCGCCTCCCCACTGGATCCTCCACGCAACCCCCTACCACCCCACCTCCTTCCGCCGAGTACACTCCTACCTCCAATTCTTCCTCCCCCTCTCCACCCAACCCCCGCACCTCCGGGACCAATGGCTCGCCCCCACCTCCCCCTGCACAACCTTCACAAACACCACCCTCCCCTTCCTCCTCGACATCTCCTACTCCATCCTCGACAACTTCCACCCCTCAAAAGCATCCGGGAGAGCCAAGCCGCAACCGTGCAAGCAGGACTCGCACAAAAACGAGACCGCGAAATGGGGATTTCGAGAATGGTGCATGAGGATTCGGGATCGTATCGTGCGCCCGCGATGATTACATCTCTCGCGACGAGTGTTGAGATTAAGCAGTTGTTGCCGCCGGGAGGGACGAAGTGGTTGTTTAGGAGAGCCCGGGCGAAAGAGGTTCAAGATGGGAGGTTGAGTATGGAGGTTATGGTGTTTGATGAGGGGATGGAATTGGTAGCGTTGAGTCAACAACTTTGTCCGATTATTGATTTGTCAAGAGCTATGGCAAATAAGCAGAAGCTTTAGTATGGTATCTATAGATGTGGTGGTGTAATGGCTGGCCAATCTAATGTTGTTTCCTTCACTTGATTCATTGTTGTCTTGGTAAATTTAAAGCCGTGTGAGGGTGGTAGAAATTTTCATCAAAATAAATAATGTATTTAATTGCTCAAAAGAAACTCCTCCCAAATGCACAAACTCAGGTAAACTAGCATATTAATTATGTGATGCCATATCCGCCTATAATGCCCACTCATTTTTATCATCCGCAGACGTAACGAACGGTTCATCTATTCGCTTGATAGCAAAGTCGCTACAAAGGATACTGTTTCTTAAGTTAGCAAGACAAGAGCAGCCGCAAGCATGGAAAAAAATAGACTTACCAAGCGCTAGCTACCAAACCATCCAGCTCTGCAATCAGCGCCTCCCTCTTCGCACCCATAACCATACCTTTACTAATTGACATCTGCACTTCTCTAATCCTCTTTGCCCTACCCACTCCCACCTGATCCATAACTCTCTTGCCCAAACAATCGCTATGGAAAGCATGTTGACAAGGAAATACAAAGAACTGTCTACTGAGCAACGGCAAGGTGCACACGTAGCATTTTTCTCCAGGTTCCACAATCGCATAGCGTTGATCAAGAGCGGCGATATCAATCTTAATATTAGTAGCCGTCTGAGATGATTCATCCATTTCTTTCTTGAGGGAATCGATATTACGACTATAATCCTCGAGCGCTGCGCATATTTCTTCTTTGAAATCGTCTATGACAACGAAATCTGGAAAGAAAGGAATTAAATCTTCGATTTTGAGGAGATCACAACGTTTGAGGAATTCGATGGCGGTTTTAATGCCATTTGATTGAGAAATTACTTTCTTTGCTACGGCGAGCCACAGCTTTTTCCGTAGTGGAGGATTTGAAAGAGGGCGATCGGCAACGAGGGAGGCGAGATCTATCTCTGAATGTGCGAGAGCGAGTTCTACTGCTTGTAGATATTGTCCCATAGTGCTATATATGTGTACACACGATTGGACTCGCGAATGTTGAATGCAGAGTCGAAGAGCAAAGTCTGAATCAAAACTTGGCTCATCACCTTGTGATTCGAGATATGAAAGGAGAGCTGATTCATCCTTTGATGGATGAGAAGCATAAATTGAAATTAGTGTATTATGTACGGCAGCATCGGTTGAGTTTAGGTGATTGATGACATGTAGAAGGTAACGAATGGCTTGGTTTTGAGAGAGAGATCCTTCAAAATACTTGTCGTAGTTCAGTAAGGCAGGAATGAGATTCCGAGGCTTCAAGTCCGAGTGTCTTATAAGAATATCTACGAGATCAGTGGCCACATGTGTCATGAGTCCACTGCTATACCTGTAAAAGATTTCGGGTGCTGTCTGCTTCTTCAGTACATCCAACGCCTCCTTCCAACGTTCTCTTTGAATCCAATAGGAGAGAACGTAATTGTAATCGTTTACAGCACTAGCAAAGAAAAGGAGTTCATCTTCCCTGCCATGACTGCTAATTATATCGTAGGTGGTCTTCTTGTCAAGGTCACTTTTGTATTTTGTGACAAAATCCTGATATTCAGTTCGAATTGTGTCCAATTGATTTCTCGTCTCTGTAGGATTCAAATTCTCCGACAATTCCGCCTTAGTGACGATCGTATCGTCAAGAGAGTTAAGCTTCGACATAAAAATCTCAACAAGCCAACTCGCAATCATTATACGTTGCATAATCGAAGCCTTTCTGTAGGTTGTGAGTTTTGTAAGGAGGTACTTTCGTAAGGCATCTTGCTGGTCGTTATCAACGAATGTGAGTGCAACTTGTTCAAATGGTTTGCTACTCTTTCCATAAACCCCCGCAGCTTCAAGATATGAGCCTTTACTGATGAGATAGTCACCAGATGCCGTAGCTACAGCATCTTTCTGAGCTGGCCCTTTAGCATAACGTAGGGCTGCATCAAAATGTTCTGTCTGCAGCATAACCTTCCATACATCTCTATCTTCGTCTGTGACAACAATTTCATAAATTTCTTGTGTAGTGAAGAGCCAAAATGTGTTCTTCTCTTGATCAGCGAACAGTCCCAGTGCTTGTTGACCAGGTTCCAAGACCACTTGATCAAATATCACTCTATCGTCCAGTCGATTGACGGCAACAACACGTCCCCCAATCAGATGAAGAATATGCCATTGAGTCAACGCAATCGAATCGATTGAATCTGGGACTGGCTTCTTGCGACCCATCGAGTTCTCTGAAGCTGGCAATTGAGATCTAGGTAGCAATTTCGCCTCGGTAAACAATCTTGCACCTAAATCCGAGGTTGCTGGTGTGGTCATTAATGTACCGTAGTATACACCTTGCGATGATAGCCATGCAAAGGTACGATCTGGGGTCAAACTTTCCATAGACGCAGAGTCGGGATGATTTGGAGACACCACAAGAGAAGAAGCTGCAGTTGTAGATATCCTAGACAACTCATGAACTGTGGGTTGTTCCGTCTCGAAAAGCCGTGTAAATATTGATGCACCTCCTTCATGTGCCACCCGGCCAATCTTGCCTATTAAGTGAAGCACCCGACTTTGTGTAGCTACCATTACTCGTCGAACTTCTTTGGCGTCAGGTCTACCAGTAACAAGATCCACCCATAGTCCAGTAACAGGTCCATCTGGTAGTCTCATAAGTGCCTTTAGGTACTTGTCTTCCTTACGGTAAAATTCCGTAGCTGTTTCGATATACCCTTCATAAATCATTCCATCTGAAGTGCCAATAAGTATTTCCCTGGTCGAGGATGTCGGTAACGAGGGATTCCAAGCAATACATTCTATCGATACGCCTCGTAGGCGTGAAAGAGGTCTGGGCTGCCTAGATTGTGTATGAAGGTAATAGTTTTCCCCTTGCGAAGTACATATGATCAGATGTGAAGCTGTTGGGTCGAGAAACATGCGCCGTATCACTCCAACTTCCGAGGTCTTTTTAGGAAGGTCGATATCTAGGTTCACAGTCAGTTAGCTGGTCCAAGAGACAACAAGAATCTCAAGTCTCACCATCTATATCTGCAGGATTGTCCAAGTCGATTCGGAGAATCCTGCCATTCGAAAGTGCCAGAACCAGGACATTATTTGCAACCTGCGCCGCTACGAAGTCGGAGGCTATGGAGAATTGGAGTTGTACTTTTTCGACATTAAATATAGGAAGTGCGATCTCATCGAGGTTAAGATCTTGTAGATTTCTTGCGGCTACGTAGCCGCTTGACGGGTCGAGAGCCATCCGTCGTTGTTATATGAGCTACCTCATGGTCGTTCAGCCCAAGGCTGTAATTCGCTGTCCAAGGCTGGCAAGCCATAGCTTCAACTTGCACTTGTTGACTCAAGGTGGACCGTATTTACATCACGTGATTCACAGGCACATAGCTATCGACTTCTCAAGGCCTCTGACATCTTTGGAGCTGTATCGTCCTTGTACAAAGTGAGGGATACGAGGCTTCCTATTTTGCGGGTAATAATATTTCATCATCCTGAATGCGGTGTATCTATATACAGCATCTAATTCGAGGTTCTACAACATACAACTTAGAGTTCCCTCCAGGCTGAAGAATTCTACCCAAGTCCGATTAGGATTAGACAATGACAATTGTTATAGCTACCCTCATCATGTAGAAATGACACTTTTGCTTCCTGTTGTAAACACTGGCAGTGTTTGTTATAGTGCCACAGCTGATCTTTACTTCTACGAGGCCGTGTGTCTAAAACCAAAGCGCAAACTCTCTGATGTCACCCCGAAGCATCGCACTCGTGAAATAGATATGGATTCCACAGCATGATTCATCTCGTATGTCAAATTTAGATACACTCCCTGAAGCTTACGACCACTCTTCGTGGTACCGGTACGTGGTGATTGCTACCACCCTCGTGGTCCGAGGTCGTTAGCAACTGTCGTGCTGTCTCGAGGTTTCCGGGAGAGAGTAAATACCCTCTCCCGGTCCTCCCACTATTCCCACTGGGGTAGTCCTAGATCCCAATGTGAAGCATGATCATAATATATGTCGGCGGGAAGACTTGGTATGGAACCCACTAGTCAGTCCACTTCTTGAGTCACCGATTATTGTCCATCTGTGCGGAATCATGAATACGAAGTCAGACGTCAGCAGGAGAAGTTTGAAAAACCTCTTGGCCTGGGCGTTGAGTTTGTGAGCACAGTGAATTTCGGGGTATCATGGTTCAGCCATATTGAAGATATATTTCTATGGGCAGGGTCGCGAAATTCCTCCGGCTCTTGGAAAGTCAAGGTGTCAAATGGGGGCGGAGGTTTCACCACCCCTGAGCCAAAATATGAAAACAATGTTTATAATATAGTTTGTTTGTGGGGGCTGCATATGCTACCAATACTATGTTTAGATCAGTAGGAATGAAAAGGGTTTTTGAAAAAATGATAGGCCAAGAAAGATTAAAAGACAAGGAATATCGAGGCAGCAATGATAGCATTGAGGAAAAGAGATTAAGAATGCATCAAACGAGTTTTGATAAGGAGAATCTTGTTTCTTCTTCAGATGAACTCAAACCAGTGAGCTCATATCTTCAGATAGAGTGCAGATCGCGCTGAAAAGGAAATGATACTTTGTGTCGTACCACTGATCCAGGTGAAAAGAAAGGAAGACAGCGAGACTGATGATACGTCAAATCTTTGTCAAACAAACAGCAGAAGATGAGGCCAAAGAGGAGTTGAAACAAACATACCGAATATTCATCTTTAATGGATCTGAATCTGGAAGGATCTTTTGCGGCTTTTGAAAGCAACGTAGTAAACTCAGATTTTTCCAAGAAATAACATAGTACTTCGTACATATGTACAAGTGTTCACGACATGATTCCTCTTTTTCGGTAGCCACGAATTTCGAACAAGTCCGGATTTGAAGTGAGGCTAATAGCCTAGCGAATAATTTCATTGGTCCAAAAAGGCCCTCCTTTTTTTGGTCAATGCTTTCGCGACCCTGGAAGTTTCATAATTGATCTACCTACGAAGTGCAGTCATTAGGAGTAGATCATTGGACCAATTCTCAAACATCAAACAGAATCATCATTGAGATCATCAACTGAATGGTACCGGTTATTCTATCATGCCCATTGACAGCGGCCAATCGAATAGAGAATCTCACCTGTAAAGAGTTTCATTTAGTTATCCATATTGTTCAAGCACTCGGCGATTACCTTTGGGCCTTTCTCCTGTTGGGCTCGATGCTACTCACTATCAGGGCATATCTTATTATGTAGGTAGTAGGTAATAGGTAGTAGGTAGTAGGTAGCTTTATATAGTTGTGGATTACACGAAAGTGTGGGTAGCTCTTGGTCGGAGGCCGAAGGAAAGATTAACCTGTTGTGAAAAGTACCTGGGTGCAGGATGTCGCCGCCACTGAAGTGATGCATGGTCTAGCCACAACCATACGGTAGTTTAGCGAGAGCTCATCGGCAGGTTCATGCTGTTGATACGATCCTACGAATCGTTCTTCTGTTCTCTCAAAGTTCCAATTGATTATTCTCACTACGACAATGGCATGTACGCAGGTATGACATAGCAGGTATTGTTAGTCTGTACGGAGTAGATGAGAACATATAGAGTCTGGGATATTCAGATGATCCTTACTTTGAACAAGACTTCCAATCTTGGAATTACTAGTAGAGATACCCAGTCGACGCTTTACTCCGTAGTATTTTTCCGAACTTTCTTTTTAAAGTTTTTTCCCTCTGGCACTGACAGCTAAAATTCCCAAGGCTCTCTAATTTATGATGCCATTTTCGGGAGCCACGCCTCCCCCAACCATTCGCGCGCACAAGCTATTTTGACCAACCGACTTTGGGACGTTTCATATCTCTCTAGGTAAAAGATAATCAGCGACTATCAAACGCCGTGAGTCTTTGTCAGAACCAATTGAAAGTTGAAGATCGGGGTCATCTCCAGGACGACCAAATCGTTGAGACAGTGCGACCATTTGAAGAGAGGAGGCAAAGAGGCAAAGAGGCAAAGAGGCAAATGATTTATTTCGACAAATAAGATTTATGAAAGTATTCAAACTTTTATATTGATCTGACTACAGCTACCTACCGGTTGCATGAAAATTTGTTGCCAGCGCATAAGGTAGAAATCTGGTAGGATATACTGTATGTGCATGTACAGTCTTTGGGACCGCTATGTCTTTCCTTGTTTTTCTCTTGAGATGGGGATCAACGCACATACATACAGATGGACAGATGGACAAATAGACAAATAGACAGATAGACAGACGGTACTAAAATTCCTCCAACACTGGATCATCCCTCATTCATCCGTTTATTAATCCAAAGCGTGGGGAAAAGTTGTGATTATTATGATACTTAGAAATATTGATAATGATGATGAAGCCACCCTCTCTACCCTCAGAGGCTCAGAGGCTCAGACCCTATCCATCTCCAGACCTCTGACCTGAAGCTCTCTCTCTCTCTCTCTCTCTCTCTCTTGGAGTCTCTTGAGTCTTCACCTCGTACTCAGGAACCGAGAGCCAAATCCTAACCCCACCTCACACATGATCTAGATGAATCGGTTTTGTTTTCCGGAGAAACATTTTGGGAGTCATCCTACATGTTTGCCGAGTAGAAGCATCGTATCCCTAGTAGCTTCCGACGCATTCTGACCAATATGGAAAGTTGGATTGTGTTGATATGCTTTCTCCATCAGCTGCAGCGATCTAGAATGATTTTAGTTGCAGCGTCCAAAGTAGAAGTGCAGATAGCAGCAGCATAGCACTCTCGACTCGCACATAGGCTGACTATGGAGTGCTAGTAAAGGCAAGTTGTAAGCAAAACTAACAGCTATTGACGAAGTGTATCTCTCTCCCTCTCTCTCTCTCTCTCTACCCAGCACTCAGCATCATGGAAGTTTTCTCTCTGGGAAAAGGCTGGAAAGATGCATAATCATTCCACCCTTGACCATATTGAGTTAATCTTATGATTACGCCTTTTCCTCTCTTTGCCTTAGCATGCACATATTTGCTTAATCCTTGTTCCCTTCATCTTCATCCCAAGACGAATCAGAATTGATCTGACCATCCTCCCTCCTCGCCTCTTTTCCCTTTTTCCCTTTTTCCCTTTGGATCCACCCATACAAAACATAGCGTGATAGCTTACTTTGGCAACCGCGTCCATGATTTGTCTCAGAAAATACCTGATGCCTTGATAAAAACTTCGTATATCGTTGGATTCGTGGATTCGTGGATGCGTGGTGAAGCCAGTCGTCGCTCCCTTCATTCAGCGTCGAACCTTGAATCAGACCTTACTTGCATCGAGGTATTAAGCAGAGACCCAAGAACACGGTCGGCCATGATTCATTAATAAAAGCGTGATCTACCCTACCTATAATACCGATCTAGTATCCAGCCGGTTGAATTGTACCATTTGCAATTATTAAATCTCCATCTATTTCTATTTCTATTTCTATTTGTATTCCACTTCCACTTCCATCTCCATTCTTCCTTCCATTTGAATTTATTATTCTATATTCGATTTATTGTCTTGCTCGTTTATCAGTGAGAAATACCGACCGACCTACCCACTCCATACCATACCCTCAACGTCTTCCCTGGGTTACCCTCTGAGCCTCTCCACTCCCACTTCCAAACTTATTACTCTAACTCACCACAACAATCCACCTCGGACTGACCCAATCCTCAATCCCTAATCCCTAATCCCTAATCCCTAATCCCTAATCCCTAATCCCACTCACATGGGTACACTCGCACGTACTTGTATTGCTCAACCCCCCGGTGCCTCCAGTACCTCCCGTACCTCCAGTGCCTCCAGTGCCTCCACCTCCTTCCTCTCAGTGTCTGTTCTTCAAATTCTATCCCACCCATCTCCACAATCCACGTATCTTCGATAGAGCTTTACCAGGTGTTTATATCTATAAACTCTTATTAAAATAGATCCTGGAAGATCTATATCGACCATACAAGAAGATCGACGTATCTTGCAACACAATCATTGAGCAATTGAGCTTTCATTCGCATATACATAAAGCACCCACTACCTACACCTACCTATCCAAAAAGAAGAAAATAAGAAGTCGTCCCAAACCACTTCAATTCACTCCAACCTATCGACACTCCCTCTGAAGCATTTGATCTTCGAATCTTTCAAACAAACAACTGCCATCTCATCTTTATATTCATTCGTCGGACCTCAGATCTCTCGACTTGTTTTCGCAAATAATCATCTCGCCAAGTTTATTCACTGTTACTTACTACCCATTCGCTCCTGCTTTTCCAAATCGATTTCGCATATTTAATCAACAACCTTCATGCCCATTGAATGACATCCACGCAATGGCAATGCTAGCTTCAAAGAATCCCTTTCCCGCTTCGCTGGGCCCCTCCTCATCTTCCTTTTCTTCTAATTCACAAACAGCCACTACTCAATCGAGTAGAAGAGCGCCCGCCATGTTGGCCTCAAATCAAACATTCGCGAGCCCGACAGAATCCGAGTTTTCAGACGTTGATGGTCCAGAGTCTGCGAAAAGATGGGACGAGGATCAAGTTGGCGACTGGCTAAGGAGCATCAACTGCGACGACTACGAGAAGTTATTCAAGAGAAACAATATCAATGGCGAGAATCTTTTGGAGATGGACAAGGCAGTACTTCAGGAAATGGGTATTGAAAAGATAGGAGATCGCGTTCGTTTATTCTTGGGCATCAAGAAGCTCAGGACGAAGGCGTATGCCAACCAGAAGAAAAGAAATAGGGTAAGTATTCGTTTGCTTCCCACTGTCGCGGATCGATATTGACCATTCAATCACAGGATTCTTTCGCGACGTTGGATACTTTTGAACACACTCCATCTTCCTCTGGCTCTCCTCGCCCCACAAACTCTGGGAGTCGAAACATGGCTACATCTACCAATAAGAGATTCTCAAGGCAGTTTGATACATTCAACACCGCGACAGCGATCCCCGAGAACGTTAGCAAAGCAGTTTCGCGACCCGTCTCACCTTTAACAAACTCTGAAGCTCGACCTGTACGACAACAACAAAGATATGGTGTCATGAGCCCCGCAGAACAAATGAAGCGAGACCAAAACCAGGGATACTTTAATGGTTCAAGCAACATTAGCATACCAGGCAGCGCTGCAACTGTTTCCGGAAGACGTCCCACCACTCCATCTGATCCCACACAACCACAGATAGCTCGGCTAGCTACTGGCCATACTCGAGCCAATCCCAGCATCGACGGCTCACTTATGGCTTCATTGCCAACAAACCAAGATGTCATCAGAGTGATATCTTCTAAAGGTGTCACAAAGGTGGTCAAGGTTGCAGATTGTAGCTCTTGTGACGAGGTGATGCGATTGACTCTGAGAAAATTTGGCTACCGTGAGGATCATGATCGGAACTACTGTTTCTGGGTTCTTGCTGGTGTTGATCCGGACCCTAGCCAATGCCGTCGATTGCCAGAAGCTGAACTTTGGCGTATCATCAAAGATCAAAAGAGGGCAGAAAGAAACCGACTCATCCTGCGAAAGATACACGCAGGTGAACCTGGCGACGACGAGCTACAGCGAGCCGCTAGCATCGCGTTGGAGGAGGCTACAACGACTCACAGTCGCGCCATTGAAACATCTGATAACAAGCGCAGTCAACTCAAAGTCCAGAAAATGCTCGGAGAAACCTGGAATGACAATCTTCAGCATCCACTGTCACCCGCCTCGTTTCAATCCACTGGATCCAACTTGTCCATTACCGAGAGAGAACGTAATGTGTATAACGCGGCTAAGGATCTCGAAAGGCCATTGCCAGCCGACATGAGGGAGAGCTCAAGACAAAAGGCGAGCAAGAAAGGTGGCGGTCTACGCCACTTCTTTGGACAAAGGCCTCCAAGTGAATTGATCACATCAGATTTGACGACATACTTCCCCGACCATCCGCGTGAAGAGATTGATCGTACTGCCAGACTTTCACTGCGGAGATCCACTCGTCTAAGTAAGGTCAACAGTCGTTTGAGCGTTGCTAGTAATCTGAGCTTTGCTTCGAGCGTAGCGGATGCACCTCCAATGCCAACAATTGCCGACACTTGGCTCATGGGAAATAGTCAATTGGCAAAAATCAGACCATTGGACCTTTCGAGGGCAACCAGTAGTCGATTTAGAGATTCGGTGGCTTCTTCATTACTTGACATCGTTCAAGAAGAATCGCCAACCGAGCCAAATCGCAAATCTTACGTCTCATTTGCGACTGACAGCGGATCTGACACTACCAATGTTAATGTAACTACTGACGATTCAAGTAGCGTGAGAGATAGCTACTTTGAAGATGGCAGCACAGAAGCTGGAGATTCTCTGAAAGAAATTACCCAAGCTCTGAATAATGATGGAGAGGAATTAGATGAGGAACTAGAGAGTTTCTTACAGGGCGACTCTTGGGATGACAGTAAATGGATGAAGGGTGCACTCATTGGTCAAGGTTCCTTTGGTAGTGTTTTCCTGGCTTTGCATGCTGTCACTGGTGAACTTCTTGCGGTCAAGCAAGTCGAGACACCTTCGCCAAGCACAGACAGTAAAAACGATGCTCGCAAAAAGAGTATGATTGATGCTTTGAAGCGCGAAATCAGTTTCCTGCGTGATCTCCAGCACCCCAACATCGTCCAGTACCTTGGAGCAAGCTCATCTGATAACCATCTCAACATTTTCCTAGAATATGTCCCTGGTGGGTCTGTCCAAACCATGCTTAACTCCTATGGCGCATTGGGAGAGCCTTTAATTCGAAGTTTTGTGCGACAAATTGTTACTGGCTTGGCTTATCTCCACGGTAAAGATATTATTCACAGAGATATCAAGGGGGCAAACATCCTTGTTGACAACAAGGGTGGAATCAAAATCTCTGATTTTGGAATCTCGAAAAAGATTGAAGCATCAAATCTTCTTAATGGGCCTGGCAACAACAAGAACCGACCTTCTCTACAAGGTTCTGTCTTTTGGATGGCACCTGAGGTCGTCAAACAAACCGCCTATACACGCAAAGCTGATATTTGGTCACTCGGCTGCCTTGTCATTGAAATGATGACAGGTACTCACCCATTCCCTGATTGCTCTCAACTGCAGGCTATTTTCAAGATTGGTGGTGCACGAATCAGCCCTACAGTACCAGATGAGGCTAGCTCCGATGCAAAGATCTTTTTGGCTTCAACTTTTGAAGTTGAACATACTAAACGACCAAGTGCTGACGAGCTGCTACTCAGCCCATTTCTGAACCCAATCACTTGATTATGTTATTGAAGAATCTTGTGTGGCACCTGTATTATGTTAGTATATGCTTCAAATGCATTGCAAGCGCTGGACATTGCATCGTATTGGAGTTTCTACTTTCAGCATATTCATTTTCTTGTACACTTTTTTCACCTTTTTTCTTTTCTTTTTTTGATGTCGTAACGAAATACGATACCCAACGCTTCCTATGGATTTAGGCATAATAAGGGTACATAACATAGACGCACGGATGACGGGAGGAATGAACTGTGACATCACTGGTTGATCTCTTCTTTTGGTGGCAAGCAGGTACATTTTAGGAGGGAAAAATGAAGGTGGACATTATGACACAATGTATCCAAAAGGGGTGAAATGGAAAGATGGAAGATACGTATGAAAAAGTTGCGGGATTTCAAAGTGTACAAATATAGGGTAGTAACCGATATGATCATCATGATTCAAAATTATACAGAAACATACGTTTTAAATGTACTTGATCTGTTATTTCAATGTGAGTTGTAGTCATGAAGTCTTGCATTCTAGACAAGCTATGAAGATGTAGGTTAATTCATTTTAACTTTTAGAACCCATCTATGTAAACTATGTTCCTATCTCATCTCTCTATTTGAACTTTTCAAATCCTTCAGCACATCGCCGCCATCGCCACCATCATCATCACCATCATCACCATCATCACCATCATCACCATCATCACCGTCGCCATCGTCAGAAGCCGTCTCCCTCCTCACGAGCGGGAATGTAAACCCGCATCACATCTCGTACATACGATGGAGGAAATCCCTTGGAAAGGGCATCCCGAATCCCGCGATTCATACGCGTGACGTATTCTGGATTGGGGGCCGAGGGGGTAATGCGCTGGGTATCGACGTAGGTTAGTGCGCGGATTTGGAGGGGTGGAGGTTGTTGAGAGGTGGTGGGGGAGAGAGGAATTTGAGATGCTGTAGAGGGAGAAGAGGGAGGAGTAGATGAAAGAGGTAATGGGAATGAAAATGGGAATGCTAATGCTGATCTAGCACTCGAAACCCCAGACTCAGAACCGAAACCGGAACCGGAACTGGAACCGGAACTGGAACCGCTAGGAAATAAAGACAGCAATGACGATATAGCGAGCGTATCAAGTGTTGGCGAAGTGGATAGGAGGGTGATTGGAAGATATGCTTTTGTGTATGCGAAGGGGACCCCTTCGTTTATGTCGAGGGCGCGTTCGTCGCGACGGGAAAGCGTGTAGAGGAGTCCGTAGACGGTGTTTGATGGGAGGTTGGTGGCTGTTTCTTTGATGGAGGGGTGATGATGGGTTCCGTCTTTAATATCTTCTCCGGACTGAGACTTCGACTGAGAGTTAGACTGAGAGTGAGAGTGAGAGTGAGATTCAAACTCCCCGCAAAAAACAACATTAGCATAGCCCCTCTGATTCACAATCCATCGATAGTTTTGCAAGACACCCATGCCTATGTATGTGGAATCTGGACAACGGGTTTGCATCTGAGTGAGAGAGAGGTTGGAGCCGTAGGCGAAGTAGAGGGTTTGTGGTGAGGGGGCGGACATCTTTTGTTGGGTTGGGTTTGGTTTGTTTTGTTTGTAGAGGGTGATGTTGAAGAGAAGTACAAGAAGAGTAAGTTTAGCCAAATCCAAAATTGAAGGAGGTTGAAAATCGCCTTGAAATCGAATCTAATTTCGAATTTCGAATCTCAAGCTCGATTAAAAACTGCCCGTATCAATCGATTTATATATCCCCTATCAAAGCAAAACATAAGTACTATATCCTTCCATCAAGCTATCAAAACACCCTAGCACTCGCACTCTGAGCTTCTATTTCCTTTATTCCATGCTATGCTATTCAATTTGTCTCTATTCGATACTGTCAATGCCGATTATTCACATAATCGATAATCGATAATCCACTGCTATCTATTCAATATGGTGATAGTGATGGTAGTGATAGTAGTGAATTTTCGGTATAATGACGGACTGATTGATTAGTTCATCAGAGAAAGAAAGAAAGAAAGAAAGAAAGAAAGAAAGAAGTAAAGAAAAAATTTGAAGAAAAAGAGAGAAGACTTCTCTCCTTGACTTTTATTTTCCATTCATCCACTTATTCATTCTTCATCATATTACATCGCATCGTATTGCGATTTTCAGAAGTATAGAAATGACAAAAAGATGGACAAAACATAATGAGACAAAGGAACGAAGAAATCGCTTCTATTCCTATTACTCAAAAAATAGCTTCTCAATACTTATACATCGAATTCAATCCTATAATTCTTCAATTCAACTTAATAAATCCTCTATAATGATTATATTCATTCAAAACATTCAAAACTTAAACCATATATCTACCTACCTAGGTACTCATTCAAACCAATCTACCACATAAATTCGTATATTCATTCCAACTCCATCTCTCCATCTCTCCATCTCTCCAACATACCACGACGCACTATACACACTAACCACATAAAAACCCTTCCCAATCCAAACCAGCGCAGACTTATCAAGAAATAATAATTACCTGCCTCTACATACTCCGTACCTAAGCGAAACAAGAGGCAGAAGTTGAGTACCATCCAGAAGGACTTTGATCATTCGAATCTCGCTTCATTATTGTATTAGATAACTAACTAACTATAGTTCTTACCGTTTACATAAAGAAGGCTCAAGTTTGCGTATGATCTTTTCATAAGCTAGCATTTGACTTGAAATGAATATATAATTCAAGTAAGAAGTTCTTTGAAAGAGGACTCAATTCCCGCCTCTTATTTCGCTTGCGTAGAGCCTGCCTGACCTCTACCCCCTCTACCTAGGTAGGTATTTAGGTATCTAAAAATAAACATATACTGTGATGTGAATAAATTAAATTCACCATAAAATGCAAGAGTACCGAGTGAAGATGAAGTAGAAGTCTGTAATTGATTTCGATCTAGGTATTTTCAATTCATTACTCTACTAATAATGCTCAGTTGGTATATCCACCACCCATCCATCCAACCATCCATCCACCCACCCATCCATCCCACAATCCATCCCCCTTCATAACATATCAACAAACTTCCAAACACAAACAATCCTCACCAATCGCTCAGCCATATGTGCAAAAGCACTCACTCACTCTATTCAAATCAACATCTCAAATCTCAAATCTCAAATATCTTTCCTGACGCCCTATCAAACCCCCCAATCTCCAACGCCTATCCACAAAAGATGCCAGCATAAATACTCCCAAAACACTCTTTCCCCTCCCTCCCTGCCTTTACCTGTATCTTAATATAATCAAGTTCACCCAATTCAATGATTGTATCCCTCGCCAACCATCCCAATCCGTCCATTTCTCAATATACAGTTATGCAAGCGACTGCACTTCCCGACTAGCCTTCCATTAATCCAACCATGAGACAAAAGTATAAAGTAATCCCTATCCCTATAACGAGCCGTATAGCTGTATTCTATGCTACGCGCGCTTGCAAGTATGCAGTCACTTTTTTGCTTTTAGTGCGACTAAAGTAGTAAACCAATTCCGTAACTCCTTCCCAAATGCAACGCGACTTAGGGCAAGCAAAGATCGCACAAAAAATCCATGTGCAAAGTACTAAATCTGAATTCAAAGAATCAAGATTCCATTTCAAACAACCCATTGTCCAACTCAAACATCTTCTCATTACCCAACGGACCCAAATCAGGCAGTAAACCACCATCCTTACTGCGTTTGTAAGAAATACGTTTGGGTTTCAGTTGAGTAGTATCTTCTCTTTCCTCCAATCCAAACATATTTTCACTGTCCAAAGAAGGTAAATCAGGTAATAGACCTCCATCCTTACTGCGTTTGTAATGTATACGTTTGAATTGAATATTCTCCTTTTCATCCATGGGCCTCTCGTTTTCCATTTCCATAGGATTAAGTACCTCGGCTAATGGCGTCATGCCAGAAAATCGATCATTTGTGATTTCGACTGGATTTCCCAGTTCGATCTTAGGAGTCGTGTTGCTTAAAACTTGTTCTAAAATCCCTCGGTCACTCATCGCAGTTGTAGGACGCATGGCATATTCGCCTATAACCTCAATAGGGTCGTATCCCTCCACGCCCATAGCGATGTTTCGGTTTCTTTCCAAGAACATGGATAATCTCCCAATCTCCGTATTCCACTTCTCGGCCAAGACTTTTACCACTTGATCAACATCTTGAGGTGTCAATTCTTGTTTTATTGGCTTCTCAACCCCAACTCCAAAGGTTTTCAATGTTCGCTTTACGGAACTCTTTACGTGGTGGTTTTCGCGGCCCGAAGAGCTCGTAGCGCGGCGTGTATCCCTCATACTGGCACTCATTCGTTTCATAGCGATATCTTGATCGTCTTGCATATATGGAACTTCAAGAACAGTGTGGTTTTTTGCAATAGCATTGACGAGTATGGTGAATCCTTGAAGATTGATATCGTTGTGTTCACAAAAGATATGCGTCAGACCCCTGTTCTCTTCCAAAACAGAGGAGAGGGTATTCGCTCCTTCCAGACCTAGATTCTGGTACTCTATACGAAGAGATTTCAAAGTATTATTCTTTTTGAGACCGGTCAATGCCTGATTTAAGCCAATTCCGAATCGAGTAACCTCTAGATGTGCCTGTTCTCCAGAGATATCCAAGTCCTCAAGTGTGGTGTTCTCAGCAAAAACTCTCTGCATGGTTTCACATGTCTCCGGACTTGCATCATATGGAAGGGAAGCTTTTGAAATATCCAGGACCTGAATCGTAGTATTGGTGCGCAGAGCTTCTAGTAATCGCTTGAAGTAATCCTCTTTTGTAAATTCAATCATCCGAACCACGAGTTTGGTGGGAGTGAAGTTTTCTTGAATAGCTTTCACAAAATCACTTATCCCCTTCTCAAGTCGGTTGGCACTTACGTGAAGCTCCAAGTCACGAGGTTGACCAGCGACTCGAGTCATGGCTCTCATGAGAAGAGCAACATGCGATCCGCTCAAATTGCACTGATCCATCTGTAAAGTGCGAAGTTGATTTGACATATTACTTGTAAGATAGGCAGAAATTGTGTCCAAAGTTTGATCATTTACCTGTCAAGTCAGCAAGAAGTCCCAAAATAAGGGTAGCACACTTACAGGAATTCCATTCAAAATCAACTCCTCCAATCTCCAAGAGAGCATAACTTCAGGAACAAAAAGTGGTTGATCACCAGATGTACGAGTGATCATGGAAAGGTCGAGCTTGCGAACGTGCGAGAAACGACTCATGGATACTTGAAATCTTTCAAGAAGAATTCTCCCGGGGTTGTTAGATATATTGATACACTCTAGTGTTTGGTTTTGTCGCTCCAAATGAGTCAAAAGTTGCATTATCCCTCGATCACTAAGTCCACAGCGCGAGCACTCGATCGCCCTAATCTCAGCTTTTGGATTATTCAACGCAGGAATCATCGCATCGAGATCTGTTTCTCCCAACTCGATCCCGTTAAGAACAATCCAATTAACATTGGTCAATTGTGCGCGGCACAATGGCATCAATGCTGCAGTAATTTCACAACCCGGATCTTTCTGTAGAACACCCCCTTCATCATCAAAAGTATCTCGCGGTCTTCTTCTGGGAAGGGCATTACTGAAATCTACCTTTCGAAGCTGCAGTGACTTCAGAGCAAGTGCTTGAACTTCTTGGTATAATAGTGATCCATCCTGTGGCTTCATGGTGAAGTAGGTATCTATCGCGATTCCAACTCGAGTAGTCCAAGCTACATGATCTATGCCGTAGGAATCCACAATACCATGCATACAGTGAAGATCAATATCTGCAAAAGAAATTGAGCGAAAAGATTCGTTATATCGTAAAGACCTAAAAATAGCAAGCAGTTCGTAAATCGTATATTTAGCCGTCATGGCAGGAGGGTAGAGACGAAATTCTGGAGCATCCTCAACATTCCAATCAACTGCATATTTTATGTTCACGGGATTACACTAGGTATGTCAGCCAGGTAGATTTCGCAAGCACACAAGCCATATCTTACATTGTAGGCCATGCAGTAAGCAACCAAGGTTCTATCAAAACACCCATACTCCTCTTCTTCGTGAACTAGAGGAATATCGCCAGACTCCAATAGACGCATGGGCCCGTTGAACGTGAAGTTATAGTCCAGCCATGTTGGTTTGAGATATTGTATGGCTTGAAAAATGACCACAGCAATATCATGCGTGGCTGAAGCTGCTAACTCGAGCATCTTAGCTTGTTGAAGTGGTGTTCTATGCTTGAATTAGTCTCTACCTCTGCGTTTGCAAATATGACGAAGATGCACAATCACTGGATATAAGGGCTATCTAGATGAATGCAGGCGTCTAAACCTGATTCTTATGACGGCACCAAGCGAACATAGAAATAATCTCAGGCATAATGAGCTGCAATTGCCATGCTGGGACAGACAATGGCACTCGCAACCGTCAAATGTCACATCTGGGTTTTCCGTACCACGCGACGAGCTCTGCACAGGAGGGCGAACATGGAAGCACATTAGGAGATCTAAACTAACCTGAAAGCGAGCTCAAATCGATCATCAGAATACTGCACGTTCATTGCAACTAGGGATACAAGGCCGTACGAGTTTCGACTTGACTTTGGATGAAAAAGGGCACCGGAAGGCAGGCTAAAATCGGGTAGGGGTATCAGATGCAATCGATTTATACCAATAACCATATAGAACACTGAAGATCCAAGTTTTTGAAGGTCGTCCGATGAGGAGCGCGCGCTCTTTGCTAATGGAGCTCGTTTGACAACCCTAAATACCTGAAAATGGTTCGAATCGTAATCGTCAACTCCCTCCAAGGTCTGAACAAGGTATCGGACAACTCGTTCGGGGTATGGCTCCGGCATCATAAGTCTGGCTTTCTGCGCAGCCGCTCTGATCGAAGTGGACCACAGATCTGCATCCTTTGGGTCATGTAACATAAGCTGAATGGATCCTACTCCATGGTATTCTTCGTCTAAAAATACGACCTCAGTTGTAAAAAATGGTCGCCCATCCTCCATCTTGTAGACTGTAACAACCTGACCCAGAGGAATTCTATTTTCGCCTTCCGTTGATGTATGCGAAGCTTGAGACTGTACTTCTTGTAGCGACCCTATTGATGCAGTGGATGACTGGCGATGAGATTGACGCAAGTGCGCCGGTTGTATATTTGGAAACGCCTCTATCGCTCGCGCCATGCTCTTGAAGCGTGTCAAGTGTGTATCCGTCAGGACAAGATATTCCTTTTTCTTTCTAAACATCGAAGTCGTCGTCTGAACTTCGCCATGGTGAAGTATCGAAACGGCACTACTCGCATTGAGAATCCCCGCCGCAAGATAGTGATACTCCTCTTCAGGAGATTCAGGAGTTGTGCCTGTAAGCTCCTTATCCTCATCCACATCGGTCATAGACCTTCTCCCCAAGGAACCGAATAAGGAAGTTGGTCTGCCTTTTTGTAGCGTACGAGGTCGCAGTTTTGGTGAATGGGCTTCGGCTTTCGTAGGACTATGGCTTGTATTTTCTGTATCGATGTACATTGAAGGTGTCAGACTGCCGAATATCGAACTTCTTTTCCCCAGCTTCTTCTTATCCTTCTGTTCATTGTCGCCCGTGCTGCCATTGTTGATGTCGGTATTAATGTGCGCGAGATTTGAAAATGATGCTCTGGAAAGGAGACTTAAACTCTTTCGCCTAGATCCTTTGGGCGCCATCTCATAACTTTTCTGTCGACGGGAAAATCTCTTGCTAAGCTGGACTGCAAAGCCAAATATGAATGATTAGGTTCTTCAGGAACATTCATGCGGCAGACGTTGAGGGTTTTAATGTATATGAAGTGTAGTATGAAATTTCACCGGATTAAGCTACGATAGCTGCAAATGTATCGAGGTATGGTGGACGAGCATCTGATGAATCCGGAATTGCGAATTAAAGAAGATCTGAAAGTGAAACAAAATACACAATTGAAGAGAATGTATGGAATAGGAAGATGAAAAGTGTAAACAAAAACGAAAAAGCTAGAAAAAAGGTGTGCTGTTTGCAGAGAATTAATTAAAGTTAAGGAAGTTAAGGACCAGAAATTGAGCTTAAAATGAATTAATTGATCGACTATTATAGAATTATTATATTATGTATTATGTACCGACCGATGGGTATGTATGGATTGGATGATAACGGGCAACCAGCGAAAAATGGCGAATTGGCTCGCCCTCGTTCGATTTTGGTGGGGAGGAGAATGGCGTTGGGTGCGGGTTGATAAAATGATGGGGATGATTTATAATTTGGGGAGTTCCGAATTATCAAATTATCAATTATAGATTATAGACTGAGACTATAGATGGATGGTAAGCAAAGCAAAGCAAAGATGGGAAATTCACGAATCCGAAAGGAATCGGGAGGTAGGTAGGTAGGTAGGTAGTAGGTAGGTAAGTAGTAGGCAGCTAGAGATATATAGATAGGTAAACAAATCAATTGTCCCCCCTAGGTACCTAGTATTCCCTCCTTGACGAGCAAGTGGACGTGATCATAACAAGATTCTCTCTTCCTGTATGTATTCTCCTGTATGTATTCTCCTGTATGATATTGTATGGTCGGGTCATACAGTAAGAAATACCTACCCAGGCACCCAGGTATCCTGGTACTGTAGATAAGGTAAAGTGAGTACTAATTATCTAGGAGTACTATTGAGAACCCTTTCCAACATTCCCTTGGCAAACAAGACGTCTTGTGGTTCGGTGTTTGAGTGTATGGTCGGTATACTCGAGAGTAATGTGATATACCTACCTATCTATGGTTGTAGCTGCTACCGGTTGTGGGTTGTGGCTATGGCTATGCATATGGTTATGGTTATGGTTATGGTCATGGTCCCGGTGATGCTTCTGGCATGACATTTCGATATGTTCACCGATATGTGCACCTCCCTACGAATACTCGTACGTGCAAAGTAAAAGGGTGAAAAGGGACGGATGCAATGCTTGTAACGCAGTGTTGTGTTGTATTGTGTTGTCTTGTGCTTTGGCTGTTATTGCGGGAGCGGGACATCCAACCCTGTTTACTAGGTAATGGCTAGGTAATTCCCTAGTACAGGTATTTAATTAGCACAGAGAATGTTGCACCTGTCTATAATGCATGCAGAGCAGAGGCTATGATGTATCCATGCCATGTTTTGGGGTTTTGGGAAATAGCTGACCCCGTCTGTCTGTCCCGATGCATCGATTTTGTGCTTGTTTTCATGGTACGGTACGGAGTGCTCACTCTCACTGTGTGCAGTATGTATCTACCCTCCTGTTCATAAACTACCATGCATTTGTCTGCGAGCATCTTCATTTTCATCCTCGAAATCACAAAATGCATTCCGAATACCTAGTATCTTTACGAGTAATCTTCCTAGGTATGCTATACTCCGCAATCAATCTCGAATCAACAACAGGAGATAATCCCCCGGGGCCGTCTGAACGATCTGGTTGGCGATGAGCAATATCTTCATAAATGACCATGTTAAAGAGGCGCCAACATAAACTGGGTCACACAATGCTATTACCGTATTCTCCAGCTGTCTTACGGTATGATCGTCGCTCACCTATCGTATCAAAATCGAAAGATACTAATGCCTATAATGTCCTAATCCAAATTTGTGCGTCGGATGATTCGATCTCTTCAAAACTTAGATTCTGTATGCGGAGTAAACGCTCTTCATTATCTCCAATCTCTTCATTTAGGGTTTGATGGTCTAATGACTTCTCAGACTTGAATACTCAGAATGTAGAAAAGAACATGTTTTGGTGTTTTGGTGTTGGACTGATTTCATCAATCGCGTGCTAGTATTGAGGCTTTCCCGAAATACGAGCCATCTTGGTTGCTCTGCATCACATCCTACACTCATCCATTCGTATCCAGACTAGCATTGATGCTGCGGGTGGTTCTGATTTTGTGAATCGTGTCAGAGGATCTCAGGGCCTGATATTCCCTGCAGCTTCATCTCAATGATCGTATTGTACACAGCGTATGCTGTACAGTGCTTTTCGGTACCTTACTGTAGTGTCAGGGACGAAAGGGATGATCTTGATTTCATCTCATCTTTTCAAAACAGCTACCAAGTTATATTCCCAACATCAAATTTCATCAGATCTGCAGAACCCTACGAAAGTGGCTTGTTTTACCTACTCAAACATCGGAGAATATTCGAGAGAGATTAAATCCTCCGGGATGTGTTCACTGTTCAGCCTTGTTGTCCATTATTACCCAATTACTAGCTATCACCAGTGTCAAGGGGTCCAACAACCGCAGACCCCTTGACAGCATATCCACCTTCCTTTCCTTCAATCCACACTTCGTATTTGTTGCTTTTGTCGGCATTCTTCCCCACACAGACTCTTACTTCTTCATTTGCGTAAAGTGGAGCCAAGTTTCTGTAATTGAACCTTTTTACTATCTCACCAGGCTGAAGTTGTGATCGCAAGACGGAGAACATGAGAACCAATGAAAGGGGTCCATGAAGGAGTAGGTTCCTATATCCTTCAGACTCCCGGCAGTATTGGGGATCCAGATGTATCGCGTGAGCATTAAATGTAAGGGCCGAAAATCTAAATAAAAGGGATTGTGTAGGTGTTATTCGCACATCAAAGTCTGGTTTACGCGTGGCTATAAGCTTGGTTAATGGGACGAAAAAATTCTTGGACGACAGTGTGGAAGTAGCTTACGCCTCAAGATCTTTGGAAGCCTAGCGCAATCCTCTTTGGCAGTAGTTGTATCTTTCTCCCGCATGAAGACGATATTCCGTGTCTCCACTAAGGATGCTTGTCCGATGTTGTCGTTGTTATCGACGTGGTGACGTTGTAGTGATTGCTGATCGGCCTTGTAATTTCGATCACTTACAGAGCACTTTCCCGAAGCGATTGCGCTGCTCTTTGCATCTGAATTCATCCGCAGTTCGTCTCCGGTATCAGCGAGGCCAACCCGTCTCTCAATGTTTACATACACTTTCTCGTCGCCTTCACGCCCTTTGACCGAAACGTCCACAATTCGTTCTATACAAGCAGCTCGCATGTTACCAAGACGGAGTTGCTTTGCACTCGTAGTATTGAAAACTAGAGACCCACCAGCCCACATGCGGCGCACAAATGGCGGCCCTGGGGACTGTAGAGGATCTGTGCCATCTGGAAGTAGAGCACTGTGAGGAATTTGCGGAGAGAAATAGACTAGATGATGCGACTGGGGAAGAAGTACTGCATCACTACACTCTTGTCCGAGTGTACTAGTGTACGGAAGGGTGAGGTCTTGGACTTTGAAATTAGCAGGGTAGCATGTAGACGGAAGGAAGTCCGCCAGTGATATATTTAAAAGATGAGAAGGAGTTGGCGATAGATAATCATATATAATGTTGGGCTTGCGTGATGTAAGTTCCTCGTGAAGAGTTGACTGTGTGGAAGATTTTCGAGTATGCGCAGGTAGTATCAAGGAGCGAGGGATGGTACGAAGACCATACGATCGAAAATAAAAGAAATTGAAGAACCTCATGCCAGGGTTTATGCAGAAAACATCTGCGAGGATATCATAAATTCGTCATCATGAACTGTGACGGGTAGAGGAAGTAGTACACAAAAGAAGATTCCGAAGATCTAAACGACGTGAAAAGTCCCGCGACCTGAATGCCAAGAAAAGCGACATCCTTATCGATAAGAATCCGATAAAGGCGGATGTCTGTCTAAATTTCCTTCGATATAGTCATACCATAAATACCATGCCATTGTTACTCCATTATAACTTCTTTTGTCTATCCACAAGTTCATCTTCCCAGCTCCCAAGCCAATGCCAATCCTGTGTGTACTTGTCAAGGCTAGTCAATGCCCCAGCTACTTTTCCCTCTGGATCACTCAGCTTACTTCCCTCAAACTCAACGAAGAAAATGTATTGGAAAGGAACTATTTTCGTTGGGCGACTGTTAATACTTGTCAAATTGACTTGGTATCTCCTGAAGCAATCCAGTACATCTGCGAGTGCACCCGGTGTTCTATGATCAATGGTGAAAGTAACCATCGACTTAGCGGCAACACCATCCTTTGTGGCAGATGTATCTACACCTTTGCGCAAAATGAGGAATCTGGTAGTGTTATCCTCACGATCCTCAATTCCTTTTGCCAGAATATCTAATTTGTGGATATCCGCTGCGAGCGAGCTAGTAATGGCTGCACTTGTGCCAGTCTTGTCTGCTTTAACGATTTCGGCTGCCTTGCTTGTGGAACTGACGTCCAGTCTCTCGACCCCCTTCAAGTATGTTCCTAGAAATGCCTCGCATTGGCCGTATGCTTGTGGATGGGTGTAAATACGTTGAATGTGATTGAGACTAGATAGCGGCGTTGTCTTTGGCTTGACAGGAGAGGGAGTGGATGTAGTCGGAGTATAAGTGCCAGACATTACTGGAGAATCTGCCGTCGAAACATAACCTAACAGGCAGTGACTAACATCGAGATAGGCTTCGCCGCATATTGTGACATCTTTATATAAGGAATGGCGATCTGCGAGGAGTTCTAGGGTAAAGATCACAGCCCCATTTGTAGAATTTTCAAAAGGTACAACACCTAACTCTGCTTTGCCCGATTGAACAGCCTCGAAAACATCTATATGCCATCAGTAACATGTAAGCGATGGCTTGAAGATCGCAGTACCTGGTATTCCAATGGCTGGTTGGTACTCGTATTTCTCCTTATCGAAGCGTCCAAGAGCGGCCTGGGGGTGACAGTCATCTGTTAGTCCTATTGGAATTGCATGTTGCTCAGAATGTCGACAATTGAAGGGCGATGGACACTGAATTAAACGAAGATAAAATACCTGATGAGTATAAGAAGAGATGGGCCCAAGGAAAGAGATAGCTGGTATGCTAGATGAGTCGATTTTGGACTGCATTGTTTAGCTTGTCTTCACTCCTCCTCAGTGTTGACGTGGTTCGATGGTTCGGAAAAGACGAATATAATTCCGGTGTTAAATAATAATCGGGTTCACTGCATCTCGGGAAGACTCGCGTATCACTCATATGGTCGAATCGTTTGTAGAAGAAAGTTGTGGTCACTCGTGAGAAAGTAACGGAAATCTTTGATATTTATTTTGCTACTGATGCCGGCTCACCTCGCTACTGTAAACATGAGAAGAACCCCCACCTTGTCACGATTTCCGCGGAAGGTATTGCTAGATCCTTCGGATCCGGTCATCATTCAAGAAGTGTCAATCAAGGAGATATGGGTCTTTTGTGTATGGGATCGTGTACTGGCTTCTGTCATCATGAGAATTGGGGTAAATTCAAGAATATTCGGGAATTTCACAGACATATAACCTCAAATGAGAAACGCAGTATGAAGCATTGAACTTAAGTATAGAAGCTATCTGATATTTGAGTCCGGGTAACTTGATCTATCCATGGCTGATCTATCGATATTGAACTTCAGATAATCTTCTATACACTTTAATAGCAAGCAATTCTGCCAAAACGCAATCTTTCCTCGACCTTAACACACATGAGAAACATCAGGGGTTTGCCTAGTTTTCACGGAATCTTATATTCTGCACAAAATTGTCAGTAAAGGTGCAGAAGGGACAACAATAGATCACATGCCTGAAATATGGTTTCTCCGACTTACGAAGCCGTCATGACGGACCGGAGAGGGCTAGGACGGGCATTCCGTATGTTCCCTCTTAGTCCCAAGCCAGCTGGGGGAGCCGGCTGCGCTAGGGTCGTCTGTTGCACGGCACGAGGGCGGTGTGACAGAATTTGGCTTGACGGTTCGACTGGAGTTGGCTCCTCGCCCGATGCGAGGGCATCAAACTGTCAATCTAGATATCATATTAGTCTCTGAAGCCATTTTTGTCCATGAACGCTTGTAACATACCGTCGTAGTAGTCATCATCGTCATCAACTTCGGCCAACTGTTCAAAATTGACCTTGTAGCGCAAGAGGCCACCAATACCACCAAAACCCTTAACGAATTGGTTACCCTCACTGGATCTGTCAGAGACAAACTCCAATGTTGTTCCGAAATCTCTGTACTTCTCGGCGATCCATTCCAAGAAGGATTCTGAGGAAACGACTTCCATTTCTTGGCCAGTCTCCTTGTCCATGAATTGTTCTCGGTTTGAGGCCTCGGATTGCTTAGTAGTATGGAGAATTGTTTGGACGCCATTGCTATCCTTCAACACCCAACGGTTGATCTCGAGATTCTCAAAAACGATCAGAACCTCAACAGCACCTAGTTCCAGAGCCTTCAAAGTATCCTCAACACCATAACAAACGCGTCCTGTGTCTTGACTGATCTCCTCGAAGTATTTTCCAATGAGCTTCTTCTCTTGAATGAATTTGACATTGCTAAGTGTCTCGGCCGAAAGCTCAATAGCCTGATTGAATCCGTTCTCACCACCATAAGAAACATCGACAACCTTAATAACCTTTGTGGCCAAACGGTTGTCAAACAAATCGGACTGGTTAAGATCGTTCTTGAAGTCGGCAGAACCAGCCAAGATAATACCAGCTACGTTGACTTTATCTGCTGTAATGAAATTCTGTACAGCTAATTCGGCAACCTTTCTGACGTAGTTATGACGCTTTTCCTCACGAAGACGCGCGAAACGAAGAGCAGATTGTCCACCACGACCGTGCTTCTTTGGTAAATCGACAGAAAATTTGTGAACAACGTCTCTGGTGTTTCCACTCAATGTACCGAAGAGGGCTCCATTTCCGTCCATAATGATGAAGCCGAACTTCTGGTCAGACTCCAACAATTCAGCAAGAGCTTCCGTGTGGAATTTGTTGTCGCAAAGGTAGAGAGATGTGTTGATGGGCTTGAAGGGCTCGAAATCGATGTTGACCTTTCTTTCCTTTCCTTCTGATGTCAAAATTTCACCACAGTAAACGACCAAACCATTGGGCGGGACTTTGTTATACAACTTCAGTCTTTGTTGGGTAGACGTGATAGCAGAAAGAACGGATTGTCGATTCACACGAGACTTAATGTTCGATGCGGTACCCTATATCCAAGTTCGAGTCAGTATATAATAGGCAGGTATCAAGAAAAAGCGGTAACATACGTATTCTTCTGCCAACATCTTCGCCGCGCGGGAAACTTGATCCTTTGGCGCTGCATAATATGTTAGAGAGTATGGAAATGATATGTCGACGTGACTTCTTACGAATGATAAGAGAAATCATGGAGGTTCCATTTCCACGCGCAGCTTCGAGGCGCTTGATCAATTTTTTCACCTTCCATATCTCGATGTTCTTCTCGGCCTCATTTGCCTGAGCGTCACTCATATTGACGGATAATGAGACAAAACCACTTAGACAATTTGACCTTTATGAATGATTTGACCTGTAAGTGGTTGCACAAGATCCGTTGACTGTGCAGTTTACAGTTGTCAAGATATTATCTATTCGTCTTGTCTTTGTCGAATTTGTGACGTGGGCTTAGTGTGTGGGTGGTGGTTAGAAGAAATTTAGTGTGCTAGTAAAGGTTAGGCGAGGGGTCGGGAACTTTCGAAATAATGACAGGAAAAATAATACTGTAAGTAAGATCTTACAATGTAGGAAGTAAGAACGTCACTGGAATGAATTTGAGTGGAGAAAATTTTACATTCTCTCATAAATAATCACATGACGAGATATCAATTTACATGCAAATGCACACATCTCAATATATCAGTGTATGATACCTACATTCTAACCCATGGTCAATGGCCATGGTGATGGTGATGGTTATGCCGACAATACGATATACGACAGCTTCTTCAATGAATGCTTTTGCGATTGCTACGCCATATAAATCGGTATTTGGAGGCGATGGTAGCCGTCCACGATACAACACTGCTAGCTGTATAGAACCTTTCGAGCAGATGTCTCTCTTAAGTAATGGCCGTCCATGACATCCTCCCGCCAGCAGTGTATGACTCTTCATTCCATCTCACTCTATTGCAAAGCTACGGTCGTTTCTTCTTTGCGTTCTCCCAAGGCATTGCGGTATCTCAAGTCGCCATCTCAAGTCTTGGAGTACAGATCTTACATATCCTGTTCAAAATAATCCAGTCATACAACTTGTACAAGACCAAGCCTCAGTCTTTCTTTGGACGCTGTTGTCACCTTACTCTTTCTTGTTTGCATTTTCTGGAATAATGAGTCATGAAGGAAGCTCTCTCCAACCCAAAGAAGCTCCTGTCTGCCTTATGGCTGGATTCTTGCACTTTACCATCTTGATAGTCCAAGTGAAAATCTGTCAGTAAATACCAATTCTATTTCTATTTCTTGGATGAACCAACAGTGGGTCAAATTGAATCCTTAATTGGAACTGTTCAATGTTCGGAAAATTATAATAAGTTTCTGCTGAGTAGGTGAATGCAACCTCAAGTTTTCTTGATTAATTATTAACTTAATTCCAAGAACGTCTTCCAACACCAGCCTATTATTGCTGGGTCCAGCCCAAGCCATTGAGGACTATTCATCCCAGTGTTCAATTTTCTTTATCGGAGACAGGTCCGAATATCTAGCTCGGTCTGCGAGGTCATATAAGATCTTACATTTCAGTAGATTTACTCGAGCTTGGAAGTGAAGGATGTTTCCGCGTTTCTAGCAACAATGAGCTTTGAAGCTAAAGCCTTATTCTTCGAGTTCAACAATCATCTCTTTTCAAGCTTCATATGGTTTTCACGGGAACTTGCGAAACTTTCATTATGTGTTACATAGGTATCTCATGGTTGCCATTTCATCATATATTTTCCACGTGGTTCGAACAGCAACCATAGCAGAGAAAGATCTCGAACAGCTTTCCGTGCCTATGCTTGGTTTCTTTGTTCTATCTCCAGCTCCAACTCCATGTCTTTAGGACTGAGTTTGCGGGAAGTCCCGAATCTTCATCTTTGAACAGCCTATCCACATGGATAGAATTTTGTCATGAAGTCATTAAGATACTGGCGTGTCACAGCTAAATCAGATCTATTTCATTTGGGAGTGCTGCTCAAACAGTGAGCTGATGTCAGCGAGATATTCAAAATGTTAGATATAATCGACTTTTGAGTGAGAAGATTGTTTCAATAATAAGAGGTATCGCTATGTTCAATTGCTAAGCATGTAAAATACATGAATTTCGATTTTGAATTTTTATATTGAATTCCACCATTCAAAGAAAGTACAGAAGTTCTTGTGGTCCCACTATTAGATACTTGACAATTGATATAACCCCCCTAGCTTTGCGCCATCATATATGCGGCCATTGCCACTACAAAACTTCTGGCAGTCCAGTTTCGGCGTATTTCTTGATATCCTTTGGATCAATTGATCGATTGAGTATGTAAAACTATGTCTATGCCGAGTTATTATCTCGTATCTGTATTTTATTTCTACGTGGGATTTTTACCGACAGCCTCATGCTAGACCCTCCTACCCATTCATTATCCTCCTGAATACACGCCGGACATTTTCCTGACTTGTTGGTAATTGAGAGCTTTGGGTCTTTTTGCCAGTTCTTGCAAGTCTCCAATGGTCCTTTGGGATTCAGAGAGCATCTTAGTGTTTGCGGGTCGACATCCCCGCACTCGTACTGAATCCACAACTTATCGCCGCACATGTAGAATGGTATGGTTTAGTTTGGCGTCAGTACCTGCGTATCTGGTAGAGTTTATTTCATGCCAAACGTTTGGTGACGCGAACCTCCTGACAAGATTGATCTCTGAGCGAGTGCTTGGAGTCAAATTTTGAATTTGTGTTCCAGATAGGATCCAGAGTATTTGTGTTTGTTCATATCTTTACAAAACATCTGATTTAGGGGAAACCTTTCTAAATAAATATTGTACTGCTCTACCAATATCAAGAATCTGAAAGAGTTTCCATGGCATCCACCACGGAATCTGCCGGCAGATTCATGCGGGGCATACTACACACAATTTTACTAAATGACGATTGATTTATGGCGACAAGAAATCATAGAGGTAGAACAGAGACTTTGTTCAAAGTTTCTCGAGATCTGTCGATTTAGAACTATTGATTCTTCGTCTTGGCGCTTTGCCGAGATATACTCCACGTCGCAATTTTTGGTATCGAACGAAAAGATAGAGATTGGCTTTCTCCCTGCCAAGTGGTGAATGTGAAATTTCAATGTCTGAAACCATATTCTGTTTGAAGTAAACCCAACGATACTGTAGCTTAATTCTTCTATTCTAATGCAGTGGTTGAAAAGCTTTTATTTTCGACTGCAATCTAAACGTTGAGATACTCCCTAGCAGGGCTCAAAGAACTATATTCGTTTCGCTGCCTCGAGGTTCCAGGTGGTTTCCGTCGCAACACTCTCGAAGCACGCTGTTCTGGCTGGAAAAGATTTTTGTAGCGCACCCTGTTTTCTGGGATCTCAGACATTTTTTACTGGAGTTTACATCTTAGCCTGCTCATTCTCTTCGAAGATTGTGATGGCGCTACCTTGTGAAGAGGAAACTTTTTATGTACCATTTCCTGGTCGCCAATTCCTATGGGCTTTCTCCACTACATGCGGCTGCAATTTCTTACTCGCTGCCTTCGTATCATCAAAAGAAAAACGATCTCTAAATGTGTAAAGTCTCGACGGAAGAATCGCAGTCGAGAATGTCGCTAGTTTTGGCGATGATATCTTTAGCGCTCACTGGTCGGATGTTAGCGATAAATTGAGGTCCAAAGCAGAGTATTTAACCAAGCCTACCTTTCAATTTCTTTTGAGGACGCCCAGAACTTCCAGTCTTGCTGTTTCTTGAAGCCGTATCGTGATAGAGATCGGGAGCGACATTGCTGAGACGATCGGCATTTGCGGCATGCCATTCTCCCCTGCAAGGAATCCAAGCGAGTTTATCGAGTACCACGTCCTTCACATTGCCAGAGTTCTTTCCGGTGAGTTTTTCCCAATCGATGCACCTTCCTGGACAGCGATAAAGACTTGGATCCCAATGACCCAGCGGGCCTCTTCCGTCCCTTAAAAGTTCTGTAGTCTGGCGAGTGACACAACTCTCGAATGTCCGACCGGCTGGGTTTTGATCGCAGCGGATTTCAGCATAGCGTAAATCGCCGCACCAAAATTTAACCCACTGTCGCTGACACATTGTCGTAATCGAAAAAATTTGGTGTGTGGTTATTGAAATATTTCGAATCCGGATAACAGGTATCTTGAGATCGTGATTTTGGTGTGTAATGTCTGATGTTGACTTAATGGATGGTGCGTAAGATATTGTTGTTGCTGTTGTTGTCGATTTTGATTTATCAAGAGTTTTCGATGAAATAGAGACCGCTTAACTTCTGTTTTCGACCTTTCGCTCCTTCCTACTTCTGGTTATGGAAATCGCCTGCTCAGGCTGACCTTCCTGAATCAGCAAGCGGTGAACAAAGGGGGTGTCATACAACACTGGTATTGCAGTACTGGTGGTTCATTGGGTCGTAGTCTAGGATATGGTTTGATTTGGATAAAACTCTGATGGTATCACTGTTCTAGGAACTCGATGTTTGAATTTATTTTGATGTTCCAGATAACTTCAATTTCCAGAATCATACCAGTGTTTAGTCTAACTTCAATGCCCAAAATGTGCAACTTGTCAGAAAATTTCAGAAGGTCCCTCTCATTGTTAGATTTCAGTTCGAATCGCGGAATACTTAGGTACTTTCAGATTGATGTAATGTTTGGTTTGTTATGCTTTCAGCAACAATCTGTAATATACATTATTGAATTGAGTAAGTTTCTTCTGTTCCCTTTACTCTCTAACAATGATTGTCCTGGGAGCCTGGATTTTTGGCTGAATTCATTCATCTACCTCAACTGATACGATCAATTTCGTGATTAAAACCTCAGTCTGGTACAAGTGGAAGGAATACTGATCGACTGATATCTAAAACTGTAAGAAGAGTCATTATTTGAGTAGGTTTTACAATATATGTGGCACAGAAATTGGCATTTGATATTCATCGTTTGTACTAGGTATAGGCATATATTTCCGCTATACATCTTGCTACTAGTGATCCTCTGACACGTGAAATTTTCCATAAATGATAAACCAAACTGAAGAGCTTTTCGCCCGAGAAGCTTGACAATAAGGTCTTTTTGTGCGGCATACCCTGAGAGAACACTGGCATCTAGATCTGGTACCAAGTAGTCTGTTACCCCTTGGGTCTCTGCATCAGCTATCATATTGGCCCAATTTGAAGTGATTTGCGATAGTGATGGGAATGCGACTGTGTTAATTGCTCTAGCAGTCCAGGACATTCATCCGTCGTCTCCTACGTCATGACTCCATCGCTACTACCCTGCCTTCATAATATGATGTACAGTAGTCACTTCCAAATTGGAGATCACGATCAGAAGTTGACCTCAAATGTCAATCTTGACTGAATCGGAACGAAACAATTCTTACTACTGCATTTAATCTCGTGAATCCTGATGAATACGACAGTCGAGGAAGCCTCTCAAAGTTTTGTTCATATATTCATACTCAATGCATATGAATATCGAAATAATAGATATAAAAGTTAATTTTTAACTACTGTTACATCTGTATCCAACTTGGCCAGGCTAGATCTTGAAAAGTTAACTATTTCACTTGCGTTGTAGCAACCCCACTAAGCGAGTATCTTTAGGGGAACTCTAAAGAGTGGAATCACTTATCTCAATCCACTCTCTCTTCAGCGAAAAAGAGCGTCTTTTAGGGGGGATAAATGGAAAGGATAGGAAATTCAAGACACACCTAAAAAAAACATCTAAAATTGGCTGTCCATCGCAATCGATATTGAATTGTATGATGAAGAAGGGCAGGCGAGAGGTCTGCATCATGATTTTTAAAAAGAGTGGGAAAGTAGACTGCAGATTCCTGTGAGTAGGGGGATAGACTCGCCTGGGATTAGTTTCATTCGTAATGAGCAGGTGGTTCCATAATTTAAGGTTCTCCTACAAATAAGCTCGTTTTTAGGGTAGTTTCGCTCCACCCCTCTCACGAAGCATATTGGAATTCAAAAAAAGAGAGAAGAAGAAGAGAAAGAGCGGACTGTACATTTGATGTATATTGATGTCTAAAGCAATCCGAAAGATGTCCCTACAGAGAGTAATACTGCAGAGGCCTGCACATTTACACGAGTTTTCTGAGAGCAAAAAGATTGAGATAACCACTGTCTCTGAATTACCAAGGGAAACCGGGCTAACCAGTACGGCTAGCACTCCACCACCTTATCCTCTTGATTGTTGAACATACAATCTTAATTGCAGGTATATCTTACACCCCACCGCTACAAGTCATCCGTCTCCCACTCGGATCGACCCCCTGCTTTCCCTATTCTTAGATACACTCGTATCTTCATATGCACGTTGAAACCTATCATACTGCATTGCTAAATGATACGGATATATGTATTAGAATTCAAATCATCAGCGAGTTTAGAAGGACTTGCAAACTTGAAGGCACAATTATCTAATTCTAAAACACATGGCCGGATTTCTCGATGGAACAACTTGAAGTTAATTGCACATACAAAATCTCGGTGACAAGATTTACTACCCATGCATCCTCTCTGGCTTTCTTAATCTCAACTCCGTCACTTTTCTCGAACATCTCCTATCCCATCGTTGACTCTCATTCTATTGATCCTGTCCTCTCCTGATATTATGGGTAGCATAAAATTATTCTAATGTAGCCATTTCTATTTACATCTAACTTACACACAGTCATCGTCGAGTATGTGCTTCAAGTTCCGGACACATCTCGGCCACGTCAGTAACTATCTGATCAAGTCCCCCATTCACTAAAATCAAACTTCGCAAACTCTCGCTTACACCCAATCACCCCTCTCTCATCCCATCTAGTCTCGTCTCTACTCTTCACATTCACTCCGCTTCACCGCTTTCCCCCTAAAATGAAGCTTCCAAACAGAAAAAAATCCATCAACTCCTCAAATAGTATCCTAGAATCCAGATAATAAAAATATATAAAATAGTTCATCGAAGCAAAACCTTACCATCCCTCGAGGGATGGTAAGGAAACCCCCGGACGGGTTTTTTTCGATTCGAACCAGGCGTGCTAACTCCTCCGCCAAACCGCATTTGTCCTGGACAAACAAGCCTGTTTGCTGCCTTTGCGGTTTGGACGAGGAAACTGTTCTTACCACGGTATATATAGTAGAGTTTCGGTGGGGTGTGCTGGATGATAAATGTATTGTATGTAATTTTGAAATACTCATTTTGCTGTTTGAGAGCGCCTGAAAGAACTTACAGGCTAGAAAATATCTTAGAGGTTCTTGTTATAATTGGTGTGTGTTTTGGTGAGTTTAATCCTTGTTGTTAGCATGATTTTTCGTGGTTGCGAATGCGCCAAAAGGGTGAATGGCCAATATAATTGAATAAACATGTCTTTTGAACAGTGCGAACAACGAAAAAAAGTATTTACAGCTTTTGAATAGATCATTCATGCGCAAAAGTTATGTCTTGTCTCCAAACAGTCATGAATACGGAAGGAACTCCATGCTTGAAGAAGTAAGAGATGATAGAATGCAATCTCTTTCAGGGTCCATTTTATGCCACTGATCGCACTTTCCACTCCCAGATGAAAATACATCACCTACCGCAAAGATCACTAGCAGCAGTAACAATCACTCATACAAGGACGCTACTGATTGTTTGTCCCATTATAAGACTGAGAATTGACCATATAATGTTATGCATCAACCTATAGGTGGAGGAGATTGCTCACCAAGCCTAGTTATTTGATCAGAAGTTACATCAAGGCATGAAACTATCTATTCTCTATATCATGAAGCATCTATTCCTGGTGTGATTTCTCCATGTACCCTGCACATCTCTAAAAATTCTACTTCGACTTAAAAGGTCAAGACTCCCTTTTCCTCACTTTCGCCTGTGAGACTAAAGCCGAATCGCCCAAGGATCGTATCTACAAGAGAGGCTCTCGACATTGCGGTTCCTGGTATGCTTTCTCTAAATGAAGAAGAGATCTAATAAACCCGGTATTAGCGATATCATTCGCCACTGCTACGCGTTGTAGTTCCACTATCTGGCGTTTTTATGAATCCTTATGATTTTATCCGAACTTTTGTGATAGGATGACGAATATTCGCAGTCATTTCTGCACTGGAAGTATTTAGCAGAATACATACATTTATCGAGACCAATTTCTCAAGCGAAAAGACTCATGGAAAGCCGAATCCGGCGTCGAACCGAAAATTTGGGCACTCATTTTGTGACTGTCGATGATTGTATTTGCTAATTTTCACCACATGCCCTTATTGTTCCTGCAGATAAGTATTGCAAGATTCAAGTCTTTTTAATGATACCCAAGTTAAGAGTCTTGCTTGCGTATATTCGTACTGCACGTAGGTTACTGGATAATACCCGGGGTGGATGAAAGATGATAGGCATGCAAGGAAGAAATTGATATTGGGCAGAAAATTTCCTTCAAAATGGCATAGGTCGAAAGTTCCAGACTGAGAAGGACGACGAGATGTATCAAGTCGGATCAAAGTATTTCTAGGCCTCTGTGAAGTGACCATGACATGGCAGGTATTTTCTTATCGTAATATTAGGCCCAATTTGATCAGAAATTTTGCAATAAACGCGAAGTGTTGGCGGCCATGGCCCTGAAACTTTTTATATGCGCTCCACATGATATGTTAATTACCCAATGATATAATGTCCGTCTCGTAAACCGAAACTCCGACCCCAAAAGATTTCCGCCTCCACGCCAAGTTTTATCCCCGGCGATTCCCCGCCATTCCAAATTCCAACCTTCAGTCCATTTAAATCCAATGCCAAATTTCAATCTTACATGCATCTCAAAGTGCCGATCCATGCCTCATTGCCTTACGCGCTCATACCCACTCTCCTGCGGCGCGTCTTAAGACCCCTGCGAACGAATCGGCTCCGGACCCCAACCAACAGCAACTCTCCGCCCCCTCGCATACCTCTATAGTATCGATGTTACTACCTGATTCTTGGGCCGAACTAAGCATTAATCGGGCGTATGCATCTGTTAGTACGTTTTCTAGTGGGCACAGAACGTATGTGGTGGGAATTGTGCGCCATGCCGCCATTGTCGTTCTGTGATATAACACTGATGTGGCTTGGGGGCGCATGATATGTGCATACTGAATGGTTCAGTAAACGATTCTTTGGTATGGCTGAAGTAACTCACATATTCGGCATGCTCATACGGTAGGTCATTGTAAAAGTATTGAATTGCCGACGCAGATGGAATAGACACAGTAACAGCCTTTTTCTAACGTTTAGTGAACGTAAGTTAGAACTCAATACAGAATAAACGCAAAAATCTAAGCTGGAATGAGAAGCAAATACTTCTCGACCACATTGTAATCGCGAATTTCATTAAACATGTCCGGCGGAAATAAGAAATGTGGATTGATTGACTTACACGTGAAGCTGTATTATACTGCATGTATGGTGGAAAAGAACTGTAGTCTCCTTCCTCGCACATTTTAAAACCCTCTTGCACAATCCATGCCATGACGAAAACGATTCGTAAAACTCCACCTCTAAGGCCTCTTTGTGCCCTGTCCGTTTTCCCTAAGCCTTGCAAAGCATCACCACCTGGAACTCCGGCATAAGAATGTAGGACCACAATGACATCGTGCCCTGCTTCTACAAGATGTAATACTGAACTTCGAATTGCTCTAGTATCCTGAGCAGGATCGTTTGATGCGTGATTTCCATTCGCAATTACTGATGGAAGCTGAACTGGAAGGACAGGATAACCGTAGTGACTGAGAAGGGTTCTGAGGGGATCAAATATAGCTGAAGTGTGGCAAAAGCCAGGAACACACACGAACGTAGGCATAGACATCGAGACAGTTGATTCAGTGGTAATGATTCGATTGAGAATGGAAACAATATGCTTCGAACAGCTGCTACATATATAGAGAAATCCATCTTTACACCCGGAATACCTCCAACAATGTGCTGAGAGACCATGGTCATCAAAACTCGAATTTTCAGTTCATGGTAAATGTAGACCCCCCCGGAAACCTCTGAGTTGAGGCTGCGGTCGCGCGCGTAATTCTTGCATCGTACATTTATCCAATAGTAAAGGATAGTGGTACAATCTCCCAATCATAGCTCTTTTTAAGGTTTCATAACCAATGAATACCCGCCACTTGTTTTCAGGCTACCCAATTAGAAAGTACATTATCTCTATAAATCTCGTGCCCAATTTTTTTGATGGTGGAATTGACCTTCCTAATCGATCGGTTTTGGGTAGTATCCCTAGGATTCAACTCCTAAACCCGACACTTAGGGCCATTTATGCTAGGAATCTCACGAGGTATGCTTCGGGTTGAACCCCATCATCCACTCGTCTATGCCCAGCGCCACATTACAATGCAAATTTGTGTCTAGGAACCTTCAAAGGGGGGTGAGAAGATGACGAGCAAAATAACAGTACAAAGTACGATGATAAGCCGAGAAGCTAAACAGCGGCAGTGCTAAGGAATAGTCGATGTTTCAAACCAGAGATCGTAGCTCTTAAGATAGCTATAATGCATGAAGCTCTATATATATCACAGCTTTGTCATTTGTACGAGGGCACCTTGTGGCTCGATTAACGACTTTGCACTGCCTCCAACATTTAACTCTGAGAACCGGTATTCGGATCGAAAAATGTCAGTTCTCCCAGCACTACCAGGGAGAAACACGACACGAAGAACGTTATAGTGAAGCTCGCCCAAGCGCATTCGTGTTGGAGCATTTCCTACATATTGGGTTTGAATCGTGAAAAGCTCGCGATCATGTAGATCAAAGGGCCCTAAAATCCTTGACCAGCTCACACGCGCGGAACGGTAGGAATGGGGTCGTATCTTACTGCCGATGGTCAGCTTCTGCAAGTTCGTGTTTTATGATGCTGGATGCGTTTGTGTAAGAAGCTCTCAACGACTTGTTTCTATCGTCGAATTGTAAAACTAATGTGGGATCCTTGGCTGGGCTGGCGTACCTGTTGCACAAGGGTAGAATGATGACTCTTGAGACATCTTCAATTGTACAGGAATACTTCCAGATGATGTTGAACTTCTATGTTTGTCGAAACTTAAGCAACCTAGGAATTCATAGTGAGAATAGATTATGTAGGACATCACTGTTGAAGTTTCTTGAACGAAAGAGTTTGGACGATAATGGCGGCGCGTGAAGGGGCCGCTTACTAAGGATGGTCTAGAATGGAAACCGTCTATGTTCACACCCTGTCAACGCTACATGTACTCACTCAATAAAATGGCCAACAATTGCAACTGTTTCAGTATTTGTTCGGCCCGTATGTCTCAGGGTCCGCGACGGAGTGACCAACAGAGACTTTACAAATTTTAAGCGCCGGCTATGAATACCATATAAGCCAACATTTCATTTAGTATGAGTGGCGTATGAAAGCTTTACCGCCATTCAAGCGACTTCGTACGGCAAAGCTGTAGTCACCTAGTAAGTGATAGGGGCTAGTCTCAGCTTCCTCTGACGAGGTCAGTGTGGATCGAGCCGTTCCGACGTCAGCATTGTTTAAACTGCACTGGCCATGGCATGCTGTGTGTAGTTAGTTCTAAGCTCACCGTGATATGGTCGGCAGCAATCTAGGAACAAGGAAACTACCGGTAGTTCAACCCCGGTCTAACATCACTTCGCTCCGAGGTCGGTTTAACTGTCAAAAACGGCCAAGCTACTAGAGCCGTTGTGCCTGTACTATCATCTGCTTCTTGTCTGTCTCCTGCCATGCTCCATGCAAGTGTCTCCATTTGTAGTTTGTACTCCGAGCATTTAAACCTAATTACGTGCGGGGTTTAACCAATAATCCGAGCCGAATCTACGTACCTAGGTACTTGAGTGTACATAACTTGGTATTTGTTGATCCTTTCCGAAAGGATGAAAGATCTGCCAGTGCAGAGCTCTGTACAGTGTCTCCTAGACCGTTCAAAGGAAGAGTTTGGAACAGTCTCTAATACATCATAAACTATGTTAGATTGTCTTATCGTTCTGCAACAAATAGAGAATTCGTCTGTAAGACTTATTTGTACTATTTATGCAAATTTGCATGTCTAACTTCGGATACTCTTCGCATCTTTCAATAGTGACATTTATGTTGAGCTACGGAGTGCAGCATTACCCCGCTAGGAATCTTGCTTTTACTCGGTCTGTGAAGTCACTGGCAGACAAGTGGATTGTACCTGGGATGCAACGAGTAAATACTCCGATTGGAGTTTTTGACCTATAAAAGCTGGTGTTTCTCCAGAAAATTTTCTTCGCACACTTTTCTTAATTTCTCACAATTGAAGATGTCGACAAGAAGTATCTTCGGCGTTCTCGCTACCTTGTTAGCTTCCAGAGTGGATGCTGTCAACAATGGTCTAGCTAGAACCCCCCAAATGGGATGGGACAATTGGAATGCCCTGGGTTGTGACGTGTCTGAGGAGCTTCTTCTCCAAACGGCCGATTTGATTGTTGACTATGGTCTTAAAGATCTAGGATATCAATATGTTATTCTCGATGATTGTTGGAGTAACGGGCGGAACGCTAGCGACAACAACACTCTCGTCGCCAATGCAGATAAATTTCCGCAAGGAATGAAGGCTGTAGCAGATGCAATTCATGACCTTGGTTTGAAATTTGGCATGTACTCAGATGCTGGCGAATACACCTGTGGCGGATACGCTGGAAGTCTAGGATATGAAACTGTCGATGCGAATTATTTTGCTTCGGTGGGAGTTGATTATTTGAAATATGATAATTGTTACAACACTGGACAAGCAGGAACTCAATATTTGAGTTCTCAAAGGTAATAAATAGCACGAACCCGAGGGTAGATACAACTGTATTGGAGACTGTGAATTTTAGGTGATTCTGTCAAATCAGGCTAATTATGTGTTTCAGATATCAGGTGATGGCGAAAGCACTTAATGCTACTGGACGACCTATTCTTTACTCCCTTTGTAACTGGGGAGAAGACTCTCCATGGAATTGGGGATCAACTACAGCAAACAGTTGGAGAATCTCCGGTGATGTGTATGATTCATGGGATAGAGCAGACGCAAGATGTCCATGCGATGGCCCTGATGCATTTAACTGCGTATTACCCGGCTTTCATGTAAGCTCTTCTTCTACCTAAGCACATCGAACAACCAATTAATGAGAAAAATTTAGTGCTCGATTGTCAATATCATGAACAAAGCTTCTTTCATCGTATCAAAGGCACAACCAGGTGCCTGGAACGATTTAGATATGTTGGAGGTTGGCAATGGAGGAATGACCGATTCCGAATATGTAGCTCACTTTAGCATGTGTAAGTCTTCAACTTTATTTATGAGTCAAGAAATGTATGAAAAACAAAATTCTAACAGCAAAAGGGGCGATCGCAAAAAGTCCCCTCATTCTCGGCAACGACCTCCGCAAGATCCAACCCGCCGATCTAGCAATCATCTCCAACCCAGCCGTTATCGCTGTGAACCAAGATCCGCTAGGTAGTAGCGCCGCTCGTCGCTGGATGTACTCTACTGATGCTACTGACGAGAACGGCGTTGCCACAATCCAAATGTGGTCTGGCGCTCTCCAAGCCACCACCAATAGCACGACCAGTGACTATGTTCTTCTCCTAATTAATGGTGGCAATGAAACTCTTACCATGAACGCTACATTGGCCGATATCTTCATTGATTACGGAACTGGAGGCACAGCTAAACAAGTCTCTATGGAGTGGGAATTACGCGATCTCTGGGCAAATCGCATGGATGATGCTACTGCTAAAGCGATTATTGACGCAAGTACCGCGACTGGAAATGCGACGACGGGTTATAACGCTACGACGGTTGGGGAGGAAAGATATAATGCGACGGAAATGAGTTATGAAGATGGCTTGGCGGCGGGGAGAAGTGAGTTGTTGGGGAATTTGACGGGGACGGTTAAACCCAGCGGAACAGTGATTGCAGATGTGGAAGCGCATGGGGTGAAGATGTTTAGAATGAGACCGGTGGAAACTGGTTTGAGGAAAAGGGACGAATTGTAGTTGAGGGTTCCGAGTTTTGTAATGTAGATAAGGTGAAGATAAATATTTTGGAATTGTTGTAGGTGTTAAAATTTACATAAAATCACGTAATAATGAGAAAGTTCCGCGCGAAATTTCACATTTTGAAAACTGAAGAGTCGAATGTTGGGTGTAAAATCTAGATATGTTTCTAAGTGTATCATGACACACATAATCTAATCTCACCCTCTTTTGAGTAGTGTCTCTTGTAGTGCGTCGGGTCAAATACAAGACAAGAAGCCCCTTCTACAAAGCACCACCCACAACCCCCACAATCCACATCGCAATTCTAACATGCAGCCCCACTCGCCTCTCACTACTCTGGAACTCCTTTATCCCAATCTCGCTTGCCCACTCTCCCAACCCATCTCTTTCCTGTCTCAGTCTCTCTTGCAATTCCGGATCTCGGGTTACGATAATGACACCTGTTTCGAGATCTAACGTATAAGATCTTTTGGTGTAGTTGCTACTACCCAGTACTGTGATCGCTGGCTTGGGAGTCTCGATTGAGGGTGAGGAGGGTGATTGAGTGGGGAATGATACCCAAAGTCCCTTAGCGTGATATGTCCAACCTTCAGGCTCATTGACAGTTCCCCTTTTCCATTCTCGTAGAGTGATGGATGGAGAGGGACCCTGAATTTTCTGAGCTGCGACGAGGAATTTGCGGAGGAGAAGGGTGTACGCTGCAGGGAGCATGCCGGAGACTCCAGGGGAATTGTAGAAACCGTTGGCGTGAGGGGAAGCGGTTAGGACGGTGTTATTTTTAGATGTTGTATGGAGAAGCAGAGAGGTAAGAGTTGGCGACGGATTAAAGTAGCCGGCTGTGAAAGTCCAGGATGAAGGGGTGGTGGGGGAATTGAGGAAGGTAAGGAGACGGGTGAGCAAGGGAAGCTCGGTGGATGTGTCGGAGGTTGACGGGAACAATGGTGTGAATTGGGAGATGGGGTAGATCGTTGTATTAGCTTGAGGATTGCTGGATGTCGAGCTCGATATTGTTGAAGCTTGAATCAAGGGTGTGAGAATGGATGATGCATGAGAAATGTATTTGTGGGAGTCTGTCAGAGGAGAAGGACAAGAATTTGAGGAGGGCCATTCAAGTGTGTATCCAGCAGGCAATTGAGGGTCTGGCGATACCAAGAAGCTCAAACTCGAGACTGCATTCTGGATATTGTAAAAATACTGAGTGACTTCTTTGGAGGAAAACACATGATATCTATCTTGCCGATTTGTGAAATAGTCACTGGAGAGATTTGCTCTTTTCAGGTCCTATTAGTATTCAAACCTACTGAAAAATGGACTCGACGACATACCCGGATATGATAATTTCATCATCCACTCCATATAATTTCATGTGTTGCAAACCCCATCCCTCATTAATTCGTTTGGGAATATACTTTTTCCTTAATCCATTCAAATTCGGGGTATGGTACATACGAATCTCGACTCTATCTGCACCAAACTCCAACACCAGCGGGGCGAGGAGTGAAGCACATGAAGCATTGGGAGACTCTCTCGTACCTCTCAAGGCATCAGTAAGAATACTAAGTTTCAACCCGGGTTTTGCACGCAGAGCTTGCTGAAGTGTGGATATCTACACGTAGTTATTATTCATGTATACGATTAAACTGGGAGAATATCTGTATGTACTAATTCATGTTCTGTTTTTCCTATGTACAAAGTCGATAAGAAAACTCGCGTCTCTGCTGCCAGTATTTTGCTCTATGTCCATCCATCAGCATCTGTGCCATCCGCCAATGTCCAATTGCTTTATATGCCAACCTTCAACGTCTCGTAAAATTCTGATGGCGTCCGTAGAATTTGTATTTGCGAGCCATCCACCTCAAATTTTGGAGCTATTTTATCACACTCATTTGTAAAAGCTCCTAGTATCGAAGCAGGAGAGGGTGCTGTGGGCGTAGTAGCAGTAGAACCTGTAGATGTCGAATGCGCTCGCTGCTTCATTCGTTGTAATGGTGGTTGAAAGGAGGGAACCTTTCTAATGCGAGAACAGCGTGTAATGGTCCTAACAATCATATCTTTCTAGATGTTTCGGAATTCCTCTATGAATCCTCGATTTGTGATGTTGAAGATTTGAAATTTGGAGAAGCCGATAGGATAGCGATGGCGTTTTGATATCGCTAGCGCAAAAGCGGCGTGCCGAATGAGCGACGACTTCATGAACCTCAACTTTCACTGATTGCTAACAATCAAGCAAACCCATTGCAACTTCAACAAGATGTCTACAATTCTACGGACTTTGCGCAATCTGCGCAGAGTAGGGATCAAGGTATGAAGGCCCTCAAGATGCGCCTACCAAATTGCTGATTAAAATATAGGATGCTCTTCATCAAATGCATGTAAGTACACCTTATAACGAGCCCACCACAAGGCGAACACCGATGCTGATGGATGGATTTTGAAATATAGTACCAAGGTATTTAATGCTCGAAAAGATCGCTGAGAGAATGAAGCTCATTGGAGACAGGTGATACCAAGGCCGGAACCTTCATCGCAACGGATCGATATGGCAACAAGTATTTTGAGAACCTGGAGGATGAATTACCACGTACGAACTTGCCATAATATGCCATCTACGAGTCCGAATATGCTTACACCAATATACAGTACGCACAAGATGGGTAGACTACAAGGACGACGAATTCAGCCCGTAAGGAACATCCAGCGCCTCTCGCCGACTTATCTTGTTCTAACATACTATCCCTAGATGTCAAATCGAGCCCGGATGGCACGCATGGATTTCATACATGGTAGACAAGCCACCGACCGAAGATCTTCTCTTGAAGCAAAAACAACCTTGGCAGTTACCGGATCATAGACCAACTTACACCATGAGCCGTGCTGCTTTCAAGACTTATTCTACGTGAGTGCTTGTGTACAAATTGTTGGTCAAGTATGTGTGTTTGAGCTGATGTTTCCTCTTAGTGTCAAACCAAAGATTACTGCCTGGACCCCTCAGACTGTTGAAAGAGCGTGAGATGGAAATATGGTCTGTGATGTACATACGCGAAGAGAATGAGATTAGCATTGCATATGCCCCTCCCTTTCTCAAATTGTTTGCGGAAGTTTTTAGTGAGAATTGAGGAATTGAGGTGATAATTCTAACCAGCCTGAATATGGCAGGATGGTTATCTCGAGGATCGATTGGAGCGGCACGAGAAGACATGCACAACTGTTTTACTTATGCACCAGGTAAGGTTTATTTTGAATTCTTTTTGGAGGTTTTTGTTCTGCAAGCTTGGGTATTTCTATAATCTCGCTATGCTATCCTTGGGGTGCGCTTTTACTGTAATGCACCCTCCTTCGCCTTTCTTCCATGTACGATCAAAACATGTTCCTCTGCAGAAATTATAAGATACGAGTTCTCCTATTGTTGGCCTTGTTGTTTTCATTATTCATGTCCTGTAGTCTCCATTGATTGTGACGTATTCATGACTATACGAAGTTAGTAATTGTCTTGTCAGTGTGGGCGTTGGGTTCCTACCTGAAATCACAAGTCCAGTACACTGCTTCCTCCTTTCCACCACCAAGTTTTATCAAGATTTCAAGATCTTCATGTTCCAAGATCTCAGCAGCGCGAGCCTCGTCCACTGACTCTGGCTCTCCGTTCACCAGAAGCTTAAGTTCTGGTGAGCCATCCGAGGGAATGAATGAGACACTGGTCTTCTCAGGGATGATTTCTGGAACCTCATTTATGGGCTCGCCTGGTTCCGAGATTTGGGAATAGCCAGTAGCACATAGAATGCGGCCCCAGTTTGCATCTTTACCATACAATGCAGTCTTTACTAAGGGAGATCTTGCGATCGTGCTAGCAATTTTGCGTGCTCCAATCTCTGATGGGGACTCTGTTACACGGATAGTGACAAACTTAGTGGCACCTTCACCATCGCGAACGACAAGCTTGGCAAGATCAGTAGCGAACTCGGTCAAAACTTTCTGGAATGCAGCATGGTCTTCGGAAGATTCAGAAGTGACCTCTTTTCCTCCAGCTGCTCCGTTTGCTAAGACAGCAACGGTGTCATTCGTAGAAGTATCACCATCAATAGAGATACTATTGAAAGACTTGTTAACGGCTTTTGTAAGTAGGGATGGTAGTAATGCAGGTGCGATGGGTGCATCCGTTGCGATCATTCCCAACAAAGTAGCCATATTTGGGTGAATCATTCCGGCACCTTTTGTCATACCAGCTATCCTGTATTCCACTTCTGGGGAAGAGGGTAAGGAGAATGTTCGGGATAAGAGCTTTGGAAATGTGTCGGTGGTACAGATCGCGGTTGCAGTCGCCAACCAATGCTCGTGAGAGCTTCCTAGACCATCAAATGCGGTAGGTATTTTGAGTAATATTTTCTGGATCGGCAGTCTGATATGAAAGGTTTAGTCAAGGTTCAATTGGAGTCACGATTGAAAACGAGGTAGAAGAAGATTTTCGAACCTTTGACCAATTACACCAGTGCTCATGACTATTGAACTCCCACCTTTACCATCACTTGGTGTATCAAAACATCTATCAGCTTCAGCACCCATCTTCTCAGCATCTTCCATTCCACCCTTTCCGGTCACAGCATTTGCACATCCTGAATTAATAATGACTGAATGGATTCCAGTATTATTCCTTCTTTGTAACATCTTCCTGCTCACAGTAACTGGAGCCGCTTGAAACTTGTTCTTTGTGAACACAGCTGCAGCCGCACATGGTGTCTCCGAGGCAAGGAAAGCAAGATCTGGCGTAGATTTATTCGTGGGTTTAACTCCTACATAAGTTCCAGAAACTAAAAATCCTTTCGGGTATGTGCCACTTGAGGGAATGTATTTTAGCTTTGCGGCCGGTATCGTGCTCTCGGGGGGTGCAGAGTAGTATCGGATGCTACTAATTGCGGGGTGATAGGAAGCTGTTGGTCTGATCAATCGAGCTACTGGGAGCTTCGTACATGCGTTGAGAGCCATTGCGTAAAGATGGCGATCTACAAACTATCTTGCGAGGGCGACAATAACTCAATTGGTTCGAAAGAGACCAATTGGCCTAACTAGCACTTTATTTCAATACTAAAAGGACTCTCAA